AGGTTGTTTCTTTACTAACGGCATTATTAGTCTGCTAACAATTATCGTACCTTAAACATCAAATAATTATAAATAAACTTAATACGTAATAATTGTACTCAATTAATTAACTTTTAGACAAGTGGATTTCTAATGACTTCTAAAGTTTTTGAGTTGAAGTTTTAATACATATGTTAAAGTGATACTACTAGAAAAATATAACACCAATGTACAGCCAAAAATCGACAAATGTCTTTTAGAGATTAATATTAACAGAATGTATAAAACGTGAAATTCCATAAAATTCCATACTAAAAAAAGCTATAACATACAATCTTAATGTCAGCAAGATAGAATTTTCAAACAGAACATGCATTAGGCAATAAAAAACTGTTATTGCATAAGTGACATTATTTTATAAAAATAACATCTTGTGATTAATATCACAATTATAAGAAATGTTATTAAATAGTCAAGAAAGTTTGTAACTAGACACTCGGAAAGTAAAAACGATCATTTCGTATAAATGGTGATAACTGTAAACCAGAGTCGTGTAAGGTTGGCTAGCGAATTAAATAAATTATATTGCATGATACTTACCTAACGGAAAAAGATATAATATTTGCTATTTAACGTCACCAACAGTTGTTTACCCTTTCAACAAACCCAGTGAAATAAAATCACAGAATAAAATGAAATGACAAAAATGTAACGTCTCCAGTTTGCCGTTTGAAGTGACTGGTTGTGCCACATTTCGTATAAATGGTGATAACTGTAAACCAGAGTCGTGTAAGGTTGGCTAGCGAATTAAATAAATTATATTGCATGATACTTACCTAACGGAAAAAGATATAATATTTGCTATTTAACGTCACCAACAGTTGTTTACCCTTTCAACAAACCCAGTGAAATAAAATCACAGAATAAAATGAAATGACAAAAATGTAACGTCTCCAGTTTGCCGTTTGAAGTGACTGGTTGCGCCCCCCTAACTGGCCCAAGTATAACCTCTGAGAGAATCTTGGATCTGTGTTTAAATAAATAAAAACATCTGTTTTGTTGTTTTTTATAATAACACAACCACACACAATCGTTTCGATACACTTTCATGACCCCACCACACATAAATTCTACTAAATCGCTGAAATTGATTTAAAAACTCCTCTTTCCAATACTTCCGAGATCTGACTCTAATATTACACTTTTAAAGGACAGGTTAGATACTCTCAAAATTTCGAGTCAGGACTGGTCGGCCTATTAAGTTTGTAGTAATTGTAGCCTAATTGGTTGATCAGCTTTTTGAAAAATGAAGAATAAAATTTCAATCATGAGATTGGTTGCACAAAGTTAGGAGTCTTTTTCATACAACGTATCTGTTAGGGCTCATTCAGACCGAACGCAGCGGGAAGCGAGAAGCGAGCAGCGAGCAGCTTGAAACTTTAGATAGAGTGGTACCTCCTTCCAACGTATATACGTTGAACGTTGATCAACTTTCCAAAATCACAGTCCAAGCATTGGAATCTGCTTAGTAATGAAGTCATGTTTTAAGAAAAATTATGTATTACTATTTTCAATGTAGTATACCTGACTCTATATACGTAATTAAGGTAAATAACTTATTTCTTAATGCTTTCATACGACTACCTAATATAAAAAGGCAGAAAATGTAGTTTCGCGGCCAAGATTCCGCTGCTCGCTTCCCGCTTCCCGCTGCTTTCGGTCTGAAGGAGCTGAAATGAGCCCTTAGTCCGTCAGACTGTTTATTGGCCGAATCTTTCACAGATAAATAACTTCGACCAATCAAAGGTCTAGGGTCGGCCTATGACGGTCGGACTGCGAGTTAACGATAATGCGCACTCTACGCATCTGCATGACCTGCATTTCAGGATATATGTTCAAAATATGAATTCTTCGTTTCCTTGCTAAATTTAAAATATCTTACAGTATTAAAGATACTGAGTTGATTAAAAAAGAAAAAGCACCTTACCCTTCATTTAAGAGAAAAAATAAACGTTGAAAGCCCTATTTCACCTGTACTATTTTCACCGGAATGAGACTAACTTGGAAGAAAAATAAAAAATTTGGTATATTCCAGAGTATTTTCATGATAGAAAAACTGGTTTTTAATAACTCTGTAATTTTCATAATTTGTACATCAACAAACAAATCGTTATAACTGTTGTCTTTATCGAATCTAGGGTCGGCCTATGACGGTCGGACTGCGAGTTAACGACAATGCGCACTCTGCGCATCTGCATGACCTGCATTTCAGGATGTATGTTCAAAATATGAATTCTTCGTTTCCTTGCTAAATTTAAAATATCTTACAGTATTAAAGATACTGAGTTGATTAAAAAAGAAAAAGCACCTTACCCTTCATTTAAGAGAAAAAATAAACGTTGAAAGTCCTATTTCACCTGTACTATTTTCACCGGAATGAGACTAACTTGGAAGAAAAATAAAAAATTTGGTATATTCCAGAGTATTTTCATGATAGAAAAACTGGTTTTTAATAACTCTGTAATTTTCATAATTTGTACATCAACAAACAAATCGTTATAACTGTTGTTTTTATCGAAATATTCGAATAAATCTGAGGCATGACGATCGTATTGTATGTACAAACACTGCTATCTGCTACAGCCGCCATTAATCGTCAGAAAATCTGGCAACGTTGTACACCTACATGGTCTATATATATATAGGTCAATGCAGATTTTGTTAAACATTGAAAACTTATCAGTTTCTTAAGAAAAAAATTGTGAAAAAGTTACAATTACCTTTTAAGGTAGTTATCGTGCGGTAATCTGAACAAAAAATTTTTCTAAATATGTGCGTTGAAGTCCATGAAATACTCCATCTACGCCTCGAAAACTTTACCTCAGTGAAGTTAGCCGGGCAATGTTAAATTTTTAACTTTTTATCATACCAAATCGATTGGTGGTCGTTTGGTGGTCATTGGTGGCCTAATAAAAACATTTGGTGGTCAGTCATTCTTTTATAATCAAATAATCAAAATTTGACCGTGAAGTTAGAAGAAATTTGTTTTTTTTTCAACGAATTAAGTTTTTCAGGTGCTCAATCGATGCGTAATCGTTTGGTGGTAACGAACATCATAATTAAAATGTTTGGTGGTCGTTAGTTTTCGTAAAAAAATTTAAAAAAACGATTGCAGTGTCCAGCATTTACTGGATATGGGTGTAGCATCACACATTTACGGTCGATAAAACAGATATTTCTGAACAGATTCTCCCTTCGAAAGAATTAATCAATGCAAGAACACTAGCCGATGGTTGGTAGTCTAATTAAAACATTTGGTGGTCATCAATTAATGCACGAGGTATGAATAATCATACCACCGCTGCACGGCGAGCACCAAAGGCTATGATTGGCTGAGAAATGGATACAGGGGTATCGTGTCGAAACACATTTTACGTGATAAAACTTATAATTCTAAACCGATTTTGCTCGGCATGGTCCCGTTCGAAGCAGCCGGTTGTACAGCCGGTTGCCTGTACTTGGCGCGAGACTCGACCGAGTCTCTTGATTTTGATATGAAGTTATTATTTCATATTTTTATATTAAATATGTGTATATTTAATTTATAAATAATATTATTTAAAAATATAAGTATGTATAAGTGCAAGCTTGTGATTGTACATTGAGCATTAAATTTGATCTACTGTTTCGAGATTTTTTTGCTACAATGTATCGTCTGCTTTCGTAGAACATGTAGAAGCATGATTTTCGTTAGTAGCTCGCAAAGCGTGTAACACAAGTGTGCTATTATTTCTTTTGCTTAAATTGGATTGTGATCGATTGCAATGGTGATACGATTCGTAGATTTGTTCAAACTAGGTGAGAAACCTTCTATTGAGGTAATCACCTTTGCACAAAGATACGGACTTATGAGTCCTATGAGCTATGGCTCGGACTTTCAAGTGTCCAGTGTGCGATAAGAACATGATTCAATGCAATGCTGAATTTCTTTCGGAAAAATATCGTTGGCAATGTCATAGTTGCAAAACAACGAGATCAGTGAGAACTGGTTCGTTTTTTGGCAAATCGAAGTTATCAATGATCGAAATTTTACAATTGACATATTTTTGGATTCATAAGTACACCCAGATTCAGGCTCAGTGAGAATTTCAATGTTCCCCGGTCACGACGGTCGACTGGTACCATTTCTGTCGGTTATGGTTCATTTTTTTTCTAATAGGTGGCGTGACTGTTCCATGCGATTCACATTATATCCGGCAGATGGCGTTACCTCAAAAAACCTAAGTCACTAGCAGCCAACTTCAGTTCGGAGTCGTATACTGCAATTTTACCCAGTGTATGTTAGATTAATTACATATTCATTGTGCAGGGTTAAGTAAAATTAACCAATCATGTGCATTGATCGTAATTGGTTAATCCATGGTTTGTTAATCCTACTTGAATACCGCACGAGGTAACTAGTTATTTATAGAAATACTTGCGCCATCTACCAGTTCGTTGCTTAAACAGTTGGAAAACTGGATATCTTCCTTATCGATAATGGTGCCACCTGAACGAAGAGAACTACTTTCACAACCGTCCACGTTCCGACCTTCTGAAACTCTCCAAGAAAAAAAAAACAGGGTAAGTATCTTTATCGACCCGTTACCTGGTGCTAATTCCCCATGTTGGCCAGCACTTCTATCTCCACAAGTGCATCGCCAAGTCGTATATAATATGAAAGTATACACGATACATCTATCTCGCAGGTATTCTAGCAGTTCCAATTGATTGTCCTTGAGCTTGATCTTTGCCTCTACAGCAGCTAGCGAGCAAGACCGTCGTGACGAATGAGCCCTGACCTAACCTATTCTAGGCTATGTCTCCGTCCTCCACATACAGACAAAGCCTAGGAGAGGCTAAATCAAGCGACTCTCAAATTCAACTCTACAACAACGACGTAGCGTAGTTACGCTATGAGAATATAAAACTAATCCGAAGAAGGTGCTTAGAATTTGATGCTGTTCCTGACGATGTATTAGGCGGTGGTTGAGAAGTGTAAGCATCATGGAACGGGATTCTCTTGGTGGGTCAACCAATGGCGAAAGCATGTCACGCCTAAAAATACATCCAGTGACGGCAGGTAAACGCGAAAAGGTCCAAAGGAATGACGATAAAATATACTGAGGTAAATAATTAAGAGAGAGACGTGTGTATAAAACGAACAAAGGGAATTGCACAAGAGGGACCGTTTGATATTCCAATTTTTTTTCTTTTAAATATATCCTCTTTTCGACATACACATATTCCAATGGATGTATCTGACTTGTTTACTCCTCACTACTGAAAACCTCCTACGTAACTGGTAGAACTTGCTTGTGCGCTTATCGAAGTCTCCACCGTTGTGATCTCTATGTATTGAAGTCTCACTGATGGTAGCATATATTCGCCTCTCTTTCTCTCTCTTTTTTTTTATATTTCTTTCTCTACTTCTTATTCATATTCTCTGTCCTCCTGTATACGCGGCCATAATATTTTGAAAAGTAGCCAATGGATTCAATGGATGATTTGAAGTACACAATCTGTAGACTCCGTCCAGTCGTATGTGCCTTACAATTATTATACATCCTTTGATCCAATTCTCACATCATTGTATAATACATTTATTATGCACGTTAATTACCCCTTATCATTGTACTGCCATTGTCGATTCTCTTCTTATTTTTATCCGCTAATCTCCACGAAGAAAGGTCACTGGAAATTTCTGTTATTATTATCATTGTTTTTATTTAAAAAAAAACACTTGGCACCGAAAATTTACACTGAAAGTGTCTAATTGAATTCACTGTTTTATTTGCAGGTGGATTTTCAGATTTTGAAATATTGAATACACCAAGTCTCTTGTCTTGTGACTCAGGACACCAGTATATCTGCGGGAGGATGGTCAATTGCGGTTTATTCGAAAAATTGTCTTCTGGGATCTGCACCAAGCAAATGTTTCTTCTGTGTAAAAACCACGTGCGGCGTCCACGGTTGCACCCATGGGAAAGTCAAGCCTCTCCTTATTCCAGTAACGCGTTACGAAGACTATGCGGGTAACAGAGAAAGAACCTCATGAGTCTGGGGAACGTGCGAGGCGTGCGAGCACACGAGAACCTGGTGTGTGCACCCACTAACCACACTTAACCACTGCCCAGGAGAGCAGCACCGTTTCCACTCAGGTTACTCCGAGATGTATGCGTGACGATAATACATGTATCTACATATTAAAGCACGCGAGGAGAACGAGAAGCATCTTCCTTGGTCTTCTGGTGGGGCAGCGCCAAGGAGTCAAACCTGGTGCCCCGCATAACCCTCTCGCGAGGTCCAAAGGTGGGATATCTGGTGGGATGGGGATGAATGAATCTACAATGGGTATTCATCATTGTCATTTGACTATCTTACAGTTGTTGTTGAGGGAAAAAAAAAGAAATTTGAATTTGAGGTAAATTAAGATAACAAAACTTTTTCGTTTATTTCAAAGTAAGGCCATGCGTAATTCTAATTAATGCTATGTGAAATAGCTCACTCGCCCTCCTACCATATAAGATGGCGTCACTCTTGCGTTGGTTAGGCCCAACCTGTTCTCATACACTCTTGGCATTGCGCCCGTATGAGGCCTGATCCGCATTCCCCGAATCGCGGGAATCCCTGACGTTCAAATTTCATGTATATCCTAATAGTTAGTAGTTTAGGGGAAAATAGGCAGTTACATGCGTTTTTTGTATTTGATATATCAATGACAACTTTTTCTCAGAACCGCACCTTGGGGTCTTAGACAAGTTTATTTATCTATGACTACCTCGTCCTATGGATCCTGCCAGTTAAAATTACGTGCACATTGTATCGGATGGTTAATGCGGATCAGGTGGGTTCTTTTTTGAAATAAAAAAATTTGTTCCATTCATTTATTTAACGTTGTACTGTACCTTTTGTAGCACTGGCAAAACATTCCGCATTCCTCGCGAACCAGCGAGACAAAGATGGCCGCGGACGCTGAACGATAATTTATTAACTAGTCCGGCCAGTCGAATCCCAACAGCAAATGGCTCGGACTCGCACTACTCCATCCGAAGATACCCGAAGGATTCCATGTCCTTTTCGTGTCCTCCTCCCGTTGGCCAACTGCGAATTTCTCATAACTGACTAATCCCTCCCTCAGCCCCTCACTCAAAGAAGCTGACCTCCACTTTGTTTTCTATCGAGATAAAAATTGTGCTCGTTACATGATAATCATGCTGCGTGAAGCTAATAAATTCTTGTCATCCTTCCCAACTCAAAGGACACCCGAGATACTGGAGCTCTGTCTGGGAACAAAAAATGGGCCTCCCTTCCTCCCTGATAAGGATAGCAAGAAAGTAATTGTATAATAAAATACATTGTATACTACCACAAAAGATATTTCATTACTGCACTTTTTCACTGATATTTTATATACGCCGATCCAATCGTCTCAACGAAATTTTCTGAAAGTCTGGATTATACCGATGGATGGGTCAGTCTCTGAATTCTTTAAATTCCTACTGGATCCGTTAGCAGGTTCGACATCTTAGTCTCTGTGAGACCTCGAGATTGTGTGGCTAGCCGTTGCAGGCAAGTAAATTCTCGAATCATGACGTCGGGATTGGACAAGGATGTTAGATCGAGTTAAGCCCAAAAGAAAGAGAAGGAGGGAGATGCAAAAAAATAACTGCTGAAGAAAAAATAAATAGGCATTTTGCTCGAGGCATTTCTTTATCCCGGCGCCACCAGCACATATCCGGAGACGCCTGTATGCATATATATATCCAACTATTCATATAGATATCGATGACCATCAAATGTACACTGCGTTACTTCGTTTCGTGTATGGAGATAATATTTTTCTTTATAATTGCGATAGTTACGTCGAGTACCGCTTCCTCTAGAACGCTACGAATGTATTGGGTGTTTTGTTAAAAATCATTGCTATACACGATATAAGACGTGTAAGGTCATATATAATGTGTCGTGGTAATTAATGAAAATAAGTTATAAGTATATACTGTTACACTTCTTAATCTTGTATCTATGTTGCAGTCTTGATTGGATCCGGTTTACATTGGACCTCAGCCCTAGATAAAGGTTTCTGTATTTTTCACACGTCACCAAGAATATCAAAGTCATACGTATAAAGGCGCGGGAGTCTTTATAAATAAATCTACGAAAGGCATTGGCATTTAATTGGTATTTGTCCGAGAGTCTGCAACGTCGCCGTTGTGACCCTGACATTTACGCTGATGCATTTTGCATGTCGTGGCAACGTTAGGCTCCATTCACAGCATGTAGTCAAACTGTTATCAAGTATTCCGAACGCGGTTCTCCAGCATGATACCATTATGGACCTTAGGAATGGTGGTCTGGATTTAGTTGTATACTTGGTGGTTGTCATGGCGACAACAATGTACATCTGAAAATTGGTCAGCTTGTTTCATAATACGTAATTATTATTGGCTTTGGGTTAATGAATAATTCATTGTGTGAACGCACCTTAAAATACGTAGATGGGGAGTTTAGTCGGGCCTACCTGACGAATAATAAACTCATTTTGAAAAAAAAAACAAGCGGCCCGTTCGACCTCTCTTGCGAAAAAGGACACTTCTTGCGAATGCGCCGTTGCTGCGTCTCGACGTCTTTATGCTTTGTTTGCTAGAGCTTGGGTTAATATTGGAGAAAATATAAAAGAAGAAGAGGATGGGGATAGGCAAGAGCAAGAGAACTCTCTTACGATGGACAGATGCAAAAGGATATAATCATTTGTAAAACTGTCCATGCGGGTATACGTACAATGTAAGTGAGTGAGTGAGTCAGTGAGTGAGAGAGAGAGAGAGAGAGAGAGAATGTAAGACAAAATTGAATCACGACTATAATAATTCAAAGAAAAATATATGAGTTTAACCATGAATTATTTTTCAATTATTATACTCAATTAATCGTCTCTCTTTGTTGCTCATTATTAATGACATTAATTGTTCGTTTTAGTTTTCAACACCGCTTCGGACAAGTCCTCGCGCAATCTTGCCGTACGTAATAAAATGAAAAGAAATAAATGGAGTGCACTCGAAGGTATATTACCTGCTGAACTTTTTAACGAGGTCTTCTTTATGATACGCCCCTCGCCTTATCCTGGGGGCTCCCGCAATTTTCTTAGCCTGATAAGATCGTCGTAGCTAAAAATACACGCGGCAGTATATGTAAAATACCTCATTGCGCATGCGCACTGCTGGTACTGGTAACGACAGTACAGAGGCATACATGAAAATGAAGATGCTCCGTTCGGTTGCACCGTACCTCCATGTAGTGATGAACATATATTATTATTATTATATTTTTAAAAACGAGTACATATGATAATAAGAGTAATGTATGATATTATATGCTCGCGGTAATCAGCATTTTTATGAAGATTGGCGCCTTCAGGAATGCAAGTTTAACGGGTCCATCGTCGTTTCCAGTCGTGCTACCTACTTAAACCTCCATCTTTTTCCACGTTATACCTGAATGGCATTAAAAATTTTCTTTGCCGCCTTCGTGCGTGGAAACGTTACTGTCCAGGATATGCTTGTTTCTGCTCCCATCGACTCCAGAGGCTTTGCAGATCCTATCTACGGCATCCTGTACCGCCATCTGACCATCATTCCCAATTTTAACTTGTTACTTGAAAGTACGGACGGATCGACATATTTCTTTGGTCTCTTGGTCTGACAGTTTTTGTGTACAGTCTAATCGCAAGTTTCAGAGGAAGTTACCAGGTGAGAACTATAAGATGAAAACGCCTGGGGACGTACATGCGATGTAGCGAAGGTCGCGGCAAGGCCGTATGTACTCATTTGGTTGCACGTATCAAATGATTCCACTTGTTTTCTTCGCAGTTAGAAAATTAACTATTACATTTAGAAAGGAATGCTACGAAGGATGGACACCGATGATGAGGATTTTAGAAGGTAACAAGAAGCTCTACTGGGTTCTACTTTTTATAGATTTGCTTTCATCGATATTCAGTGAGGTCAATCTTTTAACTTGGATTTTTTTTTTCATTATCTTTATATAAGCAATATGTTCCTTTTGTTAAAAGTCGTTTGCTATGTACTCCTGTCAATAATCTATATATGCTCCTATCGGGATCAATGACACACCCGCCGATTCCCGTGGCATCCTCCGCGACCTACGTAGGTATCATGTTGAATTCCAAGCGCCTTCCTCCACCAGCGTCACGACTTCGCACGGCGGGACCTACTGGATTTCTATTTATATACCGCGCGCGAGACCTTGCGTGCTGTAAAGGAGGACGCACTTACTAAACCTGCCCCAGGGAGCACGTCCCAGGATCCTTTCCTGAAATTGACCGGCAGACTGGGCCGGTATCGGATGAACCGCAGCTTGTCGGATACCACGTTTGAATCTGACTGTTATTTCTTTCTTTATTTTTTATCCTTTTATAAGGTAGGAGAACAAAGAAACGATATGGTAAATACTAGTATAACGACAGCATAAAAGATTCCATAGGACTTTGGAAATACTCCGACTCGTTGAAACAACTTGGGAATATCGTTAGCCCGGCACTTCAATAACTCAGAATAATTTATTGCAAATTGAAGCATTTGCCTGCCCTAAAACCGGCCTGCATCCTTGTCCATGGATACACGTACGTGTGGGTGTATGGATGTGCTGTGAGGTCAATGACATGGAACTTTGAGACACTGTGAAATTATCTGCAGCATGCAAATATTTCTTGCTGCTTTTATTAATCATGATGTTGAGACTAAGGGATGAAGAACAAATTTGGAAATTTGTTACTTTGAATCCCTTTTTCGACTAGTTGAGCTAGTTGACTTAATTATCTTGCTATAATTTTATTGTACGGAGATGGTATAAGAGCTTATACGTACTTACTCTCTATTGGGCAACGTTATAAATTTGCTACTGTCAGCATAACAATTCAAAAGACTCTTGAAAACGCAGTGGATCCTTTATGTATTATAACTCCATCTGCTTGAGGTATTGGGAAACTTGCAGCGCTCTATAATAGTATCTTAAGAGTGGGACCCAATCCAAATCAAACTAATGAAACCCATATGAAAATGTAACAAAACACGTATGCGTGCACTCTTAAACTGTGTTTTTGTTACTCTTTTGTCATGTACAATTTCATTCTGTTATAACTAATGTGTGTACGTTTCAACGATGTAGAATTGAAGGCACCTTCTGACTGACAATTCTTTTTAACTAAAATACTGTCAAGATCAATAATAATATAGAACACTGGTTTCAAACTGCTTTGATTTTGCCAAGGTTTCTAAACGAAGTATGCTAACAATGATTTTTGCACTATTGTTTTAGTCAAAGATAATACGAAGAACAACCGTTAGACTAACTGGGGCTTTGAAAATCAAAGTATTATTTAAGGGGTTAGACCACTGTAGATGCGGAGAAAATAGGCGTATTTTGTGAATTTTTTTCAGCAGAACTATGAAATAAATTGGAATTACAAAATAAGGTGTTTATTATACAAGTAATAAACTATAAAAAATAATTTTTTCAAAGCGACACATGTCAAAATGGCGACTGCACAGCATTTCTCCGATGACGCCTTTATTTATACGGCCGAACTAGTATCTCCTGCAATTTTTAAATTACGATGAAAAGCCAAAGAATTCTCTTTATGACAACAGCTATAGAAGTACGTAGGATTTTTTCGATATATTGATTTTTGCCAAAATGGCGCATTTCTAAATCGAAAAGTATAAAATGCCATGAAAAAATCATCAGGAAATTGTTTATAAAAAAGGAACTATGCAGTATAATGAAAAAATCCTACGTACTGCCTTAGAAGACATAATTCTAAATGTACAGTTAAAATTTCAAATGAATCGGTTGAAATTTGTTTGAGTTATGAGTTCGGCCGACTTGAAAAATGTAGTTTTGAGATAAACGCGTTTAAAGTTTGTAGAAAGTCAGGATATGAATAATGTTTCAATACCTAGAATACGAAAATCGACTTAGGGATTTTTGACGCACATAATCTTTTGGAATATAGTTCTATAGATACTAAAGTACCTTTTTAACAAACAAAAATCGATTTTTTGAAAATCCTACAACGGCCTAACCCTTAAAAATTTATATTACTTAATTCTGACTTTAACGCTGTTTATCTCGAAAACTTGAGCAGTTGATACAATGAGCTTCGAACATTATTTTTTCTTTGTAAAAAATACAATCATAGACGATCATCTGATTAAAGGGCTGAAGAAATCGTAATTTCCCCTTATTCCGTGTAAAGTTAACCATGTAGTTTTATTACAATGGAAGTTATAGAATTCTTGTATAGAGTTTGGACACTTCCGTATTTTTACTATTAATGCGTTGCAGTACACTGTGCCAGGTTACAGGTTTTCCTGCTTCAGGTTTGTAGTTGAAAGATTTGACGCTAACAGAGGGCAGCACTTGATGGGTGGTATATCTGACGCCATGCCTTTCATAATTTTGAAGATGCTGAGGATACTTACAATGTAGGTGCCAACTACTTAAACTATATTGTTGGATTGGCGAAATTTCTCATTAGTCACGTATGACTCCAATAGGACTAAAAATGTGACCGTCATGAATCTTCTTATAACCCAAGTTAGTCCTTTCGCAGCACACATTCAAATGACATTCCTTCATGAGGTCATTGAAGATAAAGATATTTCAAGATCCAAATAATTTTAACAATATAAACTATGATTTTACATGCATGAATTAATCGTATTTAGTTATTTAGTAAGTTGAAAAACATTACGACGGTTGTGTGGTTGGTGTCGATCTTTTCATTCAAGTAACCATCTTGACGACATACATAAGACAAAATCCATATATGGTTGGATCCATTACTTATTTAACTTCATATACCAGAGTAAAATATTCGGTAAGCGCATCTTTTCCACATATCTACGAAATCTGGAAACTTCAGGGAATGTCTTAGGATATTGGTTATGTATACATTTAATCGCTAAGTACAATATATTATCCGTTGACAGCGCGGCTGTGACGATTTGCCCATAAGAGACTACAATAAAACTCTTGATTTTTAACAGCAGTTATTTCTTGTTAAGTGCCGATAACCTTACCTGTTTCTTCCTACATACATATACTCCTTGTTACTGTAGATTCAACATAATTATGTCTCATTAAGGTACCCATCTAATTCCCATTCTCATTGAAAGAATTACCTTGACACAGATTTGATGCGAAAGAGGATTCAGAATTTGTAAAATAAATCCAATAGATCTCAAAATATTAAAATATTAAATGTTTCCTTTAATAACACTAATTTTATGGTAAAAACAATTTAATAGTAATACTCATTAACTTAAAGAGTTATTACTCGTTACACTGCGACGAATAAACAGTTAGTTTACGATAGCCATTAAATAGAAAAATGTTTCGGACAGAAAAATATATATCTTTTGACAATATCACTGTTTATTTAATATAGGTATAAAATTAATTAGTAAAATCATTTAAAAATTATTCGATATCGTTTTACATTATCAAGAGCATAGTAGAAATGCTAATATATACGTATGTGTATATATGTCACTGGCACTGTATTTACTAAAATAAAAAGCAAATGTAATAATATGCTTTCAAAACTTTCATTGCTACAGGTGTCATCGTTCATATTCATTCAAGATGATTAAAAATGTAAAGGTACCATTAAACCAGTAAATGCTTGTGCAAGAACGCAGAAAATAATTACTTACTTACAATTAGAAAATGTGAATTAAAATGGAAAGTATTTAATGTTAAGGAAACCTGCACGTATGCCTGTATGTACAACGCAGACCCAACACTACAACTAAACATGAATATCATCACAGAACCGTTTTAAACTGTATATTCTCTTACCTTCATAATTCTGGACTAAAAATAGCAACAACAAGAAATAATACATATTGTACCAGTCATCAGCAATACACAAGGAAACTGTGGGATACGAGTGAACATTTTCAATAAACTGATATTTGGCAGTAATTTATAAATTCATTGTCAAAAGAAATTCTTCCACCATTTTGATTTATCAAATAAAAATAGTATCGGAGGATACTAACTCTAACTTTTGTTCGCTGTACATCGACATGTATACTATATATAAAAAACACACACAATCGTTACGACTCACGCGCGCTTGCACTCACAATAGAAAGCTACTTATCTAAAACAAAAAAAAAATGACATAATCAAAAGCTATTGCTAACATTAAAGGTTCACCATGAGAGGTTCAATGACACGTGTATTAATCAAACAGTCTCGAGGAACGTGACGAAAAGAATTTTCGAGTTGATAAATATTTTACAATTAGGGTTGACCGTACAGTAGATCATTAATTGGATGAATAAATTACAAGATGATCATCTGCGCTGTTACGTTGCAACGCAGACAGCAAGATTACAGCATCGAGGTTAAAGTTCCTCTAGCTTCAACGATTTCCTCTCTTCCTCATTCCTACTTTATACTCGACACTTTTTTCTTTCTCTCTCTCTCTCTCTCTCTTTCTCTTTTACAAAACGCTACGAATTTATCACATAGGATATCCAATCGACGGTCTTCGCTACCCGGTGATAGATGCCAGGTTGTCCAGGTTGGGCGCAGGAATATCCAGCGGATACAATACCAATCAGATACCATCTGCCGGTCTTTTCCATCATCAATGGTCCACCGCTATCGCCCTACAATAGGAAATATAATGTATTTACAGTGAAAGTCAGTGATGACAAAGTATCGACTGTACCATCTATTAATAGAATTTTGTTAACGATTGATTACAAATTGTATTAATTTACCTGACAAGAATCCTTCCCGCCACCCCGATAACCAGCGCACATCATCTCGTCGTAGATGACGACATTTATGCCATTTGAACGGTGCCATCTCTCGCATACACGATTATCTATCACAGGAACATCCACCGCCTGTAGAGTCTTAGGTCTCAGTCGTGATCCTACGAAGAAGAGGTATCACAGTCACAAAATGAAATTGTCTTATGAATAAAATAAATTGGTGTTCCTACTAATTTATTTACCTGCTTGCAAAGCACCCCAGCCGGCAGCCCAGCCGTACTGACCCAGGAAGTCCTCATTTTTCTCAGGTAAACAAATAGGTGCTATATGAGGCATGTAATGTACAGGTCGATCCAGTCGAAGTACCGCCACGTCAAATCTATTTCAATATATTACATACCGTTAACTGTTTTATATTTATTTACTAATTGCAGTGCATATTCATTCCATAAAATTACCTGTCAGCCTGGGGTGTAAATTTGAAGTAGGGATGCACGCGAATTTCTCGAACGCCAAACGTGTAAGCCGGTAAGGTTTCTGAAGCTGAGTTCACCACGTAATCTCCAAGAGTGACCTGCACTTGTCGTGCGGACGCCCTGATTTGTCATTATTAAATTATTAATTATCTAAACTGTCCAATTAAATATTTATTTGACTCAACTTACTTAGCTACGCAGTGTCCAGCAGTTACCACATGATAACGATTCACTAAAGTCCCGCCGCATCTGCTAGATCCTATTCTGATATACGCCTGGAAAGAGTATATCAGACGGAGTTTAAAAAAAGCAAAATGTCATTAATCTATAAATTATATTTTTTTATAAAAAACAATTACCTGCCAGGGAAAACTGCCAAAACCAGCCTCGTCCCCACCGACAATACGTCTCTGTGCAGTCTGCTTGGAAACTGAGATACCGCAACCTAAAATAAAGAAATTTTTGTTGAGACAATTCAACCACAAAAAAATGGAAAATCATGAAATTACGTTGCAACTGAATGTGGCACAGGTTAATCACGCGAATATTTTCAATGGTATCCTTGATTTGTCAGGATGAAACCCAGAGATAAATAAAAGAAAAAACAATCTAATGATTAAATTAAAAAAGCGTACAGCATCGCAGCTCATCATGTCAATTAGTTACGAAAGCCGAAACAATAGAATCTCACGCGCAGGCAGGCAAAGATGCATATGTATAGTAAGAAAGAAGCTAAGAATAGCCAGGTACAAGTGAGTGATAAACGAAAGTGCAGAAATGGGGAATATAACAGAAACAGTCACAGTCTTGAAAAAAAAAAAAAAAAAATTGAAAATAGAGAAGAAAGTCATGGATTTTCATAAAGTCATCCTATAGCGTGTCTGATCCATTTTCATGTCTTGGGGATGTCATGCAAGGGACTTACGATTGTCATTGATGGTCTTCGTGTACGACTTCATCGCAAGCAGGTGAGTCTGATCTTTAGGCGAGTCGAGCGTGTTATAATCTGAGCTAGATTTCGCGCCTTTTCGTTTACAGCAGGCGAACATAATGCCGCCGCAAGCGCCATCCAAAAGCCCGGCGGACATCCAGCACATTAGAAAGAATTCGCAGCTTCCGCCATCGACGCATAAAGAATCGTCGCCCTCCCAAGGTGATCTCTTACGTTTTCGTGTCTCTGCACATACCATAGCCAAACGTTCAACGTGTTTTTTCCTTGTTTTATGAAAAAAAAATTTTCCTGATACTTTTTCCTTTTTTCTTTTTCCTCCTCGACGGCACAAGTGCAATTGGATAGCGCGAGTTCCATCGAATTCTGTTACTAATACTGCATACTACATACAACCCGGGCCACATTTAGGGCAAGTTTGTTATACAGGAATGTGAGATAAGAAGTAGAAGAAGAAGAAAAAGCCAGCGAGAAGCTTTTATGGAGACAAAGATAATGAGGGGAAAAGAACGCACGACGTTAGTGTCTCAAGGGAATTTCAGGATTATCCATAGTATACCCTGTATATATCAAGACTATTCTGTTCAAACGTCCCAGATTGTTGTAAAGCATTGTCAAGTGGTTGTCAATTTAAAAGACAGATGTTAAATTTGACTGGTGCGCTTGGAACGAAATAGCCCTGTATAAATATAAAGGACAGGTAGAAATAGCTGCTTCTTAATGCAGATTTTCCCTGGATATAAGAAAAACGATAATCTTACCGGTATCGACTCTAGGAAACTCGTTGAAAATCTGCTTACGATAATCTAAAAGAAACATTTTTTTTATTGCACACAAAGTGAAACTGAAAAATGAATGGCTGTATGTATACCAAGATTCTCATGATGAATTAATCGTATTGCAGTACCTCGAATATCGTCATCCGGTTCCTGCAGTTGATTCGATTGAAAGAACGATGTACCGGAAATGCCGAAGGATGACGGGAAGTCATTGTCGCGAAAGATCAATCGTGGAGTTCTATGACCCATGACAGGTCTTACGTAATCGGCACCAGCTACCGGACTCCTCCATGCAGTTTTGTGTTGCCTCCAAGACTGAGGATACTGAGATCCAAAATAATTACCAGTATACCCAGCAGCCCTTCCGGTTGCGGGGACTTCGTAAGGATGACCCGGTGCCGATGGGAATCTGACATATCTTTTCCTTCTGACAATATCGGTGCTTCCTGTCCTATTATTAAAATTAGTAGCGGCATTTCCGTCTAGCTGGATATCCTCCAATAAATTTGCCTCCTGGCTCCTTTCAATTTTCAATATATCTGAATCACTTCCGGATACCCAACTTGTACTCAAGATAAACACGAGCACTAGGAGAAAGCGGAGTTGCAAATTGGCCAGCTTCATTATCACTGCAAAGTCAAAGAATGAGAAACATTAAAAATTAATAGAGGAGCATCAACTTGCGCAATGCTAATTCCATACTACAATAAGTGAAAGTATTATTGGAGAGACTTGATGAAGATAAGGAAAGAGAAAGATCATGATTTTTATTAATAAAATTACGCTCCTGTAACGCAAGCGCTTCCGCATAATTACGAAGGGGAAAGTAATTCCACGATTATCATTGTAACAGACGGCAAATCGACCGGAAATATCAAACCGGATGTGATCAGCATTCCTTGTGACATATTCGACTGGCCCTCGTTATTACTTACTGTGCCGTGTGGCAATACAGCACCACGTGAAAGAATTTCATATTATCCAAAGGCGTAGACTCATTAGACTAATGCTTTCTTTCTTTAAACTACTGTAACTACGCATTTCTTAATGATGGCAGCACCATATCTGTACAACGTCAAAACATTTTAGAAAAAAATAATACAATTTTTGAAAATAAAAAAAACTCCTCGGGTATCTCCTGGTCAGGTACATCAAAGATCCCGACTTGAGCCACTGAAGAAAAAATGAAGAAATAAAAAAGAAATTGCGAGGATAAGATCAACAAAATACGACACGGTCCTACAATGAATAGTGTACATCCTGGGATTCCCCACAATAAGATTACTTTGTCTATGTCTGACAAAAACTGGTTTTCACCAATACAAGTATTTCAATATTGTACTCTCTAAAGTCTTTCTATCTCCATTAGAGTCAATTCCAGATTTTCTAGACCGGTCAGGCTTCATTCTACATTCTCATAAATTTCACCGTCAGCCATCCAATATTCCAATTACACACAAATATATAAACAACTTTTTACTTTGAAAAATTCTTCAATGTTCTACGTTCACCAAAATGATGTCACTACTCACTAACCGCCACGCGTCAATGTTCAAATATAAGCGAATACATACAATTACATAATCGTGCCATAATGAGCGCAGTGAGTGAAAGTAAAAGAACTCATCCCGGAACTCGCAAAATGACTAATAGCAATAACTTTTCGTACCAGCAAGATGCTAAGTAACACCCCCTCCCGCCCCCCACAAAAAAAAAGTAAAGTACATACACAAATTTCTTCTACGTGTACACTACGCATCCCAATTCCACCTATAATACGTTCATATTCATCATACTCTCGTTAAGCAAATACATTACGATAAAGAAACATTAACGAGCATAAAATTACTCGAGAGATAACAATCTTGACACCCTTTTGTAATTTCTTATTGTCTTGGTTTCCTTTCTCCGACTGTGGAGCTATTCTCAAATCTTCAACAACAAAAATCATCCACACCGTCTACGACCTCACTTGCCCCAGTAACAATTGCTGCGAAATGAGCCTTTATTTAACGTTAATTGCAATTATTCTAATGGGCCTCCCCCCCCCTCTTTTTCTTTTCTAGTAGTGTACTACTTTTCCAGGCATACAGTATATGCCTGGAATCACATCAAATATACTATATCGTTCGCGTGTATCTGTACAACGTGAATTAGAAGCATCGCAGCGTGTGGCAGTGCCACTGTTATTACTCGACGGCCATGAAGTGTTTACCACACTGTACCAACTGATTTACAGTGAACGGTTCGAAGTGTTACTAGGTCATTGGCTCTGTCGTAGGAAGTGAAAGTGGCTCTCGTCACGATGAAGTTCACGTTCATGGGATTTTTCGCCAATCCGAATCCAGCGCTTATGGAATTCTCGTTACTCCTAGGAATACAATGATAAGCCATTGATTGGACGAAGACAATGTATGCTGCTATTGCTGTGACTGTGATACACTGTACAGAGAAAGAATTTTTTTCTATTGACATAAAAAAAAGTGCAAAAGATGATTATGACAATGAATGACTTACGTCAGGATCTCATAGAGGACCCTTCGATTGATTTATGATGAGCGATACCCATACTTTTTATTGGCTAAGAACTTTCACCTTCTGAACATAAGAAAGTTTCCGTGGTTTAGGTGGAGTGGTGAGAATTTTACTCTCGTGACTTGAGATGAGAGAGACGTGTGCCATCTGTCTGAGATAGAATTTTTTTTTCTCTCTCTTAATGTCTAATACTGTTTCCATACTGTTGTCATTTTCACTATTTGATTTTATGATTTGGTATTTGCTAACTTTTGCCAGTGTCTGTATAGACCGTATAATGGGTTTAAAGAAATTTTCCGCGACCTTGAAGTGTGCTTTCTTCACGCTCTGATTCCTCGATATCAGTTTGCCGTGAACACTTTCCATTGTGTAACGATATCCCTTTTTTGTTCTACCTTTTTTCGTTTGACGTTTAAACGTATCGTTAGCATGCTATTATCAAGTAATAATCTACTTCGAAGATATTAATGATAATTGTTGTTTAAACAATATCGTTTTTTTTTCTCTTATTACAGTTACTGGATTTATATTTAAGTTAAAGAGAAAAAAAGAGAGAGGCGAGCCATGAGGGACACAAACGGTTGATTAAATGATAATTTCTATATTAATACGGAAGGTTGAATCAGTCTGGTAAACACCAATTTTCTATATGAGAACGGCAATACTTTCACTTACTATAAGGTGCTCGATTAGTAGGTATTGGCTTTTTCCATGACCAAAATCTTTTCAAAATTCATCGTATAGGGGATTCGCCATTTTCCTTATGCCTTTCTTGTACAATTTCTCGAAAAACATGTCGCAGGTCGAACAAGATCCCACCATCGCAAAATATATCTAACCTAGCTTATTGGAATTAACATCTATATATAAAAAATATATATAAATAAAAAAACATCACTCACCGACTTTCTGTAAAGTATCGTCGGTCAATCCAAATTTCCAAATAAAATTACGTGCGTCGGCTCTCACGAGAAAAGGACGAAAAAGAAAAGAAATGTTGAAGAAGAAAGGAAATCGACACTTTCTAGCAGCACAGAAATCACAACAGCACCAAGGTATCACTTTCACACTAAATCAAAATTCGCGCTTCTCTCGTATCCTCGATGAGTCCCATTCGATTCCTCGTTCCGCATTTCCAATTGCGGCTTCCGGTGGTTCAACTTCAAAATAACAGAATCCAATTCCAGGGTAAAAGAGTTCCTTGCCGTATTTCTCACTGATTATTTAAAAGTACCATTCTTGTCTCAAGAGTAAAAGGAAGAACGAAAAATGTAATACAAAATAGAAATTTCGAAATTTCGGAAATTTTGAAATTCAAGCCGGAAACCAAGAGGAACCACTGTAACCGGATTACTTTTAAGTGCACTTGCAGCTGGACCCGCGAACCGACACCCGGGACTAGATATTCTCAAATATCAGCTACATTCGGACTTGTTAAATGTTTGTACGGAAATGTTAAACCTGTAGTCGATTACTAGGGACACTGAGAGCCGCGTGTGTAGACCCGTGAGAGCCTCTACACGGTCGACTGATGGCTACAGGCTCTACACCAAGCACCTAGTCCCGATGTTGGCCTTCCTGACTATCTCTCTGCCTGCCAGCTTACTTACTTACTCGCTCACTTGCCAGCCTGCCTGCCTGATGGTTACCGGTACCAACCGTATAGCCTACGTTGGCTCTCACTTTCTCCAGTTTGTAGTTTCATTTCGGTATATAAAACTCTCTCAAAGACCACCAGTCCTCCCACCATTTTACTTGGCCGGTGACTCGTTCTGGATCGTATGACTATCTGTCGTTATCCTTCTTTATCCTTATTTTCCATTTCTCTTTGTCAGATAAAAAATTGAACGAGTAGCAGGAATCTTTTGACGCTAGTAACCACCGACGTACAGTATATGTAGACTACGTACAGACATAGTAAAAATGGTCGGCTGAAGGAAAAAGATGACAACTGCAGACGACGGCGAAGCCCTGTCTATTTCTAATGAGCAGCTGTATTACGAAAGTATAGAGAACGTAGCCAATAGGAGTTTATTGTTTATTTGAACGGTTAGTTTTTTTGGAAACCATTAAAACTAGAAGAATGAAATTTAGCAGAAATATTCTTAGTTGAAAATTATTAGATACGTGTGAGACGAAATTGCAATTTTTACTTTTTTAAGGGGAGAAAGCGGGGGCGGTAGATGATCCAAAGGGTATCCGTGTCTCTGAAATCGCATGAGTCAAGAACGTGATATTCAAGCAATTGAATCTTCTGAGAAAATAAAGAGGTACGGTTTTCAAAAAGAAACCCGACAACTGGTGAACAGGGAGAAATGAAATTTTATACATTTTTTGTTTTTCATTTAAAAATGAAAAGAAGAAAATTAAGGTGATTACGTACCTCGAAAAGGTTGGTTTTCGATTCAACAATTGTATGTTGGATGTGCATTGGAACCATATTTTTATATTTGCAATCAGTTGTTATTTATTCTCTTTTGAAAAGGGGAGATACCTTTAGAAAATTCAAAAATGTCAAAATGGGATTTTTCCATAAAATGCTTGTTGAACATTTCAAGAATGTGAGTCCAAAGTTTTAAAGCGAAATTCGAAGTCCTTACGATTTTCTAGCCTCTGAACGTGACTCGTCTGCGCTCGACTTTGAAACGCGCCACGAACGGTTTTCTCTCAAAACCACATTTTCGAAGATCTCGTGCGAGATAATTCAAAAATTATTTTTTACGTATACATATAATCAACAATATTACCTTCCACTTGAACCAAGAGGTTTTTAAAAATTATTTTATTACCGATAAATATAGTTTATATTTCTTGTGAAATTCAAACATTTCTTCAAGACATGTGTGATTTTTTTAATTCTCAATTGTTATCATCTTTTTTAGGTTCAAATGGAAAATATGAACGTTAAAAATGAGAAATGTTCTTTTCCCAGTGTTTCAGATCAATACAAAGGACTCTAAAGTGTACGAGATCGAACAACTCGCGCCGCAAACGTCTCCATTGACAGTGCCATACAGCAGCCATTTCGAAATATTTTATAACACAAACATTTATTTTTTAATAGTGCAAAGTACAAACAAATAATACTAAACGTTTCAAGAATCTCTAATAAATTTTTCCTTTACAACAAAATTCGTTAAAAGTTGCTTATTTTGGCCCGCTTAAAGGTACTTCCTCCCTTAAGGAGTAAAGGAGGGTTAAAATTGAAGTTAGGGATAGAATTCTTTTTTATTCATAGACATGAAAGATGTAGCAAACCAGTAAACATCAAATTTCATTAAAACCGGTTCATAAATAAGCGAGATAATGAAGGGTCCGGGAGAGGAACTGAGATTAACCCTCTATGGGCCGAATTTTTCTTTTAACCCCAACAAAATTGTGGGAACGAAAAATCAGAAATTATAAACCTATATATGCAAATGAAAACAAATTTTTGCGTTTAAACAATTTTATTGCGATATATTCACTATGTGACTTTCAAGGCACACCGGCCTATAAAGTTATAGTTATTTTGTAAAATGTCGATAAATTAAAATGTGACCTGAAAGTTACACGGGCCCATAGAGGGTTAACTTCATAACAAAAAATAATCACCAATGTTTCGCGAAATATGGGTAATCAACTAGTTACATATAAAACACGTAGTTATTGGTAACCGAATAAACACTTTACGTTGTTCCAAAAACAAGAGTATACCTAATCTTCGGTCTTTTGAAAAAGACTCGTTATACCGTTTTAAAAAGGATAACAATAGTTGAGAGAATCGTTAATTAGATAACACTGAGTAGTTTTTTTTACAAATGTTAGCGTCTACACAATCTGTAGCACAGCTCATTCGGTCTTCAAATAACTCCCCCCCCCCCCAAAAAAAAAGAGAAATTCACATTTCAAATAATTATAATCGAAGCAATAAGCAGGCTGATCATAACTGACACCGCTGTACCAGGAGAATTGACGTCGCGACGTTAATATATCCAAGATATTAAAACCCAGAAGACAGAATTCAACGACAGTAAAATCAAGAAAGAGGGAAACTACCTGTTCCAGGCAGCGCGGAGAATCGTTCCTTTAAAATTCGTGGGTGAAAGTTAATGACTATCTCGCGAGACGAAGTAAAACTCAATGATTTCGGTCAATAACTGCAAACTCTAAGAATAACTAATAAATAATGCATTGCATAACAAAAATTAATTTTTCATCGACAACGTCAATGAATCACTGACGTCTGTATAATTAATAAAAAATAATGTCACGAGTGACGCTCGAAATACTCATAACATAAGACAAACAACCCCATCCATCTGCTTATGAAATTAGGAAATAATTTTATATTCAAACCGGTTAACATTCGTTATCACGTACGAGGATTATCCAAATGCCTTCAATCGCGGAATCATCCTTGGAAAGTCGTGGTAGCGTCGCCACGTCCAATTATTTTCGATAGTAAAACCAAGAGATGTAAATGAGCAGGACGAGAGGCGCCTACCGAGCGAAATCGAAAGTGCTTGAGGATGACCGAACGGTTGGCCATACAAAATACTAAAGTACATAGAAAATATATACATATATAGGTACCGTTTGCACGAAGGATATTATAAATATATAAAAAAAAGTATTTACATAACAAGTCAGAGGTACGATACGAAAATGGTGTTTATAATGATGCTGGTAAAGCCTGCAGATGCAGAGATAAATTCCAGTAGGATGCATCGTTGGACTTCCTGCAGATGCACATGGGAAAAATCTAGGTCGTCGAGTGTCGATCGACGATCATCGATGCTCTCGAGCGTCCCGACGTCGGGTCTCTAGTCGGCTAACTTCCAGACTTTCTCTCACTGGACTTGAAAGTTCAATCCTTTTCCTCCTGCTTCTTTTAGCTTAGATCAGATTAGATACTTGATGTATGTACATACGACAAGGATTGGTACTGTAATCAAAACAGATTAGAATTTAACTGAGTGAGGGTACGATCCTGATATGTGGATAAAAAATATGCAATCAAGTATGCATTAATGGTGGACATAATCCATGTAAGTAAAACAGATATAGTTGATCGAAAAATTATTTTCCACCAACTACAAATAAACCGAGGCTATTGTAACTGCACTAATTATATTACAGGTAAGTACTACGCAATTTTAATGATTGGCAAATACTCAGAGATCGACGACTCTTACCATTGTCTTTTAATGATACCAGAACTTGCGGGTTGAATGATCGATAGATCCTTCGGTGAGACTTCCTAACGGATGTTGGTGGATCAATAATTACGATCGTTACCCACCCATAGAGTCATTTGTTGACTGACTATTGAATAATACCATTGGTTCAGATAGACATCATTATATTCCTTGTTTGCTGATTGATGAGACTGTGTGAACAAGATGAAGAAATAAATATTTTATTACACAAGTTTACAAAGCATTTGCGCCGCCAGAATATTGAAACTCGGATGATCATAAAATACAGTAACACTATAAAACAATGTACAAACAGAACCAAAAAGAGAAAGAAAAAAACCACTGCCTCATAATAATGTGCTAAAAGAGAGCGTGTCACCCATTTATACAAGTTTTTCCATATCCCACTTTTTCAAGTCATCCGACAGATTGCATGTCATTATTAATTTTAGTAATTTTCGTTTTACACAATTTTTTTAATAGTGATCCAGTGTTCAGTGAATTGCACTGTCTGCGAATAAATAGGTTCGCGCGATTAGATTTACACAGATGAAATGATAGTCAGATGAACTTTGAAACGTCCTGTACCTATAATCGTATCGTATGTGTGAACAGAGTTTACTTTCTCAAGCACGCGACTGCCGTCACTACGCGGCTCCTCTTACTTTCTCCTCTGCAACCAGAAGTAGGTCCCGGATAGTCTTTTCGGGCACCGAGAGGACCTTGGCACAGGGACTCCAGTACCGCCTGTAGAGGATATAATTAAATAAGAAAAGTTGTACCAGCAACTTTAAAATACTGAATATACGTAGGGCAGATACCAATTATCCTTTTTTTTTCTTAATATATCTTTAATTACTTTATTATTATGTTTAATATTTGTTTCATGAACGCCAAAATCTTGATTGTGAGAAACTCTATGAAAACGCAATATATACATATTTTCCGCCTATAGTAACAAGTAGTGCAAGTAGAAAACTCTTGCGAAACTTGTATACAAAGTTACTCTGAGAAGTTTACGCGCTATTTCGCGCGCTTCTCGATTTCATTCGCACAGACACGAGGCTGCGCCTTAGTTTCATTAGCGAAAGTGAATGATACGTGACGATTTTTCTAAATAACAAATTTCTACTTGAATTACGAACAGTTATTTCTTCAAGATTCAAGCGCTACATAGGTAATGGAATACCGCGAGTAGAGCGAATGTAGCGACACGAAATATTCAGTGGATAAACGCGAAAACTGCAAAAACAAACTCCGTCGATAAAGTAAAAAAATGTATAGTTTAGTATCTAGGGAATCTATAGAAATGGATATTGACAACACTGATAAGCTTTTACGATGGCCACCAATGCAAAAAAAATACTCGCTGTGGTGATAACGAGAGGAAAAGAAAAATGAACGTGATGAAATCATTTCGCGATTCTTTGAAGACTGCCAAGAGCATTCTTATATTAACCGGTAGCGGAATATCCGCGGAATCGGGAGTGCCAACATTTCGGGGCTCTGACGGCTTTTGGCGAACTTATCAAGCGCAAAATTTAGCAACTCCTGAAGCTTTTGCTGCGAATCCGTCACTCGTCTGGGAATTTTATGAATATCGTCGACAGCTCTGCAGCAAAGTACAACCAAACAAAGTGAGTCCAGGGAATTAGATATCAACAGTATAAAAAAAAAAATTTGAATTCAAATTTAAAATTATTTCGATAGGCTCACGAAGCTATAGCTGCTTTTGAGAATCGTGCCAGAAACGAAGGCAAAAGTGTAACCATCCTAACGCAAAATGTTGATGGTCTTCACCAAAGAGCTAGCTCAAAAAATGTCTTAGAACTTCACGGCTCCCTGTACAAAACGCGCTGTACAAAATGCAAAGAAATTCTTCTCAATGAGAATATACCAATTTGTCCGGCTTTAGAAGGAAAAGGGTAATCAAGTTAATTTTATTATGAAGCACTTATTAAAGATTAATTTGCATATTAAGAACACACCAATACAGAGCACCGGATTCCAAAGAAACTTCCTGCATACCAAGGGAACAGTTACCACGTTGTGCAACAAAGACTTGCGGATCATTGTTGCGACCACATATTGTCTGGTTTGGTGAAAATCTTGAGGAAAAAGTCTTGGTTAAGGCTTGTGAGTCAAACGATGTATTCATATATTATTTCATATCGTTAATTACGAAATCTATTAATCGTTTTCTACTTTGTTCAGACGAGGCTGTCGAAAACTGTGACGTCTGCATGGTCATTGGTACATCTTCTATTGTTTATCCAGCTGCCATGTTTGCGCCACAAGTCGCCCAGCGCGGTGTACCAGTTGCAGAATTCAATATAGAAACGACATCGGCGACACGACAGTTTCAGTAAGGGTTTGTTATCTATTTAACATTTATAATCTTTAAATTATACTGATAAATGTATATACAAATATTACAGTTAGTTTATATGTAAAAAATAGTAACATTATCAAAGTAGAGTAAAAAGTAAAAATATTTTATAACATGCACGTTTATCTGGTACGAATCTTCACAGTTTCTCCAAGTTTCGTGATATAGTTCGTTCTTGAAATTGCTCCCACGTATGGAGTCTCGAATGAACTTAATTCACTGTCGCCTCTTGCCATCATTGCTTGTATCTAAATGAAATGATAAAACAATTGATAAAAATATAACTCCTTTACTGCTACAGGTATCATTTCCAAGGACCCTGCACGATAACCGTACCGGAAGCTTTGAAGTCACAGTGACAACGAGTAAAAATTCTTTTGAAATATTTTTATGTTGAGAATATCGACAATGTTCAAGAAGATTTGATTATTGTGATGTGTAAATAAATATTACTTACCTCTAACAATGCACAATTCGGTCGGGATACCCAAACTTTCTAAATACCAAAGCCATAGTTTCTGCTTGCTTGATAAATCATCCCCAGGACCTTTTACTTCTACAATTTTACACTGAAAATTCAAGTATTAGATATAAAAATATTCAGTATAAAAATATACAGAAATAGAATCCAACATTATTATGACTTACCTGTCTTTTTTCATAATTCCAGACGATGAGATCAGGAAAGCCTGACTTCCATGTATTATAGTCCTTAGCTAATTTCTCGCAAATGCCAAGGATTCCGTCCAAACCCAAACAAATAACCACTTCCTAAAAGAAAATGTTTTCTTTCAATACGTTTGTACGATAGAAAGTACAATACGTGTATTTATAACTTAAAAAAAAATGTTACCTTGAACTCTTCACCACTCTTGAAGAGATTTTTGTTCATAATGCTCTCATAATCACAATACTTAATATACTTTACAACCAAAGTTTCTACGAAACTCATAAAATCCTGTCCCCGTATTGATTTAAATTTCTTTTCGAACAAAGAACTTCTAATATCATAAAAGTGCTTGGTGTATAAATCCAACGGAGCTTCTTGATAGGAAGATAAAAAGGCACAAGGAGCCGAATATTCATACAATTCCTCCCAACATAGAACGGCAAATAAAAGCACTGGCAAGGATCCTTCACAGTGGCTTCCCTTACTGAATCCTTCCGAGAAGTAATGTTGCATAGCAACTCCTTCGACAGACATATAAAGACTGCTTTCATCTGCTAAATTCATTATCCAGGTACTCTTAGAACCTGAAATATTTCTGAAAATATATTTTTTCATTGAAGTATCGCTATTGACTTTGTAAAAAATAACACTTATAAATGATTTTTGTACATACCCCTTCATCAATGTACTTCCTATAATCTTAGTTACATTTGGATTCGATGGTAATACATTCTTTACCCTTTCTACTGCTGCTTTTAGATTGGCTTTAGTTTCCTTACTTATTCCAGTTTGTCTTCTTAAGAGAGTTTCAGCGCGCTTCAGCCAGTTAGTCGTGTCCAGCTCAGTGATGTTATTTTGAACCAGCGCATCCATAACGAATGTAGCGCTGGATTCTAAATCTTTTTTATAATGTTTTTCTAGGAGGCATAATTCTTGATACAAGGAAGCTTTATTGCTAAGCTGCACATGCTTTTGATTTATCAAGACGTTTAAGTATGTTATTACATCTTCAATGTTTTTAGATTTTTTGAAAGCATCCACACTCTTTGAGATTGTCTTCACCCAAAAATATTCAGGAGCAAACTTCTTTACATGAAGTGGAATTGAAGATTCTAAATCTCTATAACAAAAAAAAGAAGAATTTTTGAATAAACTTTGTAAAAGATTTATGAAAGTATATTGATATACTAACTATATTGATATACTCACTCCTGCTTCTCAGGTAAGGATATTAAACGATTGTATGAAAGTCTCCCAAGATCTCGTACAATATCCCATTTCTTATTTTCGATGGCTTTAAGCAAGTCGTGATAATTGGCTTTGCTTTCTACATAACTGAAAAATGGTAAATATCAATTTAACAATAATATAAAAATATTGAAAATTTACTAATACCTGATTAGATGTTCTCTATTGCCAAAAATAGGAAAGAATTTCATTTCTCTGGTAGGGGTTGGATAGAGAATTTTCCCTTCATGCACTTGGGTAAGAGTTAAAAACATATCACCCAGATCTTTTTGAGGGTCCTGCGATGGGAAAAATAAAGTAGCAATTCTATCAAAGGTGCTAGCCACTTTTTCTGATATATGAAAACATGGGCCAAGCTCTCTACATATCATGTTTCTCAAGGCATTCTTGGGACTCTTGGCACCAAAAAAATATATCCTAGACCCTTGCACCTGCTGCAGAAGGTTTTGTATTGATATCTCCTTCCTTTGACCATGTGGCACTTTTGACTTTTTACATATACTATCAACTTCTTTTACTTTTAATAATTTTAATAATATCTCATTGTCTTGGGATTGAATGTCTGCAATGAAAAAAAGGAATATAAATAAAGTGTTATAAGTGTCATGAATAAAATATCATACCTGAAGTGCCCATATTGTGTTTGATCAACTCTTGGAAAACAGGGATTAGATCCATATCAATCTCATTATATTTAATATCAGATATTCTGTACCATGTACGTTTTCTCTTCAACATTCTAGCAAGTAACATTTGTGCTTTATGACTAAGAGTTAGAATAGAAAAAGTTATATCCAATTCCTCCTCATTAAAATAACCACAATTAACCCCTCTTGAAAAGACTTCAGTGATAATGGCAAAAACATGCGCAGCATGTTTTTCACTTGGATATTTTAAGTCTGTAACATCATACATCACTGCAGCATTAAGATTTAAAGTACCATATTCCATTTTAAACTCCTTATCCAATCCTTTCAAGTAAATTTCTTCCAAGTTAAAATTATTGGACTTTATAGCACCTTGCTTAGCTAAATTAAAGTTTTCAACAGCTTGTTGTACCAAGTCCATATCTATCCTCTCGGAAAAGAGTTTCCTAGGACTCAAGCTTTGTTTATACTTTGGAGACTTCGAAGGACTTGTACTTGATATCTTTACTAAATTTTCTAGTTTTCTTGGAGATAATTTTGTCGGCGTACGCAGTATCCACGTCGACGACTTCTTAGACGGCTTACTCTCAGAAGAACTGAGTGACTGACGTCTCTTGCGAATCGCGTATAATTCGGGACTTCTATCCCTATTCATTCTTACTATAGAATCATCAGATATTGATGAACTATAAAGCTCTTCTTGAATATTAGTTTTGTTATTGTACGTTACATAAACATCAGTTTCTTTTGTTTTTATATTACGTGATACACGTTGTACTTTAAAAAACGTATCAATTCTTGATTGCTTCATCATTATTAATAAAATCACCTCTTTAAATGATAAAAAAAATTATGTACACATTAATCAATTTTCGTGCGAAAATCATCATATGCACTGCTAATACGTCATGCATGTATGTACACACCACGGTATGCTTGATGCAAACTGATACAAACTAAATGTGAAGATAAAACGCAATCTAGTGTAAAATGTACGATACAGAATACTGAGTTACTTTATCAACACAGATGACATTTCCTCACTCAATAATTTAGTAGCAACTAAAGCGACTTTACCGACTAAAGGTAACACGAATAATCCCTAAAATCTTCCTAGGACAAATATACCCATGAATATTTAAAAAAAAATCATCGAAGTAATACTTTTTGCTATCCAGGATAAAATTTCTTTATTACTCCTTCTAAAATTGTTTCGAATTATTCATACTTTTTTTCTTACACATCGCTGTGCGCCTACCACAACAACATTAATTACATTTATTTGAATTAATCACCTAAAAGTAAGAGATACAGTAAGCGTAATTATTTTTATATTTACAGATTATCTTTTTTTTGTTATCATCGTATTATGATCTTGAAAAGACTTCCTTGCTGCTTCTTCCTCCCTTTTTCTTCTCGTTTACGCTTATTTAATTCTCCCTAGCTTCGCATAACGCATTCCGCACCGCAAAGTACACCAAATTATAATAATCGTGTTTCCCCAGCATCATGCAATTTCTCATCACAACATTACGCCCTTTTACTCTCTTACACGACTGGTATGAAAAAAGTTTCCTGCCATCGAATATAATACTTCACACGAGTAGAAGAGAAATGCAGAACCCATCCCAGTGTGATTTAAAATCCAGAGTAAAGTAAAATGTTATTCGCGACAAGGACCAAGACAGTACTCTTAAAAAAAGGCTAAACAGAACAAGGCGAAGAGGAAGAAGAAAACAAATAAAAGAAGCACTGACGAGCCATAGCGTTTCATTGTACAAGGGGAAACAATGAATCAGATGGAAGAGGAAATAGAAGAGAAAAAAGTCCAGTCATATACAAATGGATATGGAGACACAAAAGAAGTGAATATTATCCTGAGAAACTAGTATTCTATATCACTTCTAATAGGAATCTCATGATTGCAGATGGAGAAATTAAAAAAAAAGAGGAATGAACGTGATCAGTGTTGATAATTTGAAAACTATGAAAGAAACTGTACAGAGTGTTTCAGCAAATGACGAGGAAGTATTGAGACAGGAATCGACAGAGACAGAAGAAGGATAGACGGCTTACAGTGTGCATGAGAGAAACGAAGACTACATAGTAAAGCTACAGAGAGTTTCACTTCGATTCTATTAATATCCAAAACTCAAAATGACTCGTACTTTCATATTCGGCATATGCTTCGTGTTTTTTTTCTTTTTATTCCTTTTTATACTTTTTTCTTTCTTCCATTCTTTTTTTTACTTCAGAATTTGAATAGGCTTTTCGTTTAGCTACAACGCGCATTTGTTACGTACAAGAGGAGCATACTGCCTATGGATTAGATATAGTACGCTAAGATCTTTCTTTAATATGAATAAACCATGTGTACACTTAGATTTCTTAACGTCATCGATTTACTTCGTAAAAAGCCTGTACTCCTTGAGTCCAACGTAGAAATTTCTTTATCAATTTTTTTTTTTTCTTCATAGCATGACAAATGAAGGGAGAAATCTCTCATTGTATATTGTTTAAAAACAGATTTGAATTTGACGCCGGCCTGTACGTGGATCTAATATATTTAATATATATTGCAAGATGCATCTCTAAAAACCGAGGATTAATCAAATTGCTGTCTTGACCATCTTTAATATTTTTTTTGTAAAAAAAAGTGTAAGGGAGATAATATTACATAATTACTACCTTAGAACGTACGATAAATTTAATGCACCATAAAAGATGTTTTTGTATAATTTAATGAAAAAGAAAACTCTATTGCGTATTACACAATAAAGATCGAAGAGACTCCCTAAATTTCCTTAGAAACTGTTATAGAAATTTTGCAATTTTCTTTTTCATGTGAGTCACAATACATTTCGATGTATCGATACTTCATTGACATCCGACTGTAACTTGATTTTTTGCTTTATCCAAAAAAAAATGTTTGGACAAAATTACTAATTACATGGAATACTTAAAAATTTGCACAACAAAAAGAATGAGAGAACCAATTTAAGAATTAAAAAAAAATAAAATAAGGTTACCAAATGACTGTTTAAAAATTATACTCAAAGGCATCGCGCAGATTTGCCATATTGTACAGATTTCATATCATATTTCAAAATGAAGATGACGAAGATGATAATGTCGAAAAACAAAGAGAAGATCCCTCCCTTCGATAATCAAATAACATTTTTGTTTATCCCTCTCGTCGCTGTCATTTCGTTTTACAATAAATATTATTCTAACTTTGTAAAGCGTTACTTCCATCTTTTCGCCTCATTCTCGTTACCCTCGTTTTTCTCATTTTCTTCCTCTTTTTACAAAACATTCCGTTTTGTAGCAATTAACGTGAAAGACAGAAGGCGTCGCCAAATATATCCGGTAATATACCAATTACAGTTTTGTATTCTTTCTTTCTCACTCGTTTTTCGCTATCCGTTTCACATCATTTTTCTAGTTCTATAAGTCCTGACAAAAAAATCATCAGACACCATATCGTACCAACCAGGCACCGTCAATGAGTAAATTGAAATTAGTCTTTTGTATTGCATGATTCACGAAAAAACAAAGAGGAAAAGATTAAAATAAACTCATAACTATTATCACTGATTCGTGTATTAATAATTGCAAATATTTCTTGTTTCAATGACTAAACAGAGTTCTGAAATCTAACTTTGTTCAGATTGCGGAGAAGAAATAAAATTCTGACTGAGTAATTCAACGAGTCGCAAAAACGTTCAGAGTAGAGGGCGAGTGAGATTAGATGAAATAAAAAGAAAAAGTCCACACGACTCAGCGCTGCCAACATAATTCTGTAAAATATATATTAAGAGCACGTTACCCATTTCCGCTCCAACTATTTCTGGAGTTTCTCCCATGTCTCTTTTCTTTTTCTCCTTCCATCGTTTTCGTAATTTCTTGTCTGTATCCTCGTCAAAACGTTTAATCGATCCATATACACTTATCCACTCGTGGTCTGCGAAGCTTATCCTTCTTGCAACAATTTTCTTATTTTGAAAAAAAAAAAAAGAAAAAAGAGAAATAATATATGGCTGAGAATATCGAAGGTTGAAAAAAATCCTATAGGTAATCCCAAACGCTCTGATAATAGCGACACGGCCGACTGTGCGGTATCTGTTTCTCTGTTTGTCCTGTCCGTCTCTGTATTTTTAGTATTTTTTAGTGTGGCTTTTCAAAAAATGTATCTCGGACGTGACGGCGGCACGAAGATTCCGCCTAGAAATCGTATGCAAGCAGTCTCTCTCGTAGAAACCAGAGGTCGTACACCGTGAATTCAACAAGGTGGGACTCGTATTTTCCGGTAAGGTAAAAAATAATTAGCGAAGCCCCCAGTGACGCAATGGCAACGGCAATGGGGGTGCCGACAGCAGGCATCATGTCACTTCCATCGCGAGTGAATTAGTTTTATTCGCCCTGACGAGTTGCTGCTGCTGAGGCTTACCATCGCAGGGTGAACCTTCGACACTGTCCACCTCCATGTCCAATCCTTCACTAAAAAAATAAAAATAGAATTTAGTTACTGTCATTGTAATTCAAAGCGAAAATTGTGTGCTTGCCTTATTGTACAAGCCTTACCTATTACTATTAAGCGTAATTTCCCCAGTAGATGGGATTTGCTGGCCCTGACTTTGTTGTTGCTGCAGTTGCTGCTGTTGTTGATGCTGTTGTTGCTGCTGCTGTCTAGCCAGACTGGCGAGTTTGCTGTGCGAAATTATCCCGGGTATCAAATTGGACGGCGGATGCTTCTGGGGTAAAAGTAAAGTGGATTGGTTGTTCACCACGTGGCTCGTGCTGTTCGGTATGTTGTTTGAATTATGTAAATGAGGCGAAGATGGTACTGGACCGTTCTGATGTCCATTGCCAAAAGTCATAACAGTCCCAGATGTGCTAAACACTCTGACTGTTGTGGTAGTAGCGCTACTGGTGGCACCAGCAGCACTGTTACCACCGCCGTTTCCACTACCGATTGTAGCGCTGCGATTATTCGTTGGACTAGTCAGCGTCTTCGAGAGTAAGGATGTGGCACTGTTAATAGCCAATTGTCTATGTTGTTGTTGTTGTTGTTGTTGTCTAGTTTGATGATTGGATTGGGCCTCGATGGATGTACACTGTGTCGATACGGTAGTGGAGGTTGTGGACTGATTGGTCGTGCACGAGACGGAGGACGAGGATGAGGATGGGTCCGAGGTAGAAGTAGAACAAGTCGAGGAAGTATGTACACTGCTACCACTGCTACCACTTCCACTGCACTGAGGCCGGATCTGCTGTGTCACCACCGGTGGCTGCCCTAACGAACTGCCGGCCAAGGAGGTTAGGGCGAATCGTGAGCTGCCGAGCTCGTCTGTCCGCGAATCGCTCGAGCTATTGTCCGACGGCACACTTAAGCACGCACTATTGATAACACTGCCACTACCACCGGCCACTGCCAATTCGAAGTCCGACAGTGCGTCCACTGAGAAGTAATCCGAGATGTTAAATTCGGTTGTAAATGGAGGTTCGTCGCCTGGACGATCAAGTTCTACATCAACGCAGATCGACGTTGCTTCCGGTGGGAACGGATATGGAACTGGATCCGGTCTCGAGGATATCGTCTCGCCTTCCGACTCCGAGTCGCTCGACTCCTCGCTTGGACTGTGCATCGACGCTGGTGGTGTTTTCGGCCGGAAATGTAACCTGCAAACGTATTATTTATATAGTTCAATACTTAAGAATGCGTAATACCCTATTTATGAATAAAAATATTTTCATAGAAACACATCCATACCATTCCTTCTTGACAGTGGTTGTAGCAGTCGCGGTTGGATCTGCATTGTCGCGTTTCGGCTCGTGTATCGTGAAGTCCAACGAAGACCACATGTCATCCATGTCCGTGACACATCGATCCAGAATAACCCTAGGAAAGAGATGATAATAATATTGAAAAATTAATGACTTACTGTGTGGTCTTCCTTTAGTCTTCAAATTATAAACCAACCTGCCACCTCGACCAACTCTTCGTCTTGCTAGACCGATACATCTCGGTGTTGGTTTACTAATGCTGGTGAGAGCAAATCGGTACCTCTTATCAGCCATACCGCCTTCACTCCTGTCACACCAAGGCCAGTTGCCAAACCCACCTGATACAGGCTGTAAAAGCATATGGACATAGTACAGCGAATTATCTTCACTGTAAAATCTTACCGAAAAATCAAGGACATCCTCTTATAAAACATACCGGTAGATAACTGCTAGTTCTGTTTCGCCTGAAGGCGAATTGGCCCTCGTCCGGGGTATCCTCGTCGTCGCGGTCCGAGGGAAGTGAAGGCTGAGAATGCGAATGCGATGGAAGCGGACTGTCCTCGTCCGAACTAGCCAGCGGGTCCAGCCCGCCTCCAAGAACTGCTCGGCTACCCCGGCCTGCACCACTACCCGTACCGCCGCGAATACCACCGTCGTCAAGACTACCAACACGACCGTCCGTTTTGTGCTTTCGCTTCTTATACTGTCTCTTCTCCTTCCTAGGCATGACCTCGTCCTATGTTCATTGAAAAATACAATTATTAAAAGATTCTGCGCAAATAATAAACTAGGACAACGTATACCATGACGAACACTAACTTTGCCACAGACTTTGTTCGCCCAGTTCTGATGAACACCAAACTGATTTGTGAAAAGGGGTGCGAAGGCTGGTCTCGACGTTTTCAGGGCAGAAACTTCGGCCAGGATCTGACCACTGAAGTCTTGCGCTTGATACCTGATGTAAAGTATTAATTTAACACCAACATTATCAATTTAATCAATCATGTAATTACCTCTTCTCATAGACTTCTATAGTTAGGTGGAGGTGCTCTCGTTTTGTCTTCTCTCGCCTCTTTACCAGCTCCAGCAATGTCACTGCTCGGCTTAGGTCCCTACGCAGCTTAAGCATCTTCTCATAGCTGGTCTCATCGTTTTTACGATTCTTTCTCGTTTGCATCTTCTCTGTTCTCCGTCGGAATGCTAGGTAAGGATTATTCGCCGCGGATCCCAGGCGATGCTCGGTCTTAACCGTTAGTAGTAAAGGATGTTGCTGTGAGGTAAAGAAAAAGTTTTTTTTTATTAATTTAAACGTCTATGGTATAAATTAATTACGACCGAATGCTCATTACATGCAACATAATAATATGTTGAATATTTATTTTGTAACAAACTGAGGTATTCTTTGTTCCACAGAAAGTAACATAACCTAACTTATATCAGTGGTACTGAATGACATCAATACAATCAAATGAAATTTATGTATTAATTACTACTCTCAGCTTATTGTAAAACTGCAATAAAATATGCTTTCATTATGATTAGAAATTTGTAACACACTTCAGCATATGGATAATGTATATACTCTTTTAATACCATAATCTAGATTCTTTCACAATAAATGTGTTTTCTGTTAGATTTTACCGATTAGAGATATTAAAATAATAGAGAATACAAATCTCACCGTTTTTAGACGTTTGTTGAGCCAGTAATCAAAGACTGCGATAATAAGATCATCGTCTTCCTTGAGGAGTGCTTTAGCTTCGTTAAGGGTTACAACTGTTTGTCCAGAACTTTTTTCAAGCCGATCCATCATCTCCTCGAATTGCAACGGCGTCAGGTCCATTTTACGGCTTTGAACTCCAACCCATTTTTCATCCTCCGAGTCCATGTCATAATCAGGGATATCTTGTTCCATAGCAAAAGCTGTAGAATAAAGTATATTCATTAACACTATTGTATAATAGAGTATAATCCAATAGTAGAATAATGAATTAATTGTATTAAATTTATGTAACTTTATCCAAATCTGCTATTTGTATAAATAATTTTACAATGCAATGCCTGATAATGCTATTCTGATTTATACAAAAGTAAGATATGTGAACCTGTATAGAAAGTACTAATGCTTAAGTCATAGAATTAATGGAAAGTGACATATTTACTCACGTTGCATGTGTATGAGTTGACGGGGCAACTTGTAATCGGCGGGATAAATCTTGTCATAAGCTTCTACATCTGTCAAATCCGTTACCTCAGGGGTAGGAATGATTAGACCCGTGCATATTGCTCTTTGGAGGTGGTGTTCCTATTATTACAAGGAAATCATATAATAAATGTTTTCATTGCAATTTTAATAAGTTCTACATTTTAAAATTAAAAATAAAACTACTAAAGATCTAATAATTAAATATAATTAAACAATTATTGGACAAAGACAATCAATAAAGTAATCAGAAAAACAAGGAACTCATGAAAAGTAATAATGTTAAATAAAAAAAAAACAAACACCTAGATTAAAAATTCTAAAAGTAAATAATAGAGCAATAATCAAGAAACCATAAAAGGAACAGAGGACCTAAAAATAAATGCAAGAAAATGCTGTAAAATGCATAAAGCTAGTCATCGATGAAACTTCATTCGGTCAAAGGGACGATGCAGTCCAGATGAAAATAACTAATGAAATAACCACTGACAGCTACATCTGATACATTTACAAGAAAGTGAACAACTCAGAGAGGATAAAACCACTTTGTAGCAATGTAAACAATAGCAAAAACCCGTAAAAACGACAATTTTCCATTAGAAATTTATTATATCACAACGTTCGCGCCATCTCTCGACGTTTCGCGAAAACGGCGGGGTGGCTAAGATGGCGGATGGTGAAAACATGCTGGAACGAAGCTGGATGGTCAACTTACACATTCCTCCTCCTTTTCCATGCCGCTGGGCATTTGGGGCACCGCGCGGTTAATGGCCGAGTAGTCCGGAAGATCCGGCAGTTCCTCGGCCATGTAGATGGGCATCGGCTTCGAGGCATCCAGGGCCCGGGCCCTGAACGACAGCTTGCTCATCCTGAGGGTTGCTGACTCGCGTGTTGACAACCGAGATGGTTGGTGTCGAGCCGAGAGGCCTGTCGGGTCGGCACGGGCCTGGGACTTCTGGGCGTAAGTCTTTCTGGGCCTGTCTGGGGCCCTGCGGCCGTATCACCCGGCACGGCGAGCGCTCAGGGCCTCATCGTCGCCCGGCCATCGCGCTGGAACACGGTCACTCAGTCACCAAACGAGATATATCACTTTGAAAACATGTTTGCGTGACACGGTCCCTGTTCAAAGCCATCATGGCCGACGCACAGCCATTTACACGATCGGCCACGACAGTTCCTCAATGTGACGCGCGTCGCGCGGGAATCGTGTCCTGCCGAAGCCCACTGTAATTTTACAACCCACGATATACAAAGGTGCATCCACGATGGAAGCGACAATACGACTGAAGTAGTCCCTACCACGAGGACCTAACAAAGAACGTGTTCCCAAATTTACTGACAGTACTATGAAAGTAATTACATCTCTCTCAGATACCTATGAATGAATAAGGGCACATCGTTGGTCGCAGTACTGGCAGTAAATTTCAGAACATACCCAAAATTAAGCCGGTTAGGCCCATTTTCATTGGCATTGCGCGTCATCCGATCAATTACTTAAAGAACCTTTTAATAGACAGAAAACGGTAGTACCCCGTACTTGAATCTAACAATTATAACAGTCAACTAATAAAATTTCGAATAAGACTCGATTCCACAAACACCTTTTTTTTAAACTTCGTTTAATTTTAAAATGCAAATGTCTGATTGACTAATCGCGGAGATAGACTGAGTTTAAGCAATAATCCGTATTTATGGCATCGGCCCTAATTGCCTGATAATCTAACTAAAAAAACATTAATAAAAAGTGTATTTAATTGAACTACTCCATAACAAAGTATTTTTTAAAAATATTAAATTGTTACCCCTCTCAATTTTTAGGCATTATACTCTCTAATATATTAACTGTTTGTCATTGTATCTGTTATTAAAGTCGACTCTACATCTTCAAAGTAAAAAACTGCGCGTTAATCTTTAACGTTTCATGAAAATCTACCTTTACTACAGCAAAGGGCGTATCATAATATAAAGGTGACGGAGGTGTGTACCCCACAACCCTTCTGATGGGCCGATCATAGTACAGTATAATTCCAAAACGAAGCCATGTTTATTAACTAACCAATGAAAATATAGCGCCTAATAGCGGCGATTCGGAAGACGCAGAGTGAGTCAAAACTAAAACCTCCGTGGAAACATAAATTGTCTCCTTTGCAACGTGAAGCATATGTTCTCTTACGCGCGTCGCGACTCGGCGCATGTGTCGCTATCACGTGGACAGTCTTGATCGCCCAAAATGTAGCCTTTAGAAATTACAAACTCAAGAATTGCCAAACAGGGACAAGTTCTTTTCAACAAGGAAAAACCTAGCAAGATCACGCGTCTATCTTATAATAAAAAGATCTGTCAAGATTGAATAAAACATTTGACCTACGTCACCGAGGAGTTACAGTTAAAGAAAAGCAGCCTTGTAGGAGTTTTATACCTGAGGACTAGTGAGCACAGTGGACACGAAGATAACAACAGTGCCGACCATAATCGACATCCGCGACATCGATAAATATATTTTTATCATTTTCAGCATACCTTTTCACGGCGGTAATTGAAAGGAAACAACATATCACTACTTAGTCTTATATACACAGTACATGGCAAATCGCGCAGATGCGCGTTGCGTACTCTAATTCTGATTTATTTTTCAATTTGCATTATTTAAATATATACCATTTTTTAAAGATGATGATAGTTCTCGTTCCAGCTATTCCCTGGCTATTTCTCCGGCACGTAGACTTCAGCATCGCCACTATCGGTATCTGTAACTTGTTTCCATCCTTCAATGATTTATATAGAAATTATCAATTGCCTTCGAGATATAAAAAATAAACAACAATATCTATCAACTTTACTTAAACCTTGCATGGTTGAAAAGCATAAATGTGTCTTGTCCCTGAAGTACGGTGGTAACCCGAAACGAAGCAGTGTGATGACGTCTCGATTTGTCGAAAAATATAGTTTATATTCTGCTTTATCGACACTGAGACGTCTTTAATGGTAGTTTTGTTATAACCTATTGCAATAACAATAGCATCACAGTTCTACGTGGGCTTACTCACTTTTTAATGAGGTAATAAACATAACAAAATAAGTTGTACACCGCAAAATCTACTTAGTTAACTACAACCCGTTGTTTAAATAAAGAAACTAGCTCCGATCTACACGTGTCAATTTCAATGAGGTTAGACTAGGTCAAGTAAAATCAGGTGAGACTAGGTTGCGCTAAATCAGGTTAAGTTAGGTTAGGTTACACTGATGGTGCATTTAATTTCAAATCGATTGCCTGTATACAATCGGACGCGATCCTATTATAAATAATTATCACGAAGAATCTCGTGTAAAAGTTTTCGTATGAAGTACTGAAATCTCAAAAATCACATTTATGAAATTTTCAACATACATCTTATTGTATTCAATTATTACCTTATTGAATAGTCTCCCCCGGTAAAAGTTTCGGATAGGAATTTACTCCGGACTAATCCAAAGTTTTGCGAGCTATTCCGAAATCTGTGTCAGCCCCAATCCGAGATCATTCAAGCGAAACCGAAGCAGGTTTTCAATCCTTTTTGATCCGTGCTTCAACTTCAATCCGAATGAATCTATGGCATATCCGGAAAAAATATTTCAATCCTCAATCCGAGCATCCTCTTGAAGTTCAATTCCAATGAATCCGACATTAATCCGAAATAAACATTCAAACCTTTTCAATCTGTGCGTCTAATCTGAATGAATCTGAACCATTTCTGGGGTAATTTTCAATCATACTCACTTCCGATTTTGGATTAGTCGAATTCAGTCAGATACGATTCCTATTTTTCACGAATTCGCTCGGAATAAAACTAATTCGTATAGTTACAAATTTCGGAAAGAAATGGATTCAGACAAATAGCAATTGCTATATCTGAAATTTTCACCAGGATCGTGCTGAATTTTTTATGTAAAAAAATGTGTGCAATTACTTTGTGTAAAGTTAGCACAACTACTACACGGTGATTCTATAAATTATGGAAAATGGGTAGCATTGGTGTACGTGGATGTTGATTTAGATGTTTTAAAGGACCTGATGATGACTTTGACTCTTTTTATCTCAAACATAGATTGCAATGAGGCTGATTCTCTTTGCTAGTACTGAAACGTAGTTATAACGCATATAGGTGGAACGTTACACGCCACTGGATCAGCAATATGAGCAATTGCGTCGGAGTACTTTCCAATATCCCTAGATTATCTTATCATCTTAGGATGGTCCTACCTAATCTGACAACTTCTGACATTTTACCAGGTATTATTAGAGTTTTTACGGTAATCTTGAAATATTTTATACAATGCTTAACGTTCCCAAGGTGTCGCAAATTCTTCTGCGAGTACGTGTCTAACCCACTGCTGCTACTACTACTTCGTTAATCCCTTTGAAGAAAAATGCTATTAGATTCAAGAAATTACTGATGGAAGCTATTAAGAATTATTTAGAAAGTAATAATAGTGTTGAACAGTTTTAAACAGTCCGATAGTATTTTTCGAGAAAGGATAACTTGCTTACCAGTAGTTTACGCAACAATTATTATTGTTCCTCGCCTACTTCAGATAATATATTATGAATGAATACGCAACTGTTTAATCGATGCAATTATCATTATAGGAAGGAATGATACTATTATTGAATTAAGTAATGCTGAAGTCATTGTAGCTGATTTTGATCTTCTAATTCCATACGTGGATCATTTACCAAAAACAAATTGGATCCAAGGCACGTGGGCAGGAGCGGATAAATTATTACCGCATCTTTATGGAAAGGATGTCAATTATAGAATTACACGTTTTTCCGGTATAAATTTCGGCATGGCCATGTCAGAATATGTCATATCTCAGATAGTTAATTATGAACGAGATCAGAAACGTCAATACGAGAATCAGAAATCAGCTGCTTGGATTGACGATCATAAAATATCCAAACACCGTTTAATCATGGATCTGACCGTCGGAATATTGGGTGTAGGAACTATTGGCAAGTCCAGTAAGTTCTGCTGATTTTTTCTGCACTTAAAAATGTATAATATTTTTAATAACTGTAATATTTGCAGTTGCAAAAACATTGAAAGGCTTTGGTGCTACTATATGGGGTATGAACAGAATGATTCCGAAAGAAAAGTTAGACTTTATCGATGAGCTCAGAACTACGAATTCTTTAAATGAAATACTGGAAAATTGCGATTATATTATTAATATTCTTCCATCCACTGAAGAAAGCAAGGGCCTGTTAAGTGGAAATGTACTCGAAGCTTGCAAGAATAAAGATACTATTTTTATTAATATTGGTAGAGGATCTATTATAAACGAAAAAGACCTTGTGAATGCATTGGAACAAAAATGGCTGTCGGCAGCCATTTTAGATGTATTTGAGAATGAACCACTACCAAAATCTAGTAAGCTGTGGAGCATGCCGCAGGTAAATTCGGATATGGTAAAGTAATAAATATTAATTGATTGATTATTTGAAAATTATTTCTTCGCACTTTTGCTACAGGTGACAATTTCTCCACACGTGTCAGGAGTAACGCGACCTCAAGATGTAGCAAAACTATTCGCTGAAAATTATGCCAGATACGTAAAAGGAGAAGAACTCTTGAATATCTTGGATATCAATCGTGGATATTAAAATATCAAATTGAATTCCGTTGTTAACAGTGATAATTATTAATGGACACTGTAATACATGTTTATTAATGTACTCAAATTTTTAGCGTACAAATTCTATACGTATGTTATATGTAAAAAAAAGATTTTCATTGAATATAATTTTAGAACATTTATCATTACCATAATAACCTCACACTTTTAATCTAAACCATATTGTTTATCAAAATATTCCATACTCAAGTGCAAATTGTTACGCATATAACTATTAAAAAAAAAACTATATATATGGACCAATAACTTTTTTTCAACACTTCGACTTTGACTTTGTGTGGCTTGCGTAATTAATAAATCTAAGCGTAAAGCTTCAGCCTTATCTGTGTTACCGATATCAAGCATACCAAATATCAGTGAGAAAAAATAGAAAAGATGCATAAATCCAACCTTTGGTATTTTTTCTATTCAGCCTCTTGTTCGGCTGGAGCCACAGAGGGTTTTAATCCTCGAATACTCAGATCATAAACCACTTCTTCAATTTTTTTCACATCATACTTAAGAGCATCAAAGCGCTTGCGCAGCATATCATTCTTCAGATGCAGTAAACGAAAGCCTGCATTCAATTCGTTCACAAATCTTGATATTTCTATAGGACGATTGTAGTCTCCGTTTGTCACACTATTTACTGCAAAACGGCACTGAAAACGGAAACAGAAAATTGCTAGACTGTAAATATTATGGATTATTTAGTAACATACCAACTCAGTGGAAAGCTGAAGTAGACCCATTAGGAAATCTTCAAGATCCAGATGAAAACCATCTTCCCGACTGTTTTGAACTGCAAAGTATACAATAAAATAACATGTTGCACTAAAAAATTATTGTGAATATGAAGAATATGAGAGACCAACCACCCAATATTTCCGCAACCGTTTGTTTGCTCACTAGAATCTTCATCTCTAGATAAATCATGAGAGATGCAAGAAAACATAGTCTTTGAGTGACAAATCGCCATTGATCATGAAAGCGATAATATTGATCTGGTGTTACTACAGTAGCAAGCTTCCCATAATGCTGGCGTACATCACCAAATAATTCTCTTGCCTTTTTACAATATTGGGAGACAACTGCAAACAGCATATGATAAGACAGCAATTTGATAGTAAAATCCAAAGTGTAAAGTATTATAAAAAACATAGGTGTGCAAAGAAGATAATCTATTAATAACAAAAAGAGATGTACATACTTATGTTCTCTTCGATGGTATTTTCATTATGAATATTTTGTAGGATCATTAATATGTCCCTGGCACTCTTTTCGATATCTTTTACAATATCACGAATCTCCTATTTAAATGTAACATAATGCACATTTAATAAGTTGGAGCTAAAGATAATAATGAAATGAAAGCAAATGCATTTCTTTACTGTTCCATTTTCAATACAATTCATAAAAAAAGTATTTATTTTCAAAAATTCTATTTACATCACCAGTTGAAACATGCATTTCAATTTTGACACATAACCTAAAAAGGCTAATACAATAATACTGTACCTCACGAAGTTCTGACTCGCTATTCAGATAATCCTGGAAGGAATTAAAAATGCTAGAAATTTCTTCCGGCATTATGGAAACAATAATATATTTGTCTTCACTTTTCTTTTAAATATAATAAAATCGTATAACGTGATTATCTCCTAGCACAGAACTGTATTTCATAAAGTTGGCAATAATGCTTTGTTTTCGTTCGTGTGCCATCACGAATAAGAAAAACATGTACGAGGCTATGGCTCGTAATAAAGAAAAAAGTAAATTAGTAATATATTTAAACAGGTGCACAATTAAAAGGGACAAAGTAAATAAATAAACAGTATTTACAAACCCCATAATATTACCATAAAAAACAATCATGTGTCAATGACATTTCGTATAAAAATGAGTATAACTTTAAGTGTTGAAGTTTCTTCTCATTTAAGATAAATATATTACAAATATAAAAAATAGACTAGATAAATAATAATAAATAAAATGCGTATTTAAATAAATAAGGGCTTCAAGTATTACAAGCGAAATTCACTCATCACTAGCTTTAAATTTTTAGAGCAAACTACTGAAGCAAACTACTGGAGGAAACTTCTGTATTTCGGTTGCATTCATTACAGGGGCTTTAAAAGTTGTATTTTATATTGCATGATAGTTAAGGATAGTAATTATTATTAAATCGAATCATTATATTATTGATATGAATGACGTTCTTTATGTAACCAGTATAATACAAATACTTGGACATACAAATATTGTAAGGATCTGTCAATAAAACGATTATTGTCTATATAGAAAGCCTAAAGAAATCATCAATTCTATTCTATTCTCCTTTGACATTATTATGCCTTGTTATTCTATGCACTTGTTACATCTAGACTGTAATAATTCTAAAGCTATTGTTGCCACTGATGAATTCTTTATCAGCTTTCCTAAAGAATTACTTGTGAAGCTTATATATACAATAGACGTTTGCTGATTCTTTATGATTCACTGTGGTATCGTAACAGTGCATGAAACAGAAAAAAGTATATTACTTTTAGAAAATAGGAGGACAGTAGATCACATGAAATGTGAAATGATGATTTTTTTTATAATGGTATGATATAATTTTTTAATATATCACATGATGTGATAATGGTAATTGTTTAAATGTGACTAAACAACTTTTGACCTGATCAGTTTCTCTGCTGTGTAGTAAAGGGAGAGTTATGTATTCGATTATTAAACAATGATGCTGAATTCGATGCAATTTTGAATATTCCTGGGCGATTATGGCGTTGGAATTCTGTTGATACAAAATTCGAAATGATTGAAGCACTCAAGTACAACAGATCAGCAATATGCAGTATAAAGGAAGTGCGCGATATTCAAAGACAAACAATTACAGTGATCGCTGACATGGTAACATATTTTGCTAAACAAAAGTAATCCAAAAATATGATAAAATCACAAGAAAATAATTTGCAGATGCCACCATACATCATGCTGGATGAACATAGTGATGCAGTTACTGGGTATATCGGAGAAGTCTGGACAATATTGCAGAAGAAACTAAAATTCAAGTATAGCATACATATCAATGAAGAATAATTGTTCAATTATATTTAATAATTTTTTCATATTATGCTAGGACCTTCTTTGAAAGAGCTAATCCTGCCAGCGGTAGATCATTAGTCAATGGCAAGGCTGATGAAATTCTTGCTGCTACTGCCATTCATACATCTGCTGCTAGCTATTTTGCTTATAGTACACCAGTTGCTACTAGTTCGTAAGTTTTACTAACTTCTATGCTATCCATGAATATATTATTACCATTACACTTTTCGTTCCCTTAGATATTCTCTGTTTATACTCTCTGATGGGTCTGGGGTGTCTACATGGTGGTACATAAAAATATTCAGCATAAGACTATGGTTAACCATAATAATGTTTATGATAGTCATATGGGGAGTTGTTGTGTTGAATTATGTATTAAGAAGATCCGTGTACAGCAGGACTTGCGATAGACATGCGGATAGCGTAATGCCTCCTATAAATTTCATAACTATTTTGGGAGGTGTAACTGGACAAGGTGATAAAACTATTCGTAGTAGTACGATGTGTTTCTCAAAATAATTATTAAACTGTATTGCCTTATTAGGATTTCCAAGAATGCCTACCAGTTGGTCACTACGATTACTAGTGCTTTCAATATTAATTATGGGAATGCTGATAGCCGTTGAATTTAATAGTACACTAACATCTTTCTTGACAATAAAAGGGACATCATTGCCAATATCAAACTTAGAGGATGTAGTAAAAAAGAAGACACACTCTTTATGTCTAAGGAATGACAGCACTGCTTACATCCACTTCACAGATGTTAGTGAATTTTATAATAATTTACATATTTTATGGATATTATGTAGAATTATAATTATAGACATGGACCTTAGAGGGAAATATTAAAAAAGAATGGAGTGATTTGATCAATAAGAATTGCCCTGATATGAGGAATCACAAAGTTTTGCATTCCCATTTGTGTCAACAAGGAGTCGTTTACTTGGAGGCACCAATAATATTTCAAACAGTATATAACCAAGTCAAGGAAAAATGTGACATAGTTCAAATACCTGGTAATTACTGGAGCCTGAAACTAGCCATTTTACATGCAAGAGCATCGCCACATAAATGTCTAATAGATTTTTAGTACGTAAAAATAGTATTAAACTACGAAGAGTCTTCTAACTTTGTTAAAGCTAATTAATTTTATTATAAACATCATCTTCCAGTTTATTGAAATTACGTGAAGCTGGTATCTTAATGTATCTGGAATCAAAGTGGATATCTAACAAGGGTATTATATCTAGTGCAGCAACACAGCCACAAGGTAGCTTTCATCCTGTGCAGCATGAACATGTATATCTGACATGCTTTTGTCTATTAATCATTATGACAATCAGCACCATTATTTGTATAGTAGAAAACATTTGGTACAGATATCAAGTGAGACGTAGAAAACAACATTTAAGATATATTACGAGAAAAAACAGATTCTTGAGTATAGCTGGTCAAAGAACCGTACTTTTTACAAACTTTGAATAGAATATCTTTGAAAAATATAATAGTTAAAAATACTCGTTATAAGCTGAGTCATGGTATTGATTCTTATTAAGCGGCTGTCAAACAATCTCAATTGGACAGTGTAACTTTATTTTAATAAGCATATAACATATATGTATGTAATATACAATATACCAGAACAACATAGAGAAATGAGCGTAAAATTTTCATAATATTTTTCACCGCATTTGGAAACGACCGATTTTTCAATCTCAATACAAACGCGCACGCGCAATAGTCGAGATACAAAAATGGACTGGCGACTTGAGAATGAAATACAAATAACAAACGATAGTACGATCGGCGCAATATAAATACTTTGTTTATATTCATCATTCCATCACTTTTTTGTTTATCACTGCTTCTTTGAATAAAAAGACAATGCAACTCCATGTACCATTATCGTACGCGTCATTAAATTTTTCAGTTTCGTTCCGTATTTCCTTTGTTCTATCTCTGTTCGTTATTCCCTTATAGTTCTTATTTTATACACAACTATATAAATCATTTGAAAATCCGGCAGCGGGTTCTCATTTTCAAAAAAGCTTCTCCCTTATGGCTCATTAATTATTTTCATCTGCGAACGTGCTGATATGTTGCAATATTATTATATTATACCTATTCACATTTAATACCCACTTTTTCATCAATAAAAAAAGACTGTCGTAGATTCTTTAGAAAATGAAAAATTCTAAATCTTTTTCTGTCTTTCACAAAAAGATAAGATTTAAAAACCCAAATGCAGAACCCGCAGCCAGTATAGCAATTTGTTAGTTGGCCTATCTACATCGAGTTTAGAATAGCCGAGAAATTAAAGAGTGAATTCCAAAACAAAAGAAAACAAAGTAAAATCATGAAAAAAAAATCAACGAAAAACCTCGATACTAGAATCAATAGTGGACGTCATTTTTTATACGTTCATGGCTGCATGTAACATATACATATACTTGTGAGAGCAATATATATAATCAAAATTCGTTCCGAATTCTTGCACCAGTAATCTATGCAAATTACACAAAAAAAAAATTTAATAACATTTGCATGACTAAGTATTACAAAATGCCGCATGTTTTTTAAAAAGAACAAGTGCATAACTCCTATATGTTCCATGCAGTCGTGTCTCGTGGCAAAAATATTTGCCTTATTATTTAACCATAAAAAAGCTGTGAACGAGTAACCGTAATCACTGTTCGAATAAACTTCATTTCATAACATCAAATAATCCCAAGGTCTACAACATCTCAAATCTTCAGAGTGTAAAACCCATTAGGATCATCACAGCAATCCCAAAGGTAGAAACAATGCCAACCACGCGATTATATTCTGTATCTTATCAAATTTTTACAATTGGTCAAATATATAATTAACCTGGCACAATAGATGAATCGAATGATAAGGAACATAAATCTGACTCTCCTTCTGACCATTACCGATCAACAAATAACCGGTCTTATGAATTATTTTTGTTCATTTTGAAAAGTGGATCGTTGACACGTAGCAACGACTACTGACAGTTACATTCTTAAACGTTGCCATGTTTACAGTTACGTTACATGTTATTAAAAGTATTTATCTCTACAACTAGAGCTCCTTAAAATCTAATTTTACCATTTAAACTTAAAGAGGTTTAAACACTTTACACTAGTCAAATCAATGCTAAATATTTTGGATCGTTTTTACAAAGTTCTACAGATTAATGAATTAGTATTAAGGTATTACGTCAGAGGCTCTCCTGTGGCTGTGGCTAGTCCTTTCACCCACTGTCTCCCCGTTTCCAGTGCCTGTCATCTCTTATGTACTTGCAGAGTCAATTCCTGAAACTCAGCACATTGACGATCTGCAGGTACTCCCTTCGCAAAACTCTTCCCATGTGCGCTATATCAATTTTCCTGCATTCCACAAATAGCACCCACTAATTTATCTCTCCATCCTCAGTCCCTTAGTGTGTGTCTCAGCCATATCCAGATTCTTTTTCCTTTTTATTTAAGACAAAAGGGCCAGTCATGCTCTAGCTCAGCAACCAACAACACGTACCTTTGCTCTTTTCATCTTCTTGTATCACTGGTCAATATATTTAATTTTTACGTTGAAATCACTTCAGTTTATTCTTATTGAAATACCTACCTCCTTCAGTTAGTAGCATCAGGAGTTCATCAGCACGTTCGCCAAAATCTGTCCGATTTACAGCACTGAACGTCGTGAACATAAGGATAACTTGTATTATAACAATGCCCATAACCTATAGAAACATTTTCAGCGATGAATTTACAATAATATTTCCTGAATAATACTGAAATTTCCGAAAAGATACATGTTCGTTCAATTTTTTCCAAGAATAATCCGTAATTTTTTCCATTTTTTATAAAGCATGGCTCATTACGTTTCCTAAATAATCCTTTACGAATTCACCGCTTAGATATTTGAGTGTTAACCGTTTAATAATTACAACCGTTTACTTATGTAGAAATCTTTGGCTGGTAAACAACAAACTGTAATTTCTAAACAGATAGCACTATCAAATAGCTAGACGATCAATTTGTAGAGCGTATTTCGAGAAAAAGAATAAGCGGTCCCGCATTAAAAACTGTAAAAAATTACGGATTATTCTTTGAAAAAACAATGAAAACACACTTTCTCAGAAATTAACGTTAATTAGTTAATGTTCTGCAAATTCATCAGCATTAATATTTCTCTGAATTAAGGGCACATGCTGTAACACAAATAATACTCAACCAACGATATTTAATGCATGAAACTTTACGAAAACGATTACTAAAATTTAACACCGATTTGTCTAGTGTGAAGTGCATCAACCTCCTTAAGTCTGAGCCTAACTAAGCTCATTTCAGATTGATTTATGCCGTTGGGGCTAACCGATCATAAGCGTTAAATCATTAGGTTAAATAAAACTTTCCTTGAAGATCAAACGTTAAAACTAGACCTTAGTCATACATATAAAATAAATTTCTTAAGCTTAAACACTATCCTGCCTGCAGAAATTACTGGGTCTCGTATTAACGATAATATTAGCGTCACCGACATCGACGTGGCGGATAATAAAATAAAAATAAATAAATCTATATATATATATATATATATATATATATATATATAATAGTAACTTTATTTTGTTTCTTTGGCTATGACACTCAGAGGTACGTGAAGTACTTGTCTATAAGACAAATAACCCAAATAGACTTGTATGAATGTCACAACATTCAGAGAGATTGCGTGCTTACCTGACATGAAAATACGATTACGATCGTCAATGTTGATTATATGTGATGCTTCATTCATAATGCTGAAAAAGAGATAAATATTATCTCATGCATGCTCTACCAAAATATACGGTAGATATGGTTTAAATTTACCTGATAGCACGATGAAAAAGAAATTTTATTGATACATCGCATTTTCTTCATATTTGTATCATGCCATGGTCGTTTATTAAAAATGCACAAAATCGAGTTTTTACAACAATAAAAACGCTTTTTAGGCTGTAACTTGAAATCTAAGCATTCTACAAAAAAAAGTTAAATGGAAAAGTTGTAGATTTTTGAAATATACAAAGCGCGAGCGTCGGTGAGCTGGTGAGCGCAAAGCGTGAATGTCAGCGGTCGTGCCTTCCCACTGCGGCCGCAAGGCCGCGTGTGGCGCGCTAGTTAATAAATGATCATGGCATGATATAAATTGAAGCAAATGTGACGTATTAATAACAATTTAATTCATACTTATTTTATATTTTGGTAGAATATAAATCAAATATTGTTTATTTCTTTTTAGAGCGATGAATGAAGCATCACATGTAATTAACATTGACGACTGCTGTCGCATTTCCATGCCATCATTTAATTGAGCAAATATCATTGTCAAGTGAACACTCATACGACACACACTCTTGCTGAATATTATGACCTTCATACAAGTCTATGTGGGAAGTATGTATATACCCTCGAAAAACAAGAAATATCTTCCAGGTTATTTAATATTCTTAAAATCAATAAGTAATAATTATATCCGTTACGTCGAATCATCAAAATTAGTTCCCAACTTGATCAGCGTCATTAGCACCGTATAAAGAAGATATAGCGATTCAAACTGGTCCTATATGTGTGACTCTCAGGGTGCTGTCCCATGTATAGAAGACAGAACAGAAACGACGGAATCGGAAAAACAGTTTAGTGGGGGTTGACCAATCATCTTCGTTCCGAAAATGTCAAACGATGCCCGGGTTCCCCATGTACTTAGAAGAAAAAAACGGAAATTCGGAATGTGTAAAACTCATTTTTCGTTCATTAAAATCAATAATAAGGACACATGTTGTTAGAAAAATCATTAAATATTAATTACCTATAAGATTGTATAGATTGAAATGCGAAAATTTGGAATTCGTAAAATTTATCAAAGTTTTAAGGTTAGAATGTCTGCCCGTTTTCTGAAGATGATTGCTCAACCCCCACGAAACTATTTTTCCGATTCTGTCGTTCCTGTTCTGTCTTCTATACATGGAACAGCACCCTTATACTATAATCAATCAATACCTTTTTGTTTTTAGGTCAGATCGCGTTAGCACCTTCGGGACTAATGACTCGTGTACACGATATTCGCTGAGCTATTACGGAAAATAATTTTCCATGAAGAAACAGCGAACGAGCAAACAATCAGAGGATCAAGCTTTCCGACTATTACTCGTTGCATTTCGATTTTTCATTTTAGATAATTCATTACCATACCTCGCACTTACTGATTGGATTCATTCTCGAACCTTTTGGGCAATTGAATTCAGTGGAGAATTCGTTTAGATTTGAGAGAGGTCCTATCACTCTATACTTGGCTGGACAGTGGGTGTCCTTTTCTATCTGGAGTCCCATTGTTTCTGACGTCACAGCTGAACACCATACCTGTTCACAGATTTCATTATTTCAAATAGATGATTTTTACTAAATCAGTTTATTTCATTACCTGAGCAAAGCTTAGAAAGAACAATTGACGATGCGTCAAATTCAGTCCTGGCAAAGGCATTTGATCCTTATGACTCTTAGGCGTTGATAAATAAGCGTGATAGGCAGCTTTTAGTCCGCCATTGTCTGCTATATTTTCCCCTGTGCGCATAGGAAAAAAAATGGATGATAACCTGTGCAGTAATCTAAATATTTGTATTAATAATTAATAACTGTGAAATACCTAATGTTTGCTTTCCATTCACGTGACGACCTTGAATTTCAAAATCGTTGTACTGCTCCACAAAGCACTCTGTTCTATTCTTGAATCTTTCTATGGTGGCATTGTTCCACCATTGATGAAGATTTCCATGGAGATCATACTCGCTCCCTGCAATTATATAAACATGTTACTTATCTAATTTCATTGTCGTTTATACTCATGGAAAATCATCAGGCATCTTTACCTTGGTCATCGAAGGCATGAGTGAGTTCGTGACCCATCACGACTCCCATGCCGCCAAAATTTAAACTACTAGGATTCTCCATATCGTAAAAAGGACTCTGCAATATTCCTGCTGGAAATACAATTTGATTTTTTGTTGGCGTATAATAGGCGTTTACAGTGGGCGGCGTCATTATCCAGGTAGTTTTGTTAGCCACCTGGTCCAATTTTTCCAAATTACGTCGCAGCGTGTACTGATTTACGCGAATATTATTAAGGAAATATTCATCTTTGCTTATTAATAGGTCTTCGTAACGTTCATCGAGTTCTGTTGCGTTCAGAATAAAATTTGGAAAGCCTATCATGTCAGTTATGGCGTTAGCTTTGGCCTCGGCCGATTCTCGTGTCTCTGCATCCATCCAGGTTAAATTCTTTAAATTTCTTGTGAACGCCTTACGAATCTCATTTATCATCTCTTCAGCCTATTAATGTTAATTATGGAAATGAGATTAAATACTGCGTTATAAAAGATTTTAATTGAATAGTATATTATATAGTATATTGAATAGTATAGTACATAGAGCTCACCATTGGTTTGCTTTTCCCATGAAACACTTCGCGCACAAACATTGCACCTATGGCAAATCCCATAACGTTATTCGCATCTGTTACACAATAGCGCCATTGTTCCTCACGACCTTCTGAACCTATTAGAGCCTTTCTTAATCCTTTGTATGCATCACGAAATGGTTTTGATAAGTAGGCTGTTAACGATCGGACAGTCTGCCATACCAAATAGTTGTTGAGTACTCTGCGGGGGATAACAACGTGTGAAAATTAATTTTTCTTATCGTCAACGTGGTTCAAAGAAATTTACATTTTTCCCTCTGTCGTTTTGTTGTATTGTATTACCAGCTTTGTCAATTCTTTGAAATATTGAGGGGCGTAATTCACTATCTTTACTTTGCTGGTGATTTTTTTGTTTACTGTTGCGTTTTGGAAATATTCTACCCAGGAAATCTAAAAAGCAAAGATGTTTATCGTTATTATAATCAAGAAATAAATGTGTTATAATTGTTAATTTATATTAATAAAATAGTTTCAACTTACAAACGGAGCAAGTTTCTGCAAATCACTTAGTGACATTAAATTATATAGCTTCTCTTCATCTCTGCGTTCCTCCTGCGGGATGGTAATTTGTGCTAATTCTGTTTCGAACTCTATAACTGCTTGCACCTGCTTCCTTGTTGAATTTTCTTCACCGCCCAAAAGTACACCAATCTGCAATTGCGCACAGAAATAATATTTACGATTGTAATAATAAAAAAATAAACATAGATAACTATTTCATTGTCAAGTACCTGAGTCATGTAATCTAGATACGCTGCAAGAACTTTTCCATGCTCTGTCTTATTTAAATAGTTGTCTATGGTAGGCAAAGTCAAGCCACCCTGGTCAACCTATTGTAAAATCATATACAGATAATATAGATAATATAAATACTAAACATTAGGCTAATGCCAATAAATACGAACTTGTATTATATATCTAGTACTATTTCTATCATCTTCACTAACAGCCCAAGAGAACAATCCACCCATATTATATTTATTCTGTAGAATATGCATGGTATTCTGTAAGGACCAGCTTGAAATATTAAAATGGCCGGTAATATTCCAGCCTCCAGTGTCATTCAATAAATTTAGCATGGGTTTAGCCCCAAGTACTTCTATTGTCTCGTCAGGATCCATACAAGAAATATAATAAAGCTTAGCCTTTCTCTCGGCTTCTGATTTCATTTCATTTAAAGGTTTCTCTGTAAAGCAAAAATTTTCAATAATTCAAAGAATTACATACAACACAGAATTTCTCAAACAATAATCATTCCAACATACCGAGAACATTCTTTAAAATTAACTGATTCTCTTGCTCTAATTTACCAAAAGTACCCCACATACTCTTCCCATCCGGTATAGGATTCTTTTTGATCCATCCTCCGCAAGCATATTCATAAAAGTCATCACAGGGATTCACTGAGTTGTCTATACTGTTAATAATAGATGCAGCAACAGTAACACAATGTTCTGTCAAACAATGGGCACCATCTGAACAAAAAGAGGAACAAAATAAGTTGAAGTAGATATCAATATTTCACGTCAGGTGAAACGACAATAAAGACTAATTTGATAATCCCAAAATAAAGGCAAAGACATAAAAGCACAAGTATTATCATTGACTCATAAATTCAGATATGGTTCACCTTCTCCATTGGATACGTGAAAGATTTGTGCGTCATCCCAACTATTTTTACTGCTTATAATTATCGAAAGGACGACTACCATCAGCAGGAGGCCAGCACAAACAATAAAGAGACATTTTTCCATGGGGCTACGTGCTCGCCACATTATCGCACCCTGTAGAACACCTGGCTGTTAAGAAATTAGTACAATTAATTAATAGTGACAATCGTCTTCTCACTCCACACTGTATTATTTAGTCATCTAGTAATCGTTTAAATTTCTAGGATTTGCATATTAGAATAGGAATTAAGTAAATTATTATACTCTATAGTCGGTCCATCAGTTCAACGTATGTTTTAACAGTACGCAAATAATACAATCCTTAGCAAATCATACGTGGGTTTCTAGAAACTTTAATTTTTCGTTCTGTCAAAAAAAACACATTAAACTCGTAGACCAGATATACATATGTCTATACTATGCAGTCATATTTACCGAGTAATATTTTATGTGAGTAGCCGAGGTACTGATTCCTTCGCTATTCAAAGCCACGGAACCGATGCTACTGCTATCCTCATCCTCGAAGGCCTGCTTATACCTGGTCATCTGTAATTTAACAAACTAATATTAATAAATATCAAAATAACATTTTCGCTGAATACAATTTTCTCATTATTCATTGCCAATTGCCATTATGAATACGTAACGTACACTAGACCAATTAAAAGAAAACAAGAGTAAAAGTATAAAGTATTTGTCAAAAAAATCTATATTTAACAATTATTCATGATCCTTTTTAAAATTCTCAAATTTTCCATTCAGTATTAACTTAATTAGCTGCATAATGTTTGAACACATTTTAATGTAATACCGTGATTGCATATGATGGACTCTCTTATAATGGAATGGATGCTAATCTCTACTTCCTTACTTCTCTATTTCTAATAATTATATAAAATTGAAACGTTGTCTGGTTTTTGTTTCATCACGCCTAAACAATTTAACTGATTAATTTGAAAATTGGCATGGTATTCCTACTAACTACAATGCGTATACGGCGTCGTACGTTCTCCATGCGACGCATAAAATAGGAAGATTTTACGATGTTTTCGGAAACAAATTATATTAATAATAAAAATTTTCGCAACCAGAAGGATGAAAAAATACTTTCCACACAAACCGATACTAGGCCGTGCCATATGTACCACGAAGGACCACATGATGCTAGGTATATATAAAAACAAGAAGTTATAAAAAAGTATATTGATGTCTTATCAGCGTATTATTATAATTAAAATATGCGTAGATCACAGTAATAAAGATCTAAACGATTAATAATTACAAATATTTAAAATAAACGTCTGCAAACAAACAAAAGTAAGTATATTAACATTGTCAGATGTAAAATAATACGACATCTAAATAAAAATAAAAGATTCATCATTGTATGTCTTACACCGAACACCTAATGAGAAAAAAAATAGAGACGAAAAGTGAGAAGATAAAAACAAAGAGGAAAAATAAATCTACTGCAGATCATCGCAACGACGAAGAAGGGCTACGCTAAAAATACATACATATTTCCCATCTCAAGAATATTACAAAGAGAGTTTATAAAAGTACGCGGGAAGTTATTTGTAATTCAAAGAAAAACAGCGGCGCGCGGACATAATAAATATAAATACTAAAAAAGAAAAGAGAAAAAAAACCTTAAACAAATAACACTCTGATGCTCCGAGAGATGCTCGTGATTTCTACTGCGAATAGAATTAGTAAACTGTCAACAGATTTCGAACGACGGTGGACGTTCCCCTTATACAAAAATAATGATAACGGCGTTCCATACCTTGGTCCTCGTGGATCGCGCACGTACTGAGGCCGATTCGCGGGTGCTTTTGAACGTATTAAAATTTCTACGCGTATAATTATAGTAGCAGTTAAAAATAGTTTGCCTTGCGGCAAAATCATTCCCCAGAGTCCGTCGCAATCTAATACCAATATTTAAGCGCATTGATTCTGTTAACAGCAGCAGAGGCGTTTGCGGTTTACAAAAAAAAATTTATCTATGTCAAGAGCGATAACAATTGTTTTAATTTATGTTTTTCCCTCGTCACATATAAAATTTTTAATAAAATGATTATAAGCACTTTGATTGCTTCGAGAAAATAAAAAAACCACGTACATTTTCACACATTTTCACTAAAGCGTTACATCCGTCTTTGCGATTTTTCTGAAAATGCGCTGACGGCACCGCCGATTAATATACGCACGTTATTTTCACATGTCGTGAAGATCCAGTATGTAACGTTGTACTAGTTACTTATATGTACTATGACAGGATGCAACCAATTATTCTCGAATCGAGAGAAATACTCGTGTTGAGAAAGATGTTTCGATTGAGCGCAAGCGTATCGTCGTGATGGTACATTTTGGCGCCATTACATATACATTTGAATATTATTTTTCGAATGATCGCAACGTATTGTGAGGGAAAACACGTGGACAGTTCGTAAGAAAATATAACTAAAATCCGTTTTGGGTATTTTCCTGTCATAGGGATTTGTGGGTGACAATGATTCTGTGATTTCCGGTGTTTCATAGGACTTGAAAATAGGGGTTTTCTATGAATTAGGGGTTGTTTTGTTAGGTTAGGTTAAACTTTCTTTATAACAGTTTTATATTATTCATCTGACATTTTATAATTTTTAACTGTGCCTCTTGAGCTTGTACTAGTTCCCATAGCTTGAATTTAATGATTAGATTTGTATTGACTACCTGCAGAAAATCAGCTAGATTCCAACTATGTTATAATTTATTATACACATTGTAGTATACAACTCTAAGGAAGACTGTTTTAACCTTACTTTATAATGGTATGAGACTGTCTGCTGACTCAGTAGAATAAGAAAATTACTGAGATATGTATAATAATGTTAATATACCACTTAAAGCATATGTTAAGGACATTATTATTAGAGCACTGCTTAGACAATTGGCTTAATTCTTTCAATTTATGTTGTATGACAAACCTTTTCTGCTTACTCCTCAAACAAGTTTCTTTATATGTTACGTCGAATCTGTCAATTGTATTATAGATATCGTATGGTTTTTGTATCATCCGCACAGTCACAATATAAAAATCCATATATCCAACACTTAGTATTTCTTTTCAATGTCCAAAATAATACACAAATTGGATATGTTGAACACCAGTCACTTTAGATGCTTTTTACTTATCTATCTCTTATCTCTGAAAGATGCTACGATAAACAAAGCCTGTACTTGTTACAAAACCAGACAAATATACTGTCCAGTTTAGAAGAACTATATAGTGATTACAACTACACTTTATAAAAACCCTGAGTGCTATGGAAATTAGTCAATGCAAAACAGATATCTAACTATACATGAGTGCTATAAATCATAAATGACATAATAAAAGATACATGAATATTTTAAAATTACAAACAATATCATTGCATTTAAGCATTAATTGATAAAACTTGACCATCTGACACAATTTTAGTATCAAAAGCATTATACAATTATTCATAATCACTCTGCTCAATTGTCAGAAAAATAATTCTTCAAAATACGAATATTATAAAACATTCTATTTTCTGTAAATATTTAATTAATCACGTAAATGCATACAATAAACGTTTTTTTCTAGGTCACTAGGCAAGAGGTGTAACCTTACCTTCACTGACATTTTGCCAACACACTCTGTTGCAATCTTTACACGTTAATTTTTATTGCTCCACCATGTAGAAACAATTAATTGAAAGTTCAACCACCGCTAAAGCAATATACGGCGTTTAATTATCCAGTGTCTTGTGAACTAAGGCATCTTTTTTCCCCACGAGAAATATAAAACTGCTTTGCTGTACAATATCGTGCACAGGGATGCTTCCCCCTTCTGCCAATCCCTTTATTGATTTTTAGCTCAGTACGCATTACGTTGCACCTGCCATCTTTAACATCGCTTTGGCGTACAGAGAGAAAGAAAAAGAACGGGAAAACCATTGCTCCTTTTCTTAATCATTTTACTTTGCCAAAAAAAATTTCTAATCCATTTCACAACCTAAAGAATTGGACAATGAATTGGTATCATTCTTGCTCCTATAACAGCAAGTTTGATTAACAATTTAAACTTAGTCACGCAAAACAAATAAAGAATTCTCTATAACCAATTCTAATGTGTGTTTATAAAATCATAAAAATATAACATTCATAAACAAATTATAGAATAACACGAAACTATTTGACATGATTTCTATTCCAGGTACAAAAACCAATTTCTATCTTTTACATATATACAAAGTAAAACAAAATAAATCCTATCACTATTACTCTATAAACAATGTTTATCACATTAGTGAATAAATATCCCATGCCTTTATTTCGTCGACATCTTTACATTAAATACAATATAATACAGCGTTATTACCGTGTTTCTCTGTCTCACTCTCTCTCTCTCTCTCTCTCTCTCTCTCTCTCCTTCGCTCACTCTCCATATTCTATTCATAAATACGAATGATTGCATATTACACAGTAAAAGGATGTTTCCGAATAATTAGCGTCACTTTAAAAGCGAATACTCACATATCTATTCGCATCCGTCATGACGCATCCAGATGGCCATGCATCCACACTCATTCACATAATAAGCTATTAATATAGTTAGACGTATGTACTGTCAATATGGTAATAATGTAGGGTCACTCCTAGTACAATAATACAATTAATTAATACCGTGTCCCTTCGTATCATAAACCATTAATATTAATATTAGCATCATTTGGGAATGGACGATCGCTGACTAGGACTCGATTAGAAAAAATAATTCGCAATATATATAATATATCTACGTAGATCATATATGTATACCAATAGTTCAGCACGCACGATGCACGTACTGCAATCGCGTCATATGTATTTATATATATAATCATTTGGCTCACAAGCCTATAATCACGTCCTTAAAACACCACACACAAAGATAATAGTATTACGTACGCAGAACTTGAAGAAATGACTTATTCTCATTTTCATACAATTTATCGTACTCATTCGAATGTCAAATAATTAATGTATCACCCAATCCGTTATTCTTGTTATTTCTATTGGCACATATAATGCTTTTCTTCTTCTTCGTCTTATCATTCATATTGGACCGCTTTTTATCCTCGCTGATAAGAAAACTCGAGAGATCCAAAAATTTAATGAGTTTCAATTAGAGCAAAGTGCATCGGAATGAAGATCAAGGATTATAGTATTTGAAGAAAGTGCGAAGCGACGTTTTCAGAACTTTCATATAATAGTAAGAATTTATGGGTCTCTGTACGTAAGCCTATATTTATCTTTTTTATGAATTTAAAGGGGCCAGCCTTGACAAGTTATTAAAGAACAACGTCATTAGATCTTCTCTTCGGGAAGATTCCTTAATAGCGGTGATAGAACACAGAGAAACTTCTATCTCCTTATCGAGGATTTTATTGAATCTTTTTCTTCGTTTTTCTTGTTGTTGTTCTATTCAATTTTCAAAGTGCATGGCTTTGATTATTCATCCTAGATAATGATCAGTCATTTCGCTGTGTATCACTTGTGTAAAAGATCACAGTTAATCGTTCTTAATTTCTATTATAGCAACGATCATCCTTTTCTTAATTGTTTCACTTTTTTTTTCGTATCTCTTGGTACGCGCCTTTGTGCTATATATATATATCTTTAATAAGAAAGTAACAATGACTAAGTTGATATGGATATTCGGAAAAATAGAGGATGCACTGTTACTTGAGTTCATTATCTTTTTTTCTGTTTCTTTCCTTCTTTCCCTTACTCTTTATATACTCTAGTCGGTACCCGTTTTCTTATTTTTTCGGTCATCATTTTTACCACCCATTTTGGTATTTTGGCTGCTGAAAGTCAGTTTTGTATAACATCTGCATCTATTCGCCAAGTATTTTTCTTTGACTTTGTTTCTTGTTTTTTTTTTGTTTTATATCTTTCTTCGTAAAGAGTATGGAGAAAAAGAGTGCAGTGGTAAAAATATCCAGTGGGAACAGAGAATAAATGGTAGAAAATATTGACAATCTATATTCTAATTATAGGTTATACGCTCGCTAGTTGATACACACTTTCCTTCCAAATGCCATCCCGTGGATATATCCTTTAACACTAGGAACAACCAGCGTTGTTTCTGGTGTATTTAGGTATCTTACATATACAGAACTTCGAAATTAGAGTGGCTGATTAATAATACATTATTTAGATATATAGATAAATTTTCATATATATTCATTCTTTTATCTCGCTAAAAGTCAACGCAAATTCTGAAGAAAATAATTTATAGAATTTAAAACAAGAAATCTGAAATTCGTCATTTTTATGGATTTGGTTGTCCAATGTTACAGGCCCAGTCATATTCGTCAAACACGCGTTAGAACGCAGACTGTCGATCAATGGTACAAAACACGTCCAGAAGAATTCACGTTGTGTTATTAGTCGGTAGTTGCGCTGACGAGTGTGATTGGGTTCTTAATAAGAGTGGAGGAAAAGGCAGTGCCCAATGAAATTAAAAGACGCTCGTTGCGTTTTAAGCAAAATTAATGGAGGTCGCTATCCACGGGACTCGAGCAAATTTTCGAGCTTTCATGGAATAATATCTGTTTTTATCCACGAATTACGTAACAACTTGGTTCATTATGGTTGCTGTCATTCGCCAGAAAATCAATGTCTAGAATCGTCGTTGGCTAGAAACAGGTGCTATCCAAGCACCATGTGTGTTCCTGTTGTTTGCCCCAACTATCCATATACCAGAAATTTACGTTTAGCTGTTCAATTATATCCACTGGCCCGTTCTGCTGTCGCAGGCAATTATGATTCTGGACATTGATTTTCTAGTAAATTACTCTGACCTATTCATTAACTTCCATAATGTTTTTCAGCCAAAATTTTCCCGCGCACTATCTTGTGTGTATATCTTTACATACATTGCAATATTCACAAATGCAAGTGAGTTGAAAAAACATGACACTGCCGAAGCTGAGAAATGAAGTTTTTCCTTGTCTTTTTAATGGCCAGTATCCGCATTATTTCATGCATTTAAAATTCGTGTAAATTCCTTTCTCTATTCAATTAGCTAACCGTTGGCTTCCGGATTGCTTTTCAATGTAAAAAATGAATATTCACCGTTTTGGAAAACCTCACAAAAATGAAATCCTTGCAGTATTTGATCCTTTCAACAAATGAAATCCTTGCAGTATTTCAAATTCTTATAACTTGTCGATCGATGGTGTTAACGTGCGATACAATTTTCTTTTCATCAATCTCGACTTTTCAGTCAATTCTTTTATACATTTGTACAAAGATAAACACGCGTTTTATAAGACTGCACAGAGATTAACGCGCGCGGTATAAAGCTGCTTAATTAATCTCGTTATTGCAACGCTGCTCAGTCGAGTGACTTCGATCTGTCTAATTTAGGTTTACTTTCAAAACTCGAGGCAAAACGCCTGGCAAAATCAGAGGGTGATCGTAGCCCCACTTGATTATTAACATTATTGGAGGCGAGAGCTGACGGCGACGAAATATCATTCGTAAGGTTACAAGTAAGAGGTGCTAATATCACATTATTGGATGGACTTGATTGAGATGGGCTTGTACCTTCCCGTATGACGTTACCGGTATCCTGGTTGCTACCAATAGGATCCGGATCCCTGGTGAAGACACCACCATCAGGACTATGTCGTTTATCTTTGTCCCGATTCGATAGTCCTGAGGTACCAGGACTACTGGATCTATCCCGAGCAGAATCATCATCTTCTTGGTTCCGTTTCCCATAGCGTTGCTCCACGCGTTTTGGATACATCAACCTAGTAGCAACCACTGAATAAGTTTCAGTTGGTAAACGAAAAGTCTCTGGTACTTCCTGCTCTTGTATACGATCCTGACTCAGATTACTCAAATCCCTGAAAGCGTGTTCACCAGAGCCACTAGCACAGTTGATGCTAAGTATCCCAAACCTCTCTATATTGGTATTATTATTATCCTGCGACAAGGACATCTCAGTAGGTTTAATAAACCTCTTCAAGGATCCTTGATGAATTCTCAAAGTATTCCCAATACTTGGTGCGCAATCTTCAGAGAACTCCATCGGTACACACACATCATGTCTCGCCGTCGTACTTCCATTAGGCTGAGATGCTGACGCGTAGTGCGGATATCCTGGAGTATCGTATCCATCCAGCTGCCGTGAATTGATCCCACGATTTGAAGTGTGGGCCGAATCCATGTTATCATTCCTCCTCGGTGCCATTCCATAAGGATGCGCATAACAGGGTGGCATACTTCTGGATTGCACAGGTGGCGTCTGCAAACTCGTCCTTGAATTCTCAGGTGAAGTAGGATTCGACACCTTGCCACGAGTCTGAGCAATGACTGTCTCGTAGCTTGGCGGTGGTCCGTACAATTGATAATATGGACAGGTGTTTTCATTTAAAACGACACTTGTGTTTTGAAAGTGCGTCGAGCTCGCTGCGGCACCATTGTAAGCTGGTGAGGTTACACTGCGATGCGGACCTACACAACAGAGGAATCATTATATAATTTAGGCTTGCACGATAAAAAAAAGATGAACGTCCTTAATGAGGATGCATCATCGTTACCTTTCCACATGCGATGCAACAGGACGGTATTCCTTGCTGAGTTATACGTGATCCGTGCCTGCTGTGCTTGACAGGTTGGACCGCGCAGAGGATTCTGCGTTCTCATGGTGGTTGTTCTACTTGGTATAGCAGATGCAGCTGCTCTATATCTTCCTTGAAGCCAGTAGCGATACCACCAACCACCACCAGAACACACGAGGAACATGATAATAACGAGAAGCCTGAAAATATATAGTCACATTAAATTTAATATTCTCATGGAATATCTTTGGAAGATCCTTGTTACTCACCAATAATACCATAGATGATAGATTGGAAAACCGGGCGACACGCAGCAACCAAAATTGCAACAATACTCGGCGCTGGCACAGCTAGAGGAAAAAACCCAATCACAAAACTCTAGTACAAGTATAACGATAACAAATTAATATACCTTATAAATTAAATTTATATTTTTTTTACTTACGCATAGTACTTTTGGCCTCCGCCAATTTCAAAGGCACAGTATTTCGCTTCCGCCTGAAAACCAACAACATATCCAATGAACACAAAATGCCAATAAGAAAAGAAAATAAAATCATTAACAATAACAGCAACAGCAAAGCCACAGAGAGAATAAAACTTGAGCAGTGTCTAGAAATAATAGAAAAAAAGTAAAGAGCATCTATGAAAAATTATGCTCGACAAGATAAATCTGTATGTATAATAATTACAGGCCATCGTTTCTCACGATAACTCGATTGTCCGACGCTGTTCTTATCAGTAACGCAAGATGATCGCTGATAATTACAAAGTAAACGTTCTACAGTCATTTCTCAGGGAAAAAGTAGGTTTTGTTTCACCAGCAGATTATTGCACGAATATCTCACAAGATTTTACTCCCGACTCACGAGCTTCCCTCCTTCTCTCTTTCTCTCTCTCTTACGACCTTCTCAGGGCCACCAACGCTATATAAACCTATGCCACTACTCTATCTCTCTCTCTCACACTCTCAAATATCACACGTCCAGGACGTACGGAGAAACCAACAAGCCAAGAACTGCTGTCACCTACGTAAACGATACACCCGTTGCTTATTCCGGCGAATATCCCAGCGAGTTTCCACTTGACGTCGCACCGTGGCATTTCCTTTTTCTTCTTCGCTCCCTTTTTCTTTTTTTTTTCCCTAAAACACCCCCTTGTTACCACCTACGTTATACCCTTGTTTAGTGTCACTGCATTTGCATCCACCAATCCTGTTCGCTTCTTCCTGTGTCTATGACTTTTACGAATGTGCCTACAATATCCTCCTGTGTTTTGACGCGACGACCATTTCTATAACGCGGCATGTGCACGCAGCATTGTACAACGCTTATTGATTTCCAAATTTTAGGATTCGCCGCGCTCGCGCGCCTCAGGGAAAATGGCTGAGTTTCAAGCCTGGAGTGTTCCTCATGGATGATGGTGTTGATTGAGAGCACGGTCTTGTATACAGGACTGGGCACTTCCCCATCCTCACCACGTTGTAGTTCGTAACCCTAATGCGGCCGGTTTTGCCCGCAATCGCTAGTGTCAAAGAAGCCTGCTGACGCAGCGCATGCGCATCCGTAAATTCACTACAACCTCTTATCTCCGATGCAAAAGAAAATTATTGACCACAAAAAACTGATGCGATGCCAATTAAATAAAATGTTGATAAGTTAGATAAATAAAGAATTGATGATTAAAAAAACTAAAGTTAAATGGACTGATTCACCTAAAAGTCATGAAAATTAAAACAGTCAATATTTGCTTGTGTCGTAACTTTTTTACTGAATTTATTTGTAACTCCTGTGAGATTTTCAAATGCAAGTTCCTATCATTGTGATTCAAGCAGGCACGATGCACTTTTTGGTCATTGTTGCTTTTTTCAGTTGCAATCACAGTATATTACGCATTACAACGAACAAAGCTGCAGGTTACCCATTCAAGAAAGAGATAATTGCGCACGTGATAAGCTCTTTCAGAACTAACGCCTCTTGCGGCAGTGGCCACCTTATCGTCACGCGTTATTCGCCTAAGTGTCCAGACTTGTATACAAGATCGTGATTGAGAGTAAAGACGTGGTGGTAGCTTCTAGGGAATTAATGGAACTCTTTTTTCTACAGCACCAGAAAGTTTCTTCTTTTTTTTTGTTCTGAGACAAAGTAGTAAAATTTTCATTAGATCTGAAAAACAAGATTTTTATCACTATTGTCAATATTAGGGATAATTTTTTTATTGACTCTATACAGATACTTGCTGATGAATCTTTTGTATCAGTCGCTTTACACCAGTTGTTTTAATCGTATGGGATTACTCCTGCAACTGTCCTTGAAAATGACTTTTGGTTGTACAAACGCTGAACCGTATAAGTAAATAAATGAATTCTCCCTCAAGAAGAATCTTCAAGGAAAGCGGAAGTGATAGAGTCAAAGGGACAAAACTGACGGTAAATGATTATTAGCAATATTTATTGATTGCTGACAAATACGAGTATAAGTCAATTCCACCCGTAGCTCATGGGTTTTCATTATGTTTATATTTTTTCCTCTAATCGTGTCCTTCATACTTTATCCATACCTCTTCGCGTTTCACGGATCCCGCTACAGGGGAACATAATTACATATTTATGCGTAACTATACATCATAATTATCCTGGTTGATTAGTGCCATTTAGTTTTTTCTTTTTTTCCTTTCTTTTTTCTTATAACATTTGTATCCTGACTGTGAACAGTGTACGTTGTCACTATTAATAAGGTAGATATTACTAAAAAAAATTAGTAATAAAGAAATCCAGAGATCTGCGATCACACAGCGTGCATAACATAATTAAATGCTACGTGTACTAATTAATGGTACATAATGACTCATTCTCTCTCTCTCTCTTTCTTTCTTTCTTTCTCTCTTGCACTCACCATATTATGTAATTATTGTACAATAAAATCTATCATCGGATAAGATGCATATGGACAATAAGAATTATATCTTATTCTCATTACACCAAAGCATATTATATTCTCACTAAAGAATCAAAGTAAAGAATTTGATGTCGAAAATCAAGTTAGTCAAGAGATTTTTAGAGGAGTTGATCCTAACAATTGAATTTAAAGAAATGCAAAAGAACTGACGAGTAGTACAAAAAAAAATTAAATATTTCCAAATTCCCTGATATTACCGGTATCCATAAATCGCTCACCATTTATCATTCAACGTACATTATCACTTACAGTTATTCATTAATTTTGCATTCAATTAATCTAACTTTACCTTAAGGTTTGCACCATGTTCTCGCGTGTTGTACAGTAAAAATCATTGTGTCTCTCCGCATAACGATCAGATCGTCTCGCTTTATATAGGGTGTTCCGAAATTACCTGACCAACGGGGTATGGCGGTGTTCGGGAGGCACCACTGATCACGAAAATGACCTTCTTTTTCTCCGGAAGGTCATAGTTTTTAAATGGGAGCAGGTCAAAGTTGACCAATCAGCGGGAGGCGTCAAGAGAAACGTAGACACCTACGAACTCTGAGTTTTCTTCCCTCGCTTTTGTTTCTCGGTGGCTTCGGGCAGGATGACGTCAGCCGAAGACATGCCTATTGGAAACAAGAAACAAGGAAGAAGCCACCGAGAAACAAAAGCGAGGGAAGAAAATTCAGAGTACGTTGGTGCCTACGTTTCTCTTGACGACTCGCTTTGATTGGTCAACTTTGACCTGCTCCTATTTAAAAATTATGAACTTCCGGAGAAAAGGAAGGTCATTTTCGTAATCAGTGGTGTCTCCCGAACACCGCCATATCCCGTTGGTCAGGTAATTTCGGAACACCCTGTATATATATCAAAAGTGTGTGTGTATACATATATATATAAACACACAAGCAGATATACACACACACTTCTTATTAGAGCTACCAGAAGAATTTTTAATGGTACCGGCAACTGCGGGGAGAGGGGCGACACGGCCGCGTTATTTTAATATTTATTTATATTTTATAATATTTCTTTATCTTTCCGGTTTTCCTCTCTTTCTCAGCTCCCGACAACGATTACAATCGAAGAAAGCGATAACAAAACCTGACGAAACAACAAATTTTAAAACAAATCTTATATTACTTTTTCTGTGCTTCTACTTCTATCTCTCGACCATTCCTCTTTTCAATTTTGTACATGTCGCTGTTACCGGCACGGTCATTGTGACTCTTTCGGTTTTTCACGCTCTCTTTACACAAATATATAACGTATTTGTTTTGTATATTTATATGCGTAACACGTGGTACTGCGGCTTTCCTCGCGTGTACATATTTGTGATTCGCGTGTCAATTTGCGCGCACGCACATGCAATGACATATATTTTTTTTAGTTAAATATTTATCTTTAAATTTGACTTTCACAAAGTAACGATAATAATAATCATGATGATAATGATAATAACAACGCTAATGTTGCTACTTCCCCCCCCGCGCCTATCTACTTAATTGTCTGTAAATATAACTGGACTTTTCTTCGTCCTTTGTTTTTTATAGTATGCCTTCCTTCCCTTTTCTTGTCATTCTTACTTTTTTCTTTTTTTTTCGTTTCAACATTTAATGAGAAAATCGATCAGTTAAAAGAAATGTTCTTGTTCGTTTCTCCTTGCTTGATTCGCAATAAATGTAAATAATAAACATTTTTTCTGAACTTTACAAATGCACACCGACGAGGATGTCGCCATTTTGTACGAGGCAGTGTATTTCTTTTGAGGTAATAAAAAGAGGAACACTCGTCCCAATGCTCCTCGAAATTGGTAGAGCGTGTGTTCGTTGTCAAAAAAAAAAAGAAGTAAAATAAATAAAAATAAAAATTTAAGTCGATTCTTCACGACGTCCCGTGATTTCTCAACGCATCCAGATTTAATAAACATATAATAAGGAAAAGGGACGTCGTCGTGCCACTATTATAAAAAAGGTAAAAAAAGTGAAGAAATAAGAAAAGTTTTATTACTAAAAGAGAAGAAAACAGGAAGAAAAAGAAAATTACTGGAACCGCGTTCAATATTTTTCTTTTTCCTCATTGCGCTTTAGCGGAAGTGATATATTTGTTCACCTCCTTCTCTTTACGATCAACGTCATATCTACAAAAACGTTTACAGGATCCTTCAAACTTTTCAATAGAAATTTTGATACACGCTGTATACGACAGAACGGCTTCTTTTGTACGCAATAATCATACGATATGATTCTACAACCAAACTTTTTTTAAATAGTAGCTTAAAAACTACCTTTTCTTCTTTCTTATTTTTCTTCCATCATTCACGATACGCTAAGCGTATATCATTTATGATGTGCAAGAAGATATTACGCTAGGCTAAAAACAGGCCAACTTTTGTTTTTGAACCTCCTTTTTATACTTTTTGTTTGCTTTTCATCCTTTAAGTATAAACGTGTACGACTGGACATGTGTGCATTATTTTAATACGGAAAAGGAAAATTCACGATATACTATACTATATTCGAAACACTGTACGTCCTCCATTGGATCTAGATGATGGGTTTCTTCAGAATGATAAGATGGATTACGTAGTTAATCAGGTGGTAGGAAACTGAAAAGGCGAAATTGCTCCCTTATGCGCGGCCTCACGTCCCCACCCTTCAACATTAACAATAAACAATATAAGTTAGTGCACAAGTAGTAAATAATAAAATAATAAATAACTCCAAATGATTTTCAGATAACTATTGGAGCTCAAAATTGTAGATACTTACCCAGTGTACTAGATTTTCCAAAAATGGCAGAAGCTTCATCAGTTCACTGTCCGAACGGTCGGCGAACCAACTTTCAATGGGAATACCATTTTCCAGCTAAAAATGTAGAACACAGATGTTACTTATATTCAGGAGGTTGTAAAAATATATTTTACATTCTTCTCGATCTTACCTGATAGCCAAATGCTTGAGGACTATTGTCGATTATCACGGTCTTGGATAAGTCCCTGCCGAGGATAGAGAGATCCTTGATATAATTCCCGTTAACGCAAACACAGTGTTCGCGAAATAGGCGATACTTTATCAGCTTCCTCGTAGGGTCCAGAAGATTCATTAGCTTGTTGGCATAGACGCGCTTGCTCGCCGTGAAGAGGATCACCTCGTAAAGGGAGGACACGTGCTCCAGGAACTCACGAAAATACGGTCTGGTACGTACGAACACTGTATACGTAACGTCCTGGAACATCACTGGGAAACGGAAGGCAGCGTCCGATAGTTCCTGGAGGCTACAGTGCACCAGAGTCTCGTCCTGGAGCAAAAACAAAGTGAGGATTCATTCTTAAGGATTACAAAACTCAACATCATTTAAGTTCCAGGATATTATAGCTTACCAAATCCAAGACAAGACTGAATTCCGGACTACTGCGCGTTTTTAGAGGCAATGCTGGACATCTGGCCCTCATCGCCGCGGTTAACGGTGGTAGATGCTTGATAAATACGTAGGGATCAAAGGGTTCCCAGTCTTCCTGCACCTGAGCAACCATATTCTCCACATCGCAGCTCTCAACAATTTCCTCACCGCCTACTTCCATATACTTCACATCCTGATAATCGCCATCCGCATTCTTCCCGTTGTATTTGACGTCCAGATTTCCGTTTGTTTCAGACGCCCTTTCTGGATTTGTACTATACGAACTTCCGGACGTGTACTTAGTGCTGGAGAAACTCGCGCTGCCATCGTACTTGACAGATTCGCTGTCAACGTTGTTGATATATTGATTCTTGCTGGGATCCACACAGCGGGTTGTCTCGTTGACGCTGTCGGCATAGCTACACTTCCCGTTTGAAAAATATCTCTCAGAGTACGCAACACGATTGCAGTATGTCTGCGCAGAGTGCATCACACTGTAATACTCGTCTGAATTTTCGGCGCTGGCACAAATAGCTGAATAATGCAGCGACAAGATATCTGCAACGGACAAAACTGCATGGTGCATTTATAATTACTACGCTAGTCAACATAAGTGGTATTAACATCAATCCGTACATAAAAAATATATATATCTTACCAGTTGCCCTGTTACTCTCATCTTCTAACAAACAGGAGAGATCAGGATGAGCGCCTTCTGCAGGCGGCGGCATCAGTTCAGTGAGAGCCGGCGATGCTGGCACCGTAGTCTTGAAGTCCTGAGGTGGTGCCGGTGTTGAATGACAAACGGGTTCCTCCACGTTATAGGTCGATGGATACATCGACAAAGTCGTAAGGTTCCAGTTCTCCTTAGACTCCTCTGAGGCCTTTGAGACTTTAGCTGTCTTGGGTGGCTACGTATAGAATCAATCAATGTCTGTTAATGTTCGTCCTTTCCTTTGATATCGTTACACTAGGTTGTTTATTAAGATACTCACGATAATGGCATCCTTGACTGAGCTCCTATGCAATGGAGTAGACGTTACCATGGACCGCTTTATGCACTTTCTGCGACGGGGTCCTCGTTCTCTCCTTATTGGTGGCGACTTTGCGAAGTGCAACACATTCTCCCTGCACGCCTGCGAGGACAACTGATTTCCAATATTTATTAAATACCATCTGGACCTGGCGCATTCTTGTCCTAAATACTTTTATGTTCAAGATTAAGACTACGTACCTCTTTCAGTAAATTGGGAGATCTGCGTCTCCAGCGTGTCAGACGACCGCATCTGCTAGATGTGCTCACGCGTTGGCTGCTATTGTTAATTGCTGGAACTTTCCTGACTGCCCCAGCTTGCACTCTGCTACCAGACACCTTAGACCCAGATGCACCGCCTGTACCGAGACGACCTCTTAGTCTTCGGCTAACATGTTCGCTTCTTAGCCACATCTCAATGCGCTCCTTAAATGTCCTAAAAAAACAGAATTAATATTGTTGAACAAAATTATATAATATTTTTCATTATTGATGTGCGAGGGAATGTGAAGATATTTCTTTTTAGTAAAAGTGCATCGTGGATTTTGGCAATATATAAGGATGCAACTCACTGCTTGCCAAATAGAGTCTTTACGTAGCTTCGTAATTGCTTCAGGAGCTCCATGATAACAGTTAGGATGATCAGGTAATTATTATTGCCAACACTTATCTTTTTTATGCACTAAATATTTCTTTCTATCCTGTTTTCAATTATTGCCACGTCATCTTTGTATTTATCATAACGACCAATTTTTATATGTGCAAAAGGGATTCTTATTATACCAGGAAACTTTACTTTTACATCTGATGGCTTATCAATGACAGTCTTGACTGAACTGTCCTTTTTTTTTCATGAAAATGAAAACAAAAGATTCAAATGACAGCAAGACCAAGAAGCAATTCTGGATACATTTATAGTACCATGTTAAAAATAGAAACATATTGAACATATTATATTTCTCTGTAGCTTCGTATTTAACTTTAAGAGGGAGGAAAACAAGAAACTACATACAGAATTGAATTTCCAGACAATCTGAACTCTATTTTCCTAGTCCACTGCAATATTAGCTACAGCATAAAATATTTTTATGACATTAGGTTTAGTGATTACATAATGTGACAAGTACTATTTATAATAAAGCAAGTATATAGAGTACTACATGATAAAGGTGTTATAACTTGGGATTCAGGAAAACGCCTGAAATACGTTCAATTACTTCTGGTCCTGATATTTTAAGACAGTCCATACGAGTAATGCAATAATGAACATACCATCCATATTTTACAAGCACGTGTGAATCTCTTAAATATTGAAAGCAGTACATAATTACATATGCTTCTATGTTGTATAAGTAAAAAACTATTGATATGATGACAACAATTATGAATATTTCTTGTTATTTCACAAACATATTTTTTTTAAAGATAATCAGAGAATCATAAGACACAGAAAACATTTCTTATAGTTATTTTCCAGTACAATTTTCATCACAAATAATATTTGTTGATACAAAAAATTGTATTCAAGCTCAGAGACATTAGGGTTAACACGGTTTTATTTAAAATCAGCAGTCATGTCATGTTACATGGCATTGGAATTTGAAGTAAAAAAGAAGCACGTATGTTCTAAAAATATTCTTGCGCTACTACATATATATATAATTAAAGATTCAAGAGTGAATTATGGTTATCAGGTCTTTTGAAAGTAAAATATTGTTACGTCAATCTATGAATAAATTTAATATGTTAGAGCTTTGACAAATATTCAGGTTCCTTAGTATTCTTTCTCTTTTATTTAAAAATAAACACGCAATATTTTTTACACAATAGTATTAGTCACACAAGAAGCAAAGTATTCTATAATAGAAGTAAAAATATTAAATTTAATAATCTTCTTAGAAAGTATAGAAAAATGAGAATTTGTGTAGCATCTAGTGCACAATACAAGTTACTGCTAAAATTCTGTCAATCTGCTGTCATTAAATAGTTTCAAAGAACAGCTGATTATAGAACATTCTCGTAACGTTAGTTTCTCAAAGAGGAAAGATTCTCGAGGTACCTGAAAGCTTAAGAATATTACAAGATAGTTAAAGTCTCCATTAAGTCATCGTTCATGAAAGAAGATTATCGTTGAGAGATTTTCAACATTTCTTTGGATTGCTAAAAATCAAAATAGTAACGTATGGAAGTACAGTGTGGAGTGATCGAGAATAAGCAGGGGCGTTCCTGATCGACAGTATCGTTTCCCTGTCTCTCGCGCGCGGCAATATTATCGATTTTCACGAATGGCGCGCGCTGTGTTCATTGGCGTCAATTTTTATTCTAACATTCATAACGGCGGGACGCGTTCGTGTTGGGACGCTGCTTATCACGTAAAACGACATGAAAAGTGCTGGGAAGAATACATCACGAAGAGTATGTAGGATATTATGAAGATTACAGGTTAAAGAATTAAATACAGAGAATTAAAGAAATTCGTACTGATCGATCGTGAGTTTAAAAGTAGTGCGTTCCGCCGCGGCGGCGTCGACAGGCTAGTGGAGCCGACGTCCGAAACCCGAAAATCCCCGCGAAAAACATCAGTCTTACTTAGCTTGTAACCAATACGATAATGACTATCAATACTCACCATTTCTCCGAATGAACGGGGACTGCTGTCAATCATGTATAAACTGTTGAAGATGAGCTCACACGAGAGTTTCATTCAAACCGCACACACAGCGTTCACTTTTCATCCCCCCCGAAACTAAAACAAATATGGCGGCGGCGTCACTCGAAAATACTTCCTAATCAAGTGGTACACTTAAAATGTTTAAAGCGTCCTTATTTCTTGTAATATTTCTTTGCAGAAAATATTATTTATTTAATGTTTACTTTCAAGTTTATTCCTTTTTTTCATGTTTTTTATTTCTTTTGCTTTATCTAAACTTTTGACTTATAGTGAACCGGATACTGTGGCGACATCTAATTGTTGTTTCCAATTATATATTTCCGGTCTTTGGTTTGATACTTTGGTGGTTCTTGACGAACTAACAATAAGTATACTTTTAGAGAATGATTTTAAATATTAATGATCGTACTTATGATGAATGTGCGGTTTATACATTTTTTGGTGTTATTATATGTATTAAAATGTCAAGAAATGAAAATAATTACTCATCTTAAAGTATAGATGTTTAAAATTAAATCAAGAAGACTTGATCTTTTTTGGATATCCTGATAAGACAACGTTATAGTAAATGTAATAATTAAATTTTCATATATTGTTATACAGTCCGATACAGGAATGACTTTAGTGATCAATAACAAAATCAGCATAACAATAAAAATAATATCAAAATTGTAAAAAAACAAAAGTGAGTATCCATTAGATCAAATAAAACCAAAACAAATTAGTCTATGTACTAAAAGTGCAAATATTTCAAAATATGTTGCAATATTTGCAGTCACACTACCCATAGTTTACTACTCGATAAACGTTATCCTGAAAAGAAAAGATAAATTAGGAACATGCCAATCGATAAGAGGTAAAATAATTCCACGGAAGCGAATTACTCCAGATTAGTATAAAATACTAAATCCAGTATGATTTTATGAATAGTTGAATTCGGTAGTGTTTTCTTCATATTGAAAATTGTTTTCTTTCTTCAAGAAATTTTCGAGGTATATTCTATTGAGTTTTAAACAAGTTTCACTGGAGAGAGTGGAACAAACGAATCCATGGAACAAGGACGGTAATTATAATCTCATTGATGCAAGTTCTATTCTAGCCCGCGACATAGCCGCCATAACAGTTCTATATCGAGCCAATTGTGAGGCTTGTCGCATTCTGAAAGAAATCTAAGCGGATGTAGATTTATCGGTACGAGCCTCGGCGAGTTGGCCAGGAAGATCGCAATCAGATTGCTTATCAGATTGGCATTCAAAAAATTAGCTTGCGATACGTTGGGCTTCAGTTTAATTATAAAATACATACTGGAGGATGAATCTGCATTGGAGAGATTCACAGCGACTGGCTATGCTTTAAACAGCTTTGAAGATAAAGGCGTTGTCTTGTGAAGTATATATGAAAGAAACACTTAATTTGACAAAAGAAGTACAAAGGATTATTGGAGCTGCATATAGTAGATATTGTTTTGTTTTCTAATTTGATTTCTTTGAATTATTATATGGGGAATATATAACTTTTTATGTAATTTGTAGGCTTTTGTCAAAATGGTACTGTTTAAATGCATGAGAACCCTTAGTCCCGAGGAAAAGCTCAGTAAAGAATTGGATCAGGACATCAAGCAGTGGCAACGTAATTATGATAATTCTATCAAGCTTTTATTACTGGGTGAGTAATATTGTAATTGATTGTTGACTTTTGTTTTTCTGGAATACTATATTTTTATACTCAGTTGATATTATATCAGGAACTGGAGATGCTGGAAAAACTACGATCATAAAGCAGATGAGAATTCTACATGTTCAAGGATATTCGGATAAGGAACGGCAGGATTATATAGATATTGTACGAGGAAATTTACACGATGCTATATACAGTTTGGTTTCTCATTTAACATTAATGGAACCATCCTTGGACTTTCAAGATGATGATAGTGAAATTTCTGGGAATTATATTCTTGCCATGGGTCCACATGCTACAATTTTTTCTGAAGTGCGTTTCTTGTAACATAATAATGTAATATAACATACTAATTGTATTCATTTCATATTGTAGGAGTACTATGATCATGTTCAGAGACTTTGGGAGGATCTTGGAATAAGAGAATGCTACCGTAGGTCCAATGAATTTCAATTAATCGATAGTGCAAAATAGTAAGTATAATTTAACTTTGTAGCAGTCACTGGACCCTTTCATTTCTATTTTTATACTATTTTCCACAGCTTTCTAGACAGGATATATGAAATCAGAAAAGAGAACTATGTGCCTATAGATCAAGACATCTTGCACAGTAAACAGACAACGATAGAAATACAGAAGGTTGAATTTTCAGTAAATGTATCAAAAAATTTTTACAATGGTACTCAGGAATTTTGGATGTTTGATGTTGGTGGACAACGAGGTGAAAGAAAAAAGTGGATTCAGGTAAATATAACATGAACAAGTAATCGAATGGTCCACATTAAACAAAACTACACTCTAGGTCTTCGAAGGTATCCATGCGGTCCTCTTTGTGGTGGCATGCAGTGACTTTGATCAGAATCTTTGTGAAGACAACAAGCAAAACAGACTAAAAGAATCCATTACGCTCTTCACAGATGTTTGGAATAGTAGATTTCTCGTGGATGCTGGCTTCATAGTTTTTCTGAATAAGCAGGACATCCTTAAGGATAAGATAGAGAGTGGAAAGGATATAGGAATTCAATTTCCAGAGTATGATGATTACAAATTATCATCCAAGGATGGAAATTCTTTTGATCATTATTACAGAACGCGGTGCTTCATTCGCGATACGTTCGTGGTACGTGCAAAAATACCAAACAATAAAGTTTATAATTAAAGCATAATAAAAAAAATACATTTTAAATAATTTTCAGAAAATTACTCAACAAAAACGTGACAATGTTACCAAACACATAGCACCTGGTATTACGTTGAATTATGAGGAAACAAAATTGCGAGATTGTTATTATCATTTTACAACAGCTACAGATACAGATAACATAAAGACCGTTTTCGATGACGTTCACTCGATGATCATTGAAACGAATCTGAGAAACAGTGGTGTGAGTGGAGTCGAATGACACTTAAAGAAGATAATAGATAAATGATACCGTTTTTCGATGAGATACCAAAAAATGCTTGTATGAATTAATGCAGAAAATTATTAAGCGTGTTCGATCGCCTGTTTGTTACGACTGACAGATCGTGCTTTAAGAAAATGAATTTCAAAACTTAATCATTTACTACTAGATATTCTTGAGTTAGTGCAAATCTAATCAAAGTGATTCTATTCATATTCTTTTATCATGGTGCTTAAATCAATGACTAGAATACATACTGCGAAGAGATATTAAAAATCGATAAATTTTTTGTTGTCTTGAGTTAACAGGGATGGTTACTCGAGATTCTGTAAATATTATAATTATTTATTAATCCCAGTGTGCAGCCGGAGCCAAAGAGTATGCAAGAATGTGTGATGTAATTGCGCAGTACGCTTTCCTTGTTTACATGCTGAATCAGTTTTATTTATTTCATAAATTCATAGACTTAAATTTGTGCCGTGTAAAAACCCATTGTGTTGAATGTCTAAATGAATGAATAGTAATGAAAGAGATTACACAAAAACATGAAAGCGAGACATAAGTAAATATTTGTAGTAAATTGCCTTTTTCTATCCTGTTTTCTTGGAAAAATACAAAGATTCTTCCAGTCAGTCATTGTATGTTTACAATTTTTTCTTTATAGTATTCAGACCTCGAGAAAATGTCCGCTCCGTGGCGTGAGGCACAGGGTTGATTAATTATAAATAATTTTATGTTCCTTATATACATTGATACAATTATACAATAATAGAGATTCAACGATTCAGCATATACACCACACTTTGTAGTGATTTTAGATGGTCATTCATTTCCTGCCTGTCGCTCTTGCAGTTTTCTTTAATTTTTATAATTTTATGGTACAAAGATTCAATCTGGATGATCCGCAGTGATTAATAAAATAACAATAAAGAATAAAGCATGAAATCCAAAAGACAAACATCAAATGATGATCAATGTTTCATTAAATTCTCATTTGCAATTCATAAAAATCATAATTCACAATTTTTTGTAGATTTTGCCAAGTAAAAGCTTGATGACTCGATTAAAACTAAGAATGAAAAATTGATCAGTGTGCTACACACAGTTACAAAGAAATATGTACAATTTCAACAAAGATCTCACAAAGATTAATTAATAATGAAGAATAAAGGAGAAAAATAAGATTATAAATTTTTCACAGAGATAGAAAACTTTTCTCTCTACGGTCAATTGAGTCTATTCGGCTAGGGTCACAGCGTGCATTTGCATTATTTGTTTTTACAGCACATTTATAAATCTTAGTCCGTAAGCTTAATATTTAATCTGTCATTTTGCAAACTGGAGATACTAAATAATATGCCAGATCATTGGGTAAAAATTATCATCAAAGTTGCTAAGAATCATTGAGCGCCTTTTATGATCTTCACTGTCTGGTCCATTTGTCTTTTCTTTTATCTTTGATTCTCTAGAAATTTCTAAGTATAATGCCATATCACTCATGACAAGAAATATCATCCTTATTAATGATGTCCTGTAAACTATCATCTCAATGAAAATAGATATTTTCCCCTTCAGTTACTGGTACCTGGAGAAATCTACTACATATTATAATCAATCCCTTCTATTTCCACATTATCTTGAAAGGCGCTGTACCGTATAGCCTGATGCTATCTGTTTGGTCTCTCCTCTTCTATAATAGAAATCAGTCGTTGTCTGGTTTTCTTGTTATTCTGACATGCACAAGAAATTAGTCCGATCAGATGTTTAGTGGAATATTCCTGTAGAAAGGAATTATAAGATGGAATTTCTTTTAAACTTAATTGATATAATAATAAGTAATTTTAATTTACCAAATGCTCCTTGATCCACTCTTCAAGGATATTTTCAGGAAGATAATAAGCCTTAACATACAGCTCAACGTATTCTCTGTGTGGCATTGGTCTAAGCGTGGTCAACTTTTCAAATTTTGACATTAGCTGGGTAAAGTCCAATTGCATCAGGGCTCTACCACCATTGGAACATTTCTTAGCGTTAGAAAACCTATATCGAGATTAAAATGATAAAAAACATTAGAATAAGTCATATAGTAAGCATTGAATGTGGACATACCCTTCCACTATGGTGTGTGTTATGAGATGCGCCACGTTTTCCCAAATGGAATGATGTACTTCCTGAGATAACGGTACGCGACTACCAATCTCGTCTAACCTCGTGTGCAGCTTATGAATTTCCTAATAAATTATCGAAGCATATCAATAAGTAGATTATATTATCTCTATTATATTATCTAAATAAAGATAGATAAACGATATTATCATCACCTGAAGTAGAACGTCTACGTAACGACTGTGTTGAGACATCACGTCTCGAACCTCCCAGTTGACTTTGTTCATAAGATTAAGGACAGTGGCCACATCGAAGGCCTGTGATACCACAGCCATGTAAACTGGTTTTCGTAGATCAGCTGCAGATGCGATAGTCTGGGTGTAGAACTGATGCAGGAATCCGCGCTGAGGAGTGGAGATTAAGTGTTCCAAGTAAGGCCTCAAACTATCGTACTGCTGACCCAAAAAGAGTAGGGATTCGACACCAACTACGCGTTCTGTCAATCCGTGGAGTCTCTCAGGTTGCGTCAGGTTGACAATTGATGAGAGACTAGGTTGACGGACTCTGTACTTGTGCAAGGGATCCTCAGGGACATTCTCGCTGGCTATTAAATTCTCTCGGATGCGTGCCAGGGTCAGTTTCAATTTTGGACTATATAGGGTGTCACTGTTGATTTGCTGTATAAGGATGCAATTGTTGTTGAAATAGAATTTTTTGACTTTACGATCTCTTATTTCACTCACCAAGTCAGACGTGAAGAATGTGTGTACAGTGTGAAAATATAGCTCAAAAAACTGGATCATATTTTGTATGACATTAATGGCGATGGATCTTAACAATCTTGACATCTGTAAATACTTTCCACAGACCCTGAGGACACTGAGCGTGGTATTAGTGACCATGGGACCAACATGTTTGCTCTTGTGCTTCCTTTTCAATAATAAAGCGTGTTCTGGTTCATCAACATAGTCTCTCTTGAGCTCCTCAGGTATGTCATCATCGGAATCCTCTGAGAAGTAACCAGATGGTTCGTCCTGGAAGTGATTTTAAATAAGACACATCACGAGGAATAATGACGTTGATATTAACTTACTCCTATGTTAGCAAGGATGTCTTCATCAGCAGTTTCGTCGAGTCCAACATTAAAAGGTGACGTTCCTGCCTCCAAGTAACGCTGTAGCCATCCACCAGCTCCTGAACTTCCATTCTCACTTAAGTTAGACCCATCTGGACTGTTTCTAACCTTATAACTATTCAGAACAGGTTTAAGGCTCTTAAACTCCTGCAACTGTGTAGCCATGAAGGTCGGTTTTACAGGACAGAGTTCCCAGCCGTCATTCTCTAGAAATATCCTGAGTTCGTCCAGCCGAGATGCATGATAGTGCGAGAAGTAGGACATGCTCTGCTTCCTAATAGACTCCTGCAGATTTTCCGATGGACTTCCACAGAGTTCATCGCCTACCTCCATCAGACGGTGAACTATGGCCAGGACCTGGACAAACTGCTCGAACTTAAAACACGCTAGGTTGGCGCCCATTAGGTACGTAGAAATCTTCATCTCCACGTCGTGCCAGATCCGAAACATGCCATTTTTTAATTTCTGTTGAACGTATTGCTTGTTGAACGTTGCCTCCAAGTCCTTGTCGTCTGCTTTCTGCTTGGCGGAGTCGTCGTGCGCATTGTGCCAACTCACCACTAGGTAGTACGAGCTCAGAATAGCCCATAGGGACTTACACAGTTCCGTTAAACAAATTATAAAATTTTCTTGAGATATAGACTGACATAGCTGCTTGTATTGTCGCTTCATATCACCACCTGCATAGGAATGGACTGCAGTGAATGCAGTGTTATGAATTGCGGCTGTAAAGTGCATATGCAGCTGATCCATTGCTGTTTGTGTCTTCCCCAAGAGCTTGTAAGCCTCTTGGACAGAGGAATAAATCATTATGTCGAAATCTGTACACATTTTTGAGAGAGCGACGTCTAATAATTCTTCTGCCTGCTCTAGAGTGTCCTGAAGCTTGCCATTGAGTGCTGCCACACAGTGGAAATGTTTATATGTCTGTGCTGCACTTTGACACTCTAGTAATAAGGATATAGCACCTGGGTAGTTGCCTTCGTTGAGCAGTTCTTGGAGACGATCCTCAGTTCGTTGCTATAAACAAAACATAAAATCATGTTGCGATTATTCAAGAAATCTTCGGTTATAGTAGGATGAAGGACTTACCAGAGTTTTTATGGTATTCAAACTATTCAGTAGACCCTGAACAACCTGTCGCTTTTGATAATTCGCAAGGATACCAAGACTCGCTGTAGTGAACTGCAGTTTTGCTAGGTTTAGATCTGATCTGCCCATTCTGCATATGTCCAATGTATCTTGCAACTGTTCCTGAATCTTTAGAATCCTCTCAAACTCCTCCTTACATGCACTCTGCTTCTGGAGTATAAGCTGCAAAACCTTCTTCGAAACAACTTGATGTTGCTGTTTTAATTTCTTACAATCATGTTCTATATCCTTAGAGTTCAAGACTTCAGGCAGTTTCTCAAGTTCATGCCTACATGGATCAAAGCTTCCACCAGTCTCATAATAAACACGTTCAATAGACTCCAAAATATCCTGATCAGGTAGCAGTTCACTCTCCGTAGAACGTCCTGCCTCAGACTGTGTGTCCTCATTCTTTTGATACTCCACTGGATTCAGTAAATCAGGATGAAGTCCCATAGATGGAATCTTTGCTTGATTCTAGAACGTGCGTTTAACAACAATAAATTAGAATCTCCACATTTCAAAAGTTAGGGTATGATCTGCTTATTTCAACATGAAAATAATATACACATAAACAGTAATGCTGACCTGCTTATTAATAAGACCTAAAAATTTGAATTTTAGGTCCTCCATGATGATGGAGTTTTTGACTGATAGGCCAAGCTTGTTTCTATCCATTTATTAATCGATCGGTGCGGATCTATTATTAATTATTCGTGTAAATATAACGGGACTGACATTACGATGTCAACCCACCTCGGCCATCTTGAATGTTAAGTAACTATGAATAGCGTATAATATTGACAGCTTCCTGACAGGCAAATAACAGTGCCAGACTGGTACTTTTCAATCGACTACGTGGTATTATTTCCACGTTACGAAATATGATTGCTTACTCTGTTTATTTAATTAGAAACATCTGTAACATCCGTAATTACTTTTTGCCAAGTCAAATGCATGAAAACGCTATTATTTCACAGAACATGTGCAAAAATGTTTTCATCTGACAGGATTGAATGACCTACAGTCGGTATATTTACAGAACAGAATATCCTACCAGAAAATATGCTGGTATCACTGTGGCTCCACTGTGAAATCACGCAGTGGAATCAATGAAGTCAAAGGGGCCAATTCAATATTATAACTATGCGACAACACGAAAAGCGAATTACTGTTAGCCGATCGTTGTGCTTGTCCTGTTTTCACCCTAACACGCGATTAGCTAACAGCTATTCCCTTTTCCTATTTTCGCCACAGTGAAAATACGCAATCGATCCCCAGGCCCCGATAGCATTACGTGGAATCACTTTTATTCCACCACGCTGTGGAACCACAGTGGTGTCACAGTGGTTTTAACAATTTTAATCCCGGACAAGCATACGGTTGTACCACTTCCTTTACAGACACACTGGGTCGATCGTACCTAGTCGCGTTTTTTTTTAAATATTGATTCCTAATCAACGTAGAAACTTCGTTTTTTAATGTAGCTTATTGTTAGACTTTTCCCAACAAAGTCATGACGAGTTAATTAAAAAAAATGAAGTTGACCGTTAATATATTAATTTAAACAATATAAAACGTTTTTTCTGATTTTTTTGATATTGAGTTTCTCAAGTCCTAATTAAGTTATCGAAAAAAAATATTTTACAGTTAAAAGTCTATATTCGTCGTTTTAATGGATGTTCTAAAGACAATCGTTATTTTAAATTATGAACGTGCGAGCGGTGACTTTTTATCGGTGGATATTTGAATGTTAAGAATCAATGTTCTTATAAAATAAATTATATTGCATAGCAAGCGAATGGTGCACAAAGGTGTGAAAATGAAATGATATGCGAATATAGTTTATTTAGTTCTCTGTAGGTGCCTATTCGAGACATAACCTTGCTGATGGAGTTTCTGGTTTAATGATGTTTCTGTATTTCCCCACATCGTTTTGACGCACTATTAAACATTATTAATACATGAATAGAGCAAGGAATTTTCTCAACTAATTGGAAAGCTAGCATAATTAAGCCTATCCCAAAAGAGGCAGATACTGAGTTAATGAAAGATTTAAGATGAATTAATATTCTGCCCTTTAAGTCAAAAATTCTAGAAAAAATTTATTTTGAAAATTGTATGAACATGTAAGTTCTGTAGGCGCAATTCTGACAACCGCTCTCTTACCTATCACAGAATACGTTTACACGACGGTCTTAAACCGGTTTAGGTAATACTGATTTAAAAGATTTAACCAACCCCAAATATTTCTTGCAAGTAAAAATGTCTATGATTTGTCTATTCCTTTAGATCAGTATTAACTAAATCGGTTTAAGACCGTCGTGTAGACGCAGTCACAAAGGAACCACTGAGGGTATGGGATGAAGATGGTTATCCTACTTCTATTGGATTTTACGAGAGCGTTTGGCTTTGATTATATACTAATAACTTAGAATAATTAAACGGTCTATGTAATTTTTCTTGTGCGTCAAAACGAGTAGGATCCAAGAGATAATGGTTAACGGAGTAAATGGATTCGGATTATTAGACGTAAGATATGTTGCATCGGGAGTGCCTCAAGATTCGTCATTGAAATCACTACTATTTCTCAAATACAAGGTGTTAGGTATGAAACGCACTAGAGTAGTAACCATTGCATTCCTTGTCCCATTCTAAGGAATATGTGTCTACATTTTTATTTCATAAATAAAAATGTCGAGATAATTAGCGTTAAAGTTACAATAAACCAACCAATGCGAACGCGATTATGGGCCATGCGTCACTGATGAAGTAGCGTGGAAGATTCAAAGAATTTAGAATGCATGCATCAAATTTTAATACTGAATTAGAAAATTTGACCAAATATGAGCAGTATTTGAAAAGTTAGGATGGATAAATATAAAAACGAGAGGCACACGAAAGAATGAGAAACACATGCGTTGCATAATTAATAAAATTTTGAAAACAGAAACTCCGTATTATATGACCGAATTCTTCACTAATAATTAGTGAATAATAATAATTATTGTAAGACAAGCAATTTATTGACGATACTGACACATATGAGAACCAAGTTCCGAGGTCCATTCTGGTTTATTGCGGCACAGTATTCCAATCAAATTCGCAAAGAGATTAAGGAACTCCTTCCGCATTTGTTTAAGAAAAAATTTGAGAAATTGTTAAAAAACCGAACCATACGTGACCAGTAGGTGTCGAGTTAGTTGAGTCCTTTCGGAACCCTGAAAAATAGTTAAGAAATGGTAAATTTAACCATTTTTTTCTCAGTGTACGTATGTAGCTGATTCCCGCCCTTTGCTATAATGTCTTGACAATAAAGATGATACTACTATTATTATTATTATTATCATCTATGGCGAATACACGATGGATTGATCCAAATTCATTCATATTCAGAATCCTGTTGTATGTTGAGACGTTTCGTGATTTTTGAGTGCTAGGAATCACGAGACTTTTTGTAGGGTTTGTGCACTGGGCAGGCGTCTTCAGAAACAATTTAGACACTGGAGTTTTTAAAATAATAAAATAATTATATATTGTCCTATAAATTACAGACTAGGTATCCTTAATATTCTATTTGGTCTCTCTCACACCCATACACATGCTTTACAATTGTCTCTAGATTGCCTGTAATACCACAGGCGACAAGAAGTGTTTTTGTTTACTTTATTCTCTCTGCTAGCCTTTTGGATTGGAGAGAGGTAGCTGGAACCACAATACAGCAGATTTCACAATGCGTCCGAAGACCGTGGGCCAGCTATTGGTTCGGATGATAATGATTCAGTACCCACAGGAGATCACAATGAACCCCGTTTGCTGAATCCCTTATCTTAACCCCTTCCCGTGCCATTTAGCTCGACGAAACTCGGGCTTAAGCAGTCCGCATCAACGCGCGCTAAACAGACCAGACTGATGTTTGTAAACAGTCGCAATACGATCCGAAATGTAGATGCCCGCAATATCTGTGATATAGTCAATTTTACGCGATACAGGAGTTGAGGAAGTAAACTCTAATGCTTTTACGTTTATAGATATTATAAATTTATTATATTTTGTATATAATAATGTAGTATATAATAGCTGTTTATATATTATTGTAGAAAATGTATAGCAGTTTTCGAATGTAGTTTGGTGCTCTCAAATATGTAGTAACACTGCGCCTAAAAGGAAATAGCATATTATTTTAAAAAATTTAATCAGAAAACTAAATATCTAAAAAAAATACATACAACTCTAGAAATCCTTCATGGTATGATATGTCTTAAAACATTAGGACAGATGTAAAGCCACTTGTCATTTCGAGCATTCCCACTTTGTTGCGCTTCGTATTTTACGTTTATAACAGACTTTGCACATTCTTGTTGGATGCTTATTTCGAGGTGTCGGATCTATACTTTTGGGGAAACGAGCCCAATATTGGGCTTGGAGTCGAAGGGGCGTTTCAGCTGATGGTTTTCCACGCATTTTGTAGTCCCGTAATTTAACAATTTGCAAAATTGCCTCTGCTATATCTATACGGTAATTAACATAAGTCTGCCGATTTCGACTGTAAATTGTTTTCTGCATAATATAGGTGTTGAACAGAGCCATATCTGATATGAAAAAGAAAAGTTTTCTATATCCTTTCATGACTTTTTTCATTATGGCCCAAGTATCTGTTCGAGACTCAGACTCGCGATATTTATGTTTGGCCCAAGTATCTGGTCGCGAGTCTGACTCGCGATATTTATGTTTGGGCAAAAATCTTCATCGCGAGTCTGACTCGCTAAAGTACGGGAAGGGGTTAAGGATAGGTTCGACTCAGACAGCTACTAATCACAATGATATTGGGAGCTGAATCTTTCTAAGGTGGGTTGTTTTTGTGGATGGTCTGCTGTCCTGACAGTTCTATTACAATAACTTCACTGCAGGAGAATGCAGAGGTAATTAAAGGGGCGTTTCAGCTGATGGTTTTCCACGCATTTTGTAGTCCCGTAATTTAACAATTTGCAAAATTGCCTCTGCTATATCTATACGGTAATTAACATAAGTCTGCCGATTTCGACTGTAAATTGTTTTCTGCATAATATAGGTGTTGAACAGAGCCATATCTGATATGAAAAAGAAAAGTTTTCTATATCCTTTCATGACTTTTTTCATTATGGCCCAAGTATCTGTTCGAGACTCAGACTCGCGATATTTATGTTTGGCCCAAGTATCTGGTCGCGAGTCTGACTCGCGATATTTATGTTTGGGCAAAAATCTTCATCGCGAGTCTGACTCGCTAAAGTACGGGAAGGGGTTAAGGATAGGTTCGACTCAGACAGCTACTAATCACAATGATATTGGGAGCTGAGCTTTTTAAGGAGTGTAGTTTCTGTAGTGGTCGATTTCTGACAGCTCCAGCACAATGCCTTTGATGCAGAATATCTACAAGGATGGCAGATTTCCTGATACATGGTGGAGACACAATGCTTTCCAAGACTAGGAACTGCCGAGGATGAGTTCCCACAGTTTGCAGTACAATACTGTTCACTGGTTCGCTCTGGAACAGAGGATTGGTTTTCTCCTAGCTTTTTGATAATTTACACTTTCCAAATCTTTAATAGCTTCTTGTCGTCTTGTGGTGTACAAGGGTCTTGTCAATTCGTCTAGATAGATACGAGTGGACTGACTGATCCTCCTATCGAGGAAACCGCTGCTTATATCCTCGGTAGGAATACGTTAAAACTAGTGGGGATAACGATTTTTATCCACCCGAGGTGTTAACGTCGCTTTTTGGATTCAATATTTTAATTTACGATTTGATTTGATTGTTTGTTTTGACCGATTCAATTAGCGGTTTTCTGTCAGTACCGGCTTACTGGTATTTCTATTGTCTTCGCCGCGTGCCGGCTTACAGTGTCTGGGCACTTGTTTGTTTTGATTTCAGTCTGTCGACTGTATTTCGGATTCTAGGAATGTTAAAGGTAATAATTCCCCAATATTACTTCCTCATGCCTGTCGCTGTGACTAGTTTCAAGGGAGTTATGCAATATTAGAGAATTAAAGGTCCTATATTCTCTTTCCTTTATCGTCGTCGCTGTGAGAGGTCGATAGGATTCTTGAGGAATTCTAGGATTTGAGGAGTTCTCTCAGATACTGTTATGCACATCCACAGTGCGCTATGCACTCTTATGTGGGGCTCTTGACGTATCCATCATCGAGTTTGGATGATTGGGAAGGACAAAGGATAAAGGATAGCGGGGTATAAGGTCGGAACGTTACAATGTACATATAAATCCTATCTAGGCTCCATCATATAAATATAGAATCTTATAAAAGCGACAAAAAATATTTACCAGCTTCGAAATAAAATACATGTGCCACTATTTCAGGTTACGTTATGGTGACTTATTGTTAGTCCTCCCAGTGCGCACTGCTTTATCTCAGCTTACATCTTTTTCAGAGACTGTACAGTCTATAATACAGACAGGCTGCTACACTCGCCTGTGTCCTTGCTATCTCACTCTGCTCGCCCCCATCAATGCCGTACGCGTTCCAGTATGGTTACAGTTCAGTGGTTACTTCCGAATACAGGCGTACGGATTTCAGTATGGTATTAGCACATCTCGTCATTGGAGGAATCGGCCATAAGGAAAGGAAGGAAGGATTCCAGTATGGTTAGAGTTCAGTGGTTTGTTATGTCAGTCAAATTGCGCAGTGAGGAGAACTGAACGTTACGAAGTGAGAAAAAGATATATCTCTGTTTCAACATGTTGGCTCCACTTTTAACTGCGCCATTCCTCTTCCAGGAGTATAAGTTCTATGACCGCAACCAATCGCTATCTCTTTCAGCCGGCTGTTTTTCTATGCTTGTGCGTAGTCTGTGCTATATGTCAATGGTTTGTTGTATTCTAGAGATATTATAGAAACACTTGATTTTATGTATATTTAACAATGCTTTTTAATATCTTTAAAAATGTAAAAATGTTGTTCCGTAGGTACTTAAGCAATAAGAGAAAAACACTTTTAACAATAACGTTATGCTCAGTGTATTATAAGGATACGTCTGATATATTTTGTGGTTTCATTACATAATAAGATGTCTGTATTGTGCTACAGTGTAAATATTCTTACCAATCAAATAGTTATGTGTAGGCTTCATTGTTTCCTTAATTTACATGACTCGTTCATGGTAAAAGATCATTACCATGTTGCTAATATTGAAGCCAATGGCCAGAGTAACAATATACAGAACCAGAGCACATGGTAATGCCATTAGTATTAACTGAGTCCTGTGTAATATCTGTATACCTGAAATAAACAATTTTTGTAATCAATAGGAAAAAATATGAATTATCATTACACTGCATAATTAAATTACATACTGGTGTAGCCCAAGAATGTGATGTAAATGTAATAGCTAACAGCAATTAGCCACAAAGTATTTCCAAGGAAGATTGATCCAAATCCTACGTATTTTATTAGACCTGTTTAATAACAAATATTCTTTAAAATAGGAATGATTTTGTCATTATTTTTCAAATTTTGAGTACTGACCATTGTACATAAACAACTGTAAGAAATGAAGGATAATTAGAGGTGGAAAGAAGGCATTTAAATGTATATCAAATGCATAACCCCATTCTACATCCTGTGTTCGATCGACTCTCAAGTATCTGTTTGTAATAAACCAAAAAAGTGTGGCGACGATTATTCCAGTTCCTATGCAGTCTACTAGGATGACATAAAAAAGAAATTTAAAAAACTGGAAGAATCCTAGTCCCAAAAGTATAGCAAATCCTATGGATGAGATGCACAGCCAGAAACTTAAAAGGACAACAAAGGCAGGATCATCCCTTGCGAATTGTGATTTAGTCTCTGAAAGAATTATTCAATACACCAAACTATTTCAATACTTTACATACATGTTCTATGTTTTTATTAGTCAACACTTACGTTTTCTACTTTGAAAATTCCTGTACACCTTCTGCGGCGCTGTGAAAAGATATATCATTTGCCAAGAAGCAAACTCAAAATCCATTTGATCAAACTTCAGCAATTTTCTCAAATATTTATAACATTTTGTAGCAGCTCCCATACAGTTGCGTCTAAAAGCAAGGATACAACACTAATGAATGTATTTAAATAATTACAAAAAAACAATACCATACCTATAAGTTACTGGAGTAGGTAACATCGTACCAGAATGCAGCAACATAGGTGATGTGCAACGACTGGTCGATGGAGAAGTAGAATACTTCATATTGCCTTCTGAGTGACATCCAGACATTATTTTAAAGTATCAAAACAGTAAGTACAATAAAAATAACACTAAGAACAGTATCATACCTTATTGGGTTTTAAGTCCAAGAATACATAAACATGAAACTGTTCTCTTAGGTTAGGGATATTGTGGCATTCCTTATACCAGCCAAACAAACACACTCAACGATCAATGCTAGACAGGAAAACGTAAAATATTATCAAAGGCCACAATGATATTCGCGCTCATATTTATATTAAACTTGGCTTCCTAATACTGATATTACCACTGAAAATCAGTGAAACTATTCAAGTGACATCTACAGTCAAACGGAGGCAGTCTAACGATAAAATAGATGACGTGCGCATTATAGACTGATAGAAGAACCACTGCCAAGAGCTGTCATAAAAACTTGGGCAAAGTCGTATTTGTTGTTACCTAGCATTCTTTAATATGGTTCAGAATCCATAAAAATATTGTCATGTTTATTCTGTAGAATGATACGTACAGATACGTTTGGATACGTTGCATGCTGAGAATGACAAGTCATTCGTTTTGTCCAAGTCAATGGAGGTATGATGTCACTTAATCATTTGACGGGTATTAACGTAATACCAATGAAAAATTGATGAATTCTTAATCAACATTCTATTACAAAGCACACTGAAAACTATTATTCAAAGACAAGTAGAGATTAGAAAAAAATTGATTGTACATCATTGTAGATAAACGTCTAAGAATTTAAACGCCATTGAAAACGGCAACTATACTTACACAAAAGTCATACGGGAAACAAATAGGCGTTACTGATTTAATTTATTGCCCTTTACATATTTCATTACATTAATTGGATATAACACTTTGAGTGTCATTTGAAAATATCGTACAATAAATACTTAATACTGCTAGAATGACGTACGACAGGATATACATTAATCCATGGAAGACATTTTGAATTTTTAATATATAAAATCATTATTGTCATTAAACGCATTTACACAGTTACGAATTAATCTTATGCCAATTTTATGCTTATCACCATCAAGCGGAATTATTCCAGATTAATCGAACAATAGTTCCTGATCATTAGTGAAAGACATTATTCATCGGTATTATTGTCAACCGTATTGACAAATAATAATTTATCCAAAAATAATAAAACAAGTAATCAATAAATAAAATGAATAAATAAAGTAAATTAATTACATAGCACTTTACATTGGAAGACCAGAGTTATTGTATGGATAAGGTACATTTGAATTTCAATTGGGCAAATAATATTCCCTTGGTATGTATTCTGGCTTTGGACTGCTCGGTTCAATTCCCAGTAACTCGCCCATGAAAGCTATGTATGTGATGGCTAGACGTAACGTTTCAATTCGGGATAAACGTTTCTCATAAGCAAATGTTGGCACCTGAAACAGACAGTATATGGTGCATATAGGATTATCCAGGACGGTTATGCATGTTAGATAATTTGAATCGTTTGAAAAAAAATTTGTAAGACTTCCTCTTACCTTTCTACGTAATTTGTCAAATGCCTCGTTCAGGTTGAACATCCTTCGACGCTCACGTATGTTCGCTGCTCTTCTCTGGGATACAGTGGCGACGCGACGCCTTGGCTTCTTCGTGGTCGACGTCGGCAAATTCGGACTGCGGCCATTGGAAGTGTAACGGCTGTAATATTATCAGCATCCATATGGAACCATTCGAAATAAAAGAAAAGGGAAAAAAACGCTACTCTTAAAAAGCATAATCCTAGTGTGTACTGTATGGTCGTTTGATAACATCAAAGGAAGCGAAATGCCAATGACATATTGACAATGTCATAAGTTTATTCTCAAGGATACACATACAAGGCAAAAAATTGATTATATATAATCATATAAAACTATAAAGGATGTCCCTAAATAGCCTTACTAACTGGGTACAACGATGTTCTGGGGGCATTGCTCATCACGAAAATGACCTTCCGTTTGTTGAGAGGTGCTTAGTTTTCAATCTAGAACCGTATAAAGTTGACCAATCAGAGCGAGGTGTCCGCACAAACGTAGGCATCTCCAATCTCCTGAATTTTCTGCTGTCATTGTTTTTCAGCGTATATTGTTTTTCGAGATGCACACTACTGTATTCTGCCGTTGCATGCGGGTTATGCAAATATTTTCCGAAATTTCAGACGAGCGAGATCCCACGTCTATCCCACAACCGAAATTTACATATCTTCTTATTGTGAATGAATAATTGTATATTGCAAGTGGATCTTTCGTGTCAATTATCTTGTGCTTGACATAACAGGTGCGTTCCACTTATCGCCCGCAACGCTCCCAACATCGTTGTGTCTTTAAATATTAAATGTATTGGATAGAGAAACAACGATGTTGCAAGCGTTGCGGGCGATAACTGGAACGCACTCAACAAAGATCAATCTGAAATCTCTCGTAGGTCACTCGATAATCTGCCGCATATCTGCGAATGATCTCTCCTACACTTGTGCCATACGCTCATTCATCTGGGAAGTGGGAAAGAGCTGCAATTTGGCGTGTATACCCTGAAGAAGAAACAAAGCGATACATGTGTTTTCGATTCTTTCTTAAGTCATTTTCCGGTCTTTCGTATTTTAGGATCATCGAAGATTTAACAATTATCTTGCATACCGGAAGAATCGCAAAGAATCGCTTTATTTAATTCCCAGGATATGCGCACCAATTGCAGCCGCGTTCCCATTTACCAGGTAAACGGACGTATATCACAAGTATAGGAGAAATCGATCGCAGATTTGCGGATCATCGAGTGACCTGCAAGAGATCTCAGATTGATCCTTTCCACATGAAGCACAATATAATTGACAGGAAAGATCCGCTTGTAATCTACAATTAGCCATTCGCACGATATTCGCATTTAAAAAAAAAAGATTTTATTCGCAGCGTACTTACACGGGATGCATTCACAAAGAATTCCAAACGTGTGATCTCGCTAGTCGCTTCTCTGAAATTTCGGAAAATACTTATCTGCATAACCTGCGTGCAGCGTCAGAGTACCGCTGCGTCTATCTCGAAAAACAATCGCAAGGACAGAAAACTCAAAGATCGCAGGTGCCTACGTTTGTGCCGACACCTTCCTTTGATTGGCCAACTTTAAACGGCTTTCGCTTGAAAACTAAGCACCTCTCGACAAAAGGAATATCATTTTCGTGATCAGCCATGTCCCCCGAACATCGCAATACCTCGTTGGTAAAGCAATTTAGGGATACCCTATACATATATAATCATATAAAATTGTATATGTATAAGCAGATACAAAAGTTCTTTCTACCTGATCAGATCTAAAATTTTTTAAAATAACACTACGAAACTCTAATCCTTCCAGACACAACTGTAAAATAGGAGCTTAGTTGGCATGACTGGAAAAGAACCCTTGGTAGGTGTCCGCCTCTGAATTTCTTCGTTGTCACGCATGATGTAGTACTCGATAAACTAAGCCACACGTGTTTTTTCTATCAGCCCAAATTGGGTTTTTGGGGGTGAAAATCGCCCCAGACAATTGTGTTACTAAACACCCATTTAATTATTTCACATATAACAGCGGTATCTTTCACTGTGAAACCAACTGGAAAAATTTCCTCACAATGAGAGATCGAAAATGTGATTCTCTCAAATTTGTCGAAAAATTTTGATGGGGATGAACTATCCCAAAATTATTTTTCATTATATAAAAAATTGCCAGACAGGAGTAAATTCCAGCCAAATAATGTTGAAATAGTACAATATGATACAAGTGCGGAAAGTTGGTGGTTCCTGACGAGTGTGACGTTTGCCGCCCGAGCGAACGAGCAATCATATCAGCAAATGATTCGAATCGATTCGAGCGAAGCGAGGGTTGCAAACGTCACAGGAGTAGGAATCACCAACCCGCACGCGTATCATATACTATTTTTTGCAACAATGTACGGAAAATTCACAATATATGCATCAAAAAGAAGCACGAAATAGTTGACTCTTGATGACTCCCGCACACTCTGAACTCATCAAGAATCGGCCATTTCGTGCTTCTTTTTGGTGCATATCCTGCGAACTTCCCGTACATTGTTGCAAAAAATAGAATATGATACGCTTGCGGATTGGTGATTCCTACTAGTGTGATGTTTGCCACGATTTTGACTCGCGTCACACTCGTAGGAATCACCAACTTTCTGCACTTGTATCATAATGTACTATTTTGCACTCTTGATGAGTTCAGAGTGTGCGGGAATCATAACATTCCCGCAAAATTATTTTTCATTATATAAAAAATTGCCAAACAGGAGTAAATTCGAGCCACAAAATTTTGAAAAATATGTCGCTCGCGATAATTACACCACCGCGATAAGTAACCACCCTGAAGTGTAATTTATTGTTGGTATGTTTTCGTAGAACAAAAGAACTTATATTACAGAAGTTGACACTTTTAGGAGACGCCTTACATTTGGAAGCATTTATTTAAGTTAAATATAATTTGAGTGCCTATAGACATTGAGCTGACGACTTATTTTCGTTAAAGGTGCATATTTGCTGAGAAAATCTCATTTTTGATGTTTCACTATAAGGAAATTTTTCTAGTTGGTTTATTCCCAAAAACTAGTTTATTTAAGAGAAACATAATAAATTGTACTTAAGGGTGGTTACCCCCTAGAAAATAATTTTTCGCAAAAATGTAAAAACACGTAAACTATATTTAATTATAGCGAGCAACATATATTTTTTCCAAATTTTTTGGCTCGATTTACTCCTGTTTGGTAATTTTGCTTCCTCATACGGGAAGCTGTTTTCATGACAAAAATTTTTTTCGAGATTTTCATGCCAGAATATTAATGGTTTAAAACGTCGGGGAAATTGGTTTAGAAAAAATGTCCGTATGTATGTGCGTGTGTGTGTGTGTATGTGCAGGGCTTCAAAAATTCAATTGTCTATAACTCGAGCATCGTTCGAGCGATCGGACTAAAATTTTGCGCACTTATAAAGCAGCAGTTCCTCTTCAACTCTTGCAAGTTTTGGCAAAATGTATGCAAATTTCTAGATTTTATGACTTTTTAAAATTAAAAAAGGGCGTGGTCGCTATAACTTCCGTAAAATATTTGTTATATAGATAAATAGTTCTTCATACGTGCGGGTACGTTCAATGTTATTTGGTATTGAATTTGGCCGAAATCGGTAATGGGATTCGGATGTTACGTGTTTTTGAATTTTTTGAAAAAATTCCCTTATTGCACTAACTTTCTCGAATCTTGAGTAGGTTAGTTCAAATATTTTCCCTGAAAGAAATAATATATGGCAATGTTGCATCATATTGAATTTGAGGGAAATCATTATAGCAGATTTTATGGCATTTTGAATTTTTCAAAAATTACATTATCGTTATATCTATACGAAAAGTTGGGCTACTGAACAGAACAGTTCCTTATATTTGCAGATATCTTCAGTGTTGCATCGTATTGAATTTGAGCGAAATCGGTACAGAGGTACAGGTTTATGGGATATTCAATTTTTCAAAAAAAGAATAAATTTTTCCCCTTAACCACTCTAATTAAAGAAAATGTAACAAGGATGCAAAGTGGAACCTTGCACAGTTTCTTCTCATTATTTTTCAATTTTCCGAAAGCTTTCTCTGTGAAGAAGTCATAATTGATCAACGTACTTCGTCGTAGAGGTGGCTGTGAAAAATGGAAAGTAATGAGGAAGCAATGTGCAAAGTTCTATTTTGCATCCTTGTTTTATATAATGAAAAATAATTTTGGGGTAGTTCACCCCCATAAAAATTATTTGACAAATTTGAGAATATAACATTTTCGATCTCTCATTGTGATGAAATTTTTCCAGTTGGTTTCACAGTGAAAGATACCGCTGTTATATGTGAAATAATTAAATGGGTGTTTAGTAACACAATTGTCTGGGGCGATTTTCACTCCCAAAAATCCAATTTGGGCCGATAAGAAAAAACACGTGTCGCTTAGTTTATCGAGTACTACAACATGCGTGAAAACGTAGAAAATCAGAAGCGGACACCTATCAAGGGTTCCTTGTGAGTCTAACAGGCTCTCGCAACTTTGACACTCCATATCTTTGCTAAAATTGTTTTTTTTAAAATACATTTCTTTTCTCAGAAAGTTTCAACGGTTCTACGTTGATCTAAAAACGGAAATCTGAGGTTTTAATATGTCCTGGGATATAGGCGTTTAACACTAGAGAAACCGTGGATTGATGATTAATGGTTATAAAAAATGCCAAACAAGTCATCTTGACCCTCCTTAGTAGATTTAGCGTTAAACAGGAAGTGTGACATTTTTTTTAACAAAGGTCTCTTTTCACATGATTCTGAGGGACTCATGTCTTGTAGGGTTAAATTCTACAAAAATAATATTGCCTGAATAGTTGTGATGAATCCATTTATGGATGAAACTACCTTTTGAAATTATTATTTATATAGAATTTAAATTCTCAAGCTGAATTTTTATGAAATTTTGTATTTGATCAGATATGATCAAATAAAGAAAAATCTTTGTTCCAATTATATATGTATAATTATTTTTTTCCCGGGTAATTATTACAAGTATACCTGAATCTGGTAGCATAATAATTAGTCCAGACGCCCATCGTATTTCTGTCTTCAAAATAGGATCCATTCAATAATTTGGTTAATTCTTACATTTTGAAGTACGAGTAATACGAATCAGGTAATGGTTTTTCCAAAAAATGGTTAGATTTCTTTCATTAACCATAGTAATTATTTAAACGTGCATTATTACCGCAATCATCAATATATCATTTGGATTTTCTGTAGCTCAAAATGTAAGAATCAACAAAGTCATAGAACGGACTCTATTTTAAACACAGAAGTATGGTGGATGTACGAACTAATCGCTGATAAGTAATTGGTATTCGGCATTTGCTGGAGTAGAAATACGATACTGTATCTGTAGAAATACGATACTGATTATGATATAATAATATAATTAATAGTGAATCTACAATTTTTACGTTATCGATGGATTAATAATGAATATATCGTTATAATTGTGTAGCACTTTAATGAATAAAATAAAATATAAATTTCAGTCACACCCATGCCAATCTCCTTGATTTAAATCCAAGACGGAGTTTTTTTTAAAAGAAGGAATAATTCTCTGTCCATGATAAAAAGTACCTCTGATGAAGTAATGCACATGGTTGACGATAAAGACCGTGTTCGTTAACGTGTGAATGAGTAGGTGGTTGAGCTTGATATAAAACGGAACTATCCCATATAGGGTAGCCTCCAAGATCCGAACCAACGTACTGCGACATTTCCGCCGTTATCACCTGATAAGAATTATAATATCAGTAAAAATTCTTTAACTCACATGATACTACTTGTTAGGATTTTAGCTACCATAGATGATCATTATAGAAAAAGGTTTATTAGGGTGATTGATTATTTTTGTCAATGTTGAACTCACTGGTGCTTGATTTCCATTGATTTCCCAGAGTGGTTCAGGGTAGCTCATATCCCGTAGTGAACCGATTTCGAATTGTTCTTGTAGAAGCTTCACCAGGACGATACGTGGTGATTCTCAAAGAAATACAGGATGGGATCCAGCACCAACCCCTTAATCGTTGGGGTTGATGAGGATGCGGTAATCTTTTGGAGAACGAAAAATAAAAAAATTACTTTCGAGGAGTACAAAAAATTGTCTAAATTTTGGTTATTTCTTTCGTTCTAATCTGATTAATGAGCTAAAGGATATTTTCAATTGGTATTAATTATATTCCGCACGACGTGCTTTTATACAAAGAAAAATAAAAAAACACTTTTAACGGCGCAACTGCTAGTTAATAAAGGCACGGACACTGCTAAATATCAACTGTCAACTTCGCGTATTTGGAATCGGAGTGGCAGTGAGTACCTTTTCGCGAATCTCGTTATGAGTGGACCCTAAAGATTATGTCCAACTGTCCCTCAAACTCCGCCCATTTTACTACCCTTATTATGACGAACAGACCCCCAGGAAATATATCATTGGATAGTCGAACACGCTTGCGCAATTTCCTTGTATCTCGTTGGTCCTCCGACAGCTTTTGTTAGGTCGGAGCTCATGGGATTACATCATTTGACTGTAGGGGCATGGCCAGTTGGAACTACGCCCCGTTCATACTATTTTGTCCCATTTCATCTGACAATTTAGTTATACTTATTAAACAAAAAAAAAAAACGAAAATTCGTATACCACCTTCATTAGCAGTTATTATTATAACTTTCATGCAATTTCAGTATCAATCAATACACTGTGATAGATAATACACAATATCTCACAGTTAACAAAAATCATATTCAAGTCATAAAATTTCCTAACTATTACTACTGATCCATTAGCAATAAGACGTACAAATGTTGAAATAATTATTAACGTTACACAATCCAATTAAACAATGACAATAAAAGAAGAATAACGTTTGCAAATTCTCATAAAAGATTTCCAAAGATCATATACGTTGTACCCTCTAATTCCTATCACAGAAATTCTAAAATAGACCATGTCACCAAATTTACCCCATAGTCCACGTGTCGTCACTTGACTAAAAGTATTAGGGGCATAACGCAACATATTGTCAAGGCTCCATGACAGATTTCAAATAAGTCTGAAATTAATTAAATAGATATTAGTCGAGGAGTCACTTGACGCGATGAACGTCACAGTCCAGATACGAATCCCCTAATATTATTATATATCAGTTCGACTTACCGAACCCTCCTAAACGCCCCTGAAATCATTCTGAAACGGGGCGGACAAACATCGAGCAATTTACCCGTGTCAAATCGGATTCTATTTGCCTGTGCATCGGTCTTCCCAAGGGGGTGCATAAAATTATTAATATCTGGCCAACTACAATAAGTAGTGTCAGCCTCGCAACTCCATCGTCCATTCTTAGTACACGTTTTCACCCCTCGACTGCATTCAGTAATTGCTGCCACTATTAGCATGTGATTATTTTGATAAAAATAAAAGGGAAACGATGAAATTTTCCATTTTCCTGGCAATTGGACTTTTTTTCCATCTCATCAATCTTCACAGTCTCTATCAATTATCTGAAACTTATTTTCAAGATTTAGTATTGGTTTTTATAATCTTTTAATTTCCAAAATGCTTCAGCGTATTTTACATTTTTTTTTGTAACGTCATAAATGATGCTTTCTGTATTACTGTAAGAACAGATATATTTTGATAGCTTAAAGATTTGTCATGATGATTTTTTATGAAAACCCAGCTTCTCAAAAGATCCTCTTCAAATTTGTAGCTTGCTATTTGGTAGTAGCATATATATATATATGATTCTATAGATCTATATACAGTGTGCATGACTATCGTCATAACTGCAAGCTGACGCCTTGGATCAATGCTCGAGGCGTCGGCGCTGAAAGGTCGTCGAGTTTTCCATACAAAGATATAGATATATCAAGTAACGAATGGTTTTGAGTTTGCATAAACCTGAAGACATAAATCAAAGATCATTAATAAAAAAAAAGTATAAAAATCAATATAAAGCCTTTAGATACATAAAAAATATTGAATATCAATCAAACAATTAATTACAGCTAGAAAAAGTCGTTTTGAAAAATTGTGGATATTACGTTAAGCAGAGAACAGATGCTCTTGATATCACACGGGCCTCACATAAGTGCACGTGTTAAGCCAATCGAATTCTGATGCGACCTCGAACAAAGCCTTAGAAATTGGATGCTGCAAAAATGGGGTCACGGATTTGTCTGCTCGTTACCCAAAATTATACTATTGGCAGTATGGGGTTTAACGCATTGCGTTAATACGTAATGCTGTCTCGGCTTATAGTGCTACCCCTAGGCTATCTCGTTTAGCCTTGTTTTCCCTTAGTGCGGCTTCGTTTCGCCACAGGGGATTTGTCATAATAGCAAGCAAAGCGTGACACCTTTTTTCATGGTCATTTAGAGAAGGATCAGCCAGGAAACACATTGGATCTGTCAATTCCCCACTGTGCGTTAGCAGAGTGACAGGTTATAGTGAGTAACCTGATTTGGAATCATTGGCAGGACGCTAAGTAAACTGTTGAAACATGGAAAATAACAAATAAGAAATTGTTGACATGGACATTTTTACTTGTTGGATATTATATTCACAGTTTTTAAAATTCTAATACAAAGCGTCTATACACAGAGGAACGTCGAGTACCTTTTCTTATAATATTTTTCTTGTTGTCTGTAGCAACTCAAATCCTAAGTACACGAATGCATCTGATAAATATGAGATCGTTCGCCACAAGAGTATACTATTTTTATTTCATTCCATTCTCATCACTTGCATTTGTATCTTTAGCTGATATTTTTTTTTTATTTCTACCCACTTATGATCAAGGTCGCTAGTAGCTATGTGATTCATGATTTTCAATATCAGTAGATTAACACGTTGACAGCCAAGCTACGAGATAACTCATAGTTGGCCTAATTCTGAAAAGTACCGTGGCAGTCAACGTGCTAAAAAAATATGTCAGGCAAATGAAAAAAAAGGTACCAGCAATTGCACAATATCGTCTGCATAAACGCATCTATTTACAATTCCTGCATCGTTAAACGTAAATTTTTGATTTCTACATATATTTAAATATATTTATAAAAAGAAAACATGATAAAGCGATCTACTTACATTGCACTTACGTAGCAATGTAGCCGGACCTATGTGTCTATTATTGAACAAATATTTGAGAAATCTGCTAGGATTCGAAAGGGCCTCTTCTGTTATTTGTATTTTGAATGAAACACGTTAACATACACAGCAGGGAGCAAAAATGGTCTTCCAGAATACTATTGTCATTTAATACTATTACGTTTGTGAAGAGAAAAGCCATTATTGCCCGGTCATGTACAACGAGAATATATGACACTTTAATTTTAAATCCCAATTGAAGCAATTACAAAGTGGGTAGGAACATCCGATTATCAAAACCCATATATTAGGGACGTATGGTCCCATGTGCAAGAATATTACGATTAATTTGTGTTGATCCTTCCTGTAATATTTTTAAAAAATAATTGTTCTTTATCTTGTTGCCTCTTACGAGGTGGAATGTACTGTTTACGTGACGATTCACGCCTTCAAATTAGCCTGGCGAATACGGAAAGGAGTAAATGTAAAATCTTACGTGGCCTTTCGAGAACATGTTGTGCTTATTATGTTTTGTTGTCCGTATTAACCATTCTTGTTATCCTGAACGTTAAAGCCTATTTTTATGCTGGAACTGTCCTTTAGACTACTTGCTAAAGTAAGTATGGGTTCTTGATCATGTGATTCCTTTGAAGGACTTCCGGTCGACGATGGCTCCACCAAGTTCACCTTACGATTTTCGAGATCATCGCTGGAGGTCACCGAGCAGGAACCCTGGTTGGCGGTGAACTTGAAGCTTGATTCAGCACTTATATCCTTCTCGGAAGTGACCTTGGGTGTAGAGACGCTCTGCGATCTTGAGAAGTTCCTCCTCCTACTGCAGGAGGATGACGGGCCAGACGTCATCTTCTTTGAGTCCTGTGCCACATCAGTATCCAGTTTCATACTCTAAGACTTTCCGGTAGTGTAAATGATATCTAGCTTGTGTGTGCTTGTTCTTACGTTTTCTCTAGTGAAAGTCGAACTCAGGGACGTTGACTCCTTTATCCTAACGTCTTCGTCAGCGATCTCCATGCTCTCCACCCTGAATCTGTAGCGAAAAGAATAAAAGCCGTATGAATGATATTGAGATTGTCCTGGTTTACCTGGTTCAGGCTCCTGAGATTTATTCACCTGCCAATTTTCTTGAAACTACTACTTGGCTTTACCATACTAGCAGCAGTTGTACTCCCAGTACCGGAAGCGGAAGACTCTTTCTGCTCGAAGATGTACTTCACGTCTTGCTTCTTCTGCTCCTCGCTCTGTCTCAATGTCAAAGTGTGATCCTCGTCATCGTCAAGGTTATCTGCATTCGCCTCGTTCGAGCATGTGCTCTGCTTCAAATTCCTACAGATGGTATCGTTCCCACTTCCGCGAATCTGACCGTCCTCGTTACTGTAATAATCTGTATAAGAGATGCTGCCGCGACTCTCGCGGCACTCCTGGTCCAGATTCATGCAGATGTCATTAAAATCCAAGTCTAGTCCTGGTGTTGTTGAGAATTTATTAGGTCCGCCGCCGAATGGCTGTATTCTACAGAAAGTAAAATAATGGTCCTGATCAAAAGTAGATCCGTCTTGCGTGAAAGTATAAGCCGGATTAATATGTATAATATGATAATGACGATTAATCATTTTCATACAGATAAGCCTTAATCAATTTTGATAAAAGCAATTATTTTTTTATTTACCCATCGTTGCTGACCAGGCTAATAGACATACTGCACTCTCCAGCTGATGTTGGTGCTGGTGAGGACGGTTCCGAGGACAGGAAGGATTGAGGCTCGCTGCTCCACCATCCTGTACCTAGTTTCAAACAGTTATTATAAAATATATTTTATCAATACTTATATATTAAAGTATTCACTTACTGTTCGGACTGGTAGGTGACGGCTGATTCCTAACATCAATTACATCAGTATCATTGGGTCCTTTATACTGTATAGGAGTAGGCGTGATGTACCTGTAAAGAAATAATAAATGAAAATAACATTTCTGTTCTCGTTTACGCATTGATCAACATAGAAATAACCTTTTGAAGATATATACGAATACTCACAGAGGAACGACGCCTAATGGCTTACGGTACCTGACACACTCCAAGTCTGAGGAATGATACTCTCGACTGATGCCGCCAATGCTCAGATTAGGCATAACCGCCCCATGAATCGAGCCTCCCGGCGATGGAAACTTAGGCGGTGATGACGCCGGCGTTCTAAACAAGGGTGCGATGGTCATCATCTCCAAGAAGGAATCGAGTTGACGAAGGGACAGCGCATTGTGCAGGGTCTCCAGAGGTCTGATCGGTGGCACACCCCCAAATCCTTCAATAGCTACGATAAAATCCATATCTATAAATAATGCGTAATTAAATGACAAATGAGAACTGTACTCGGGGAATCCAATGTACTCACCAGCGACAGCTGACGCGTGAGGCGGTACCATGTCCTTAAGATTGGGAGCGCTCGACGAGCCACTTATAACAGCTGTACTAAAGAGGCTGTTCGTAGATCCCGTCAGCTTCTTGCTAACGTTGTAGCCCAACAGCTTGAAATAACTCATCTGTCCGGAGATACTGTGACGGTGGCGCCTGGCTGTGCAGGTGAGGTCAGGTTGAATGATCGAAGGTCGTGTGTCTGGAGATGAGAAGGATCGTTGCGGTTGGAGTCTGGGAATCGGCTTCCTGGGATTATCGTTGGACATTCTGTGCTGACACTTGTAATGATGACGCGCAAAGCAATGACAATGACGTGAGCCATTACAATAATGCTGATGAGTGCAAGGACACAAGGACGAAAGCGGTGGTTCTAGATCAATAGGACGCGATGACGTATGTCCGAGCAAGGACGTCGTCCCGAGGACGTCGTTGTGAGAGTATCGTCTATCTCTAAAATTACGGTAAGTGCGTGAGTCCGGTGAGTGGGAGTAGGAGGACGAGAAATCGGAGTCTGTGCCAGGATTAGCGAAGGTGGCTCCCATATCAGAGCACGAGAGTGTCCTCGAGAGAACCCTGCACCCGGGAGGTGACCTGGTGGTATCGAGCCGATGCTTCTCGTGGCGGTAGACGCAACAGCCGAAGTGCATCCTGGACGTTCCACAGGGTGTAGAACACTGGAGGTGTGTATTCGGAGTGGAACTACCCGAAGGAAGTCTCGAGTGTTCACTGAGATCAGTCTCCTGACAGTGTCCTGCAGTTGCACCATCCTCGGGGAACGAGCTCAAGTGTGACGAGTAAGTCATGTTACGACAGGGACTTCCGTGGGTCGACGGGAAGACCTCCTGACAGGAACGGAATGACTCCATCCACAGGAAGTTAGGTTCGAGCAGGCCGGACGAGTAGCATGAACAGTTGCAAAACTTATGAGACAACGAGCGAAAGAAGTAAGTTTGAAGGTTTAAGCGCTCGGAGAGCGACAGCGATCTGCTCTGGGATATCAGTTCCGAGATGGTGCAATTGTAACATGGACAACGTGGTGGACAACCGGGTGACAGGGATCGTGATCGTCTCTTGGAGCCAAACTCCGTGTCGTAGTGATCTTGATAAACGGTCAAATGATGTGACTTGTTCGTGTGGTTGGACGGCGACAGGGAACTTGATACCTGGTTGGACATGAATACCGACGGAGAAGCTTCGCTGAACTCACCGCTTACTTCCACACTGGGCAGAGTCATCTCGGACTGGGAGCGGCCATATTTCTTAGTGTGTGATATCAGCGGAGGCTTGCAGGATATACACGTTGGAGTTGATACGTTCTCGTTGTTGTTATCACAGGACGGCGACAGTGTGCTACAGGATGCCAAGGGCGTGCTATGGAGTGTAACTAGGGGACTGGCGGTTCCCGAACTAGAGGCTGAAGAAGCATTCACGCCAAATGGTATAGGCAGATCCGGAGAGCTTATGGAGTGAGCCAGGACTAAGGGCTTTCCCAGGTAAGGTACGTTAAGGAAATCGTTCCTGGGGGAACATTCCGGTATACTTGATTCCTCCGAAACCTCCTGGACTGAAGCTTCTTCGAGATTAAGGTTAATTAATAGGCAAGTCAGATGAAGGATAGACACATTTCAAAACAGACAGAGAAAGAGTGTATACAGTGTGTAACGTAAAGATAAGCAGAAGGTAAAGAGAAAGTATGGGAAAAGAGTGATAAGAGTAGGATGGAAAGAAAAGAAAGAAACAAATAAATAACATTAAATGACCCATCACCGATGGTATTACGTAACATCACGATTACTCCATATAGACAACAGTGTCACCGGTCACGAGACAGCAGTTGTACAAATTTTATCCTCAAAAAAAATTTCAGAAAAATAACTACAAACTGGAGAATCGAGTAGGGACAAAAGAATATTTTTTTTCTAATATTTATTTCGAGACAAAACAAAATATAGCGTTAACGTTAATTATTTTTGTTAAAATTATCGTTAATGGATGCACGACGTCTTTTAACAAGAGTGCAAAGCAATTGGTACGAAAGAGAAAGAGAAAAAATACAAACAAATAGCGAGGAAAAATGTACACAGTCATATGTATATATATTTATATACATAATTACATATTACTTGGATGCTAATTATATCAGGCACGTGCATATACATATTACCGAAAGCGCCACTATGGCTTTAATGATCTGGTCGAATGATTTTAGCTTGCGAGATACTAATGAGACGCGAAAGTAAAAAAAGCGTAGCAACATTTTATATATAGTATACTGCATTATGTAAGGTATAAGCATTTAAGCAATAAAGATAAGGCATTCCTGCACGAGCATATATTCAAGTACAAATGGAACACAGTGAATTGGAATAATCGTGGATGTGGGAAATGTAGTATATTTATTGACGGCTGGATGGATCATGTTTCATGTTTAAAAAATTTTTTTTAATACAAAGCATGGTCCAAACAGTCGCCCCTTTGACAAAATTTGATGGGCCTCCACGCACACAATTATCGCAGAGCAAAGAGTTATTCCAACTGAACTGCCATTCCTTCTCTCAGACTTCCTCTCGACGTATTCTCTTCTCTCCTTTTTTTCCACTTCTCTGTCTTTCCTGTTTCTTCTTGTTTAAAAGCTTCAAAAACTTTTAACGTTTTGTTATATACGTTACGATAAATTTTGCACAAAAAGAATTCTGTCAGATGATTTCAGAATAACAGTAAAATCTCATGTGAATTTTGCGTAGCTTCTAAGAGACAAAGACTGGTGGAATCTACTGAGAATTTCATAGGTTCAGAAATTTACAAAGAGAGACAGAGGGAGAGCGAGAACGAAGAGTGAAAGGTAGCCAGAGGAAAGATGGCAACGAAAGGACGTACCTTCCTTGTTGACCGCGTCCAAGCTCTGATACTGCAGCTTGTCCGCAGCTACAAAAAAGAAAAAAAAAAAAAAGGAGACGAAAACGCAAAAACTTTGTGACCAGTTGGAGCGAGATTGAACGTGCGATTATCTCATCATACGATTGATTCGTTCACTCGGCGGATGATGATTGCCATGATCATCTTGTTCGGCATTAAACTATGAGGATTGATAATAGCGCGACAATGTCAGCTGGACGCGCCTTCAATTCTTTTTTATTGCATATTCGCACCCGGTAAACACCGAACAATACATCCCATTTACTTTAGTCGACATTTACAAAAGCTACGTGTACTCGCCAAAGTAACACTTTCATTGGACACCAATTATTACGTCACAACAATTCCTAATCGCCACAAGCGGATCACGAGACATTAGTGGCACCGGTTAGTGACGCAAAAAGCGAGTGTCACACTGTTCGCCAAGTCAAGTCTTCAACAGTCGTCGTACAGTGTAACTCTCATTTTCATTAGAACTTTAGGAGCAAAAACAATTGAACTTGTGGAGAAAAGTTGAATATCAATCAAGGTAATAACGTGGAATGTTACTGAATAATAAATTAGAATGCACATATCGAAACGATATAGAATGTCAAAAAGTAAAAAAGAAAGGGACGAGGGCAATCAGTGCGAAACATTTGATATACCTGGTCGAAGAGGTTCAAGAAAAATAGAATCAAAGAATGTTTTCAAGTGAATCCAAATTAACGTAAAAAAGTTACAGTACACAAGTAGAAGCGAGAGGATAATAAAAGGTGAGTTTGAAAATATAATAAAACAAGTAAAAAAAAAAAAAAAGGAAAAGTAAACAAATTGTAGAACACCGTGAGAATTGAGTAAAGTCAAAGAGTCGTCATCGTCATCATTTAATTTATCAGTCCATGCAAAACCTTGTTTCTCCTACTGATGATCATCTATTAAAACTTTGACAAGTCGACGATGACTAGTAATTGCTTCGGACAGTCTTACACCCAGGACCAATTCATAGAGAAATGTGCACCAAACCATTAGTTTTCTCTTCCCTCAAAATTCAAAGAAATGGAAGAGAGTAGAGTAGTTAAGAAGAAACGATACTTACCTTTCTCAGGTTTATCCTGTCGTTGATGATCATAACTGCGAGCGCGAGGTTCACTAATTCCAGCTGCTTCCCTTTCCCGTCGTTGTCTTTGACTCGCTGCCAATTGGCTACCCAGTCTTGCAGCTTCATGACCAGCGACCGTCCTGGCACTGTTAAAGAGCAAGAGGATAGTATACAAATCTTACTACTGGAATTGCCTTGTAACCGCATAACTTTGCAAAGTTAATTTCAGGAAACCTGATTGGTATCGGTGCAGAACTCTGGAGGAATCCGCTGTCGAAGGGTTCATCCATTAAATTCGAATCTAGGTCCATCATGTCTATTGCCCTGCTGGTTGTCGGACTGTCCATTATGGGATCAATCGGTTCAGTTTCCATCGGCGGTGGGGAGGTATCCTGAACATTGTACAACAATTTTATTACCAGTTTCGTCAAGATGCCGCAGAGTTTTAAACCAGGAGTAGGTGCATGAGGTGCCTGACACACCCCAACTAGATGATTTTTAAATGAAAAACTAAAATCGCGCAACCATTTCCGGATTAAACGTTGCATAAATAATAGAAATACTCTCACCGATTTGGATGGTGGAGTTATGACATCATCCTCAACAATACCCAATTCAGTATCCTCCTCTTCGATACGCGTACTGCACTGAGAAGTCGTATCCTGACCAGACCCAGTGTCACCCTTGGGAGAAATGTCAGATGTCATAGATAAATGATAAGAAAAAGACGAGTTTAAAATTTTGTTTACAAAACTTACAAGATTTTGACTGCTCTCATTGCGGGAATGAGGTCTGAATCCAGGTCCAGGTGGCAAGTTCTTTTGAACGCAACAATTGACACCTGGACTAAAGTGCAGCTCCACGTGGAAACGCTCCTCGCTACTTGGATCTTTAGTAGGATCCTCGTACAGCATTACAACTATTTGTGACATGTAATTAAGCTCGGACACCATGCTGACGTATTCCATTGCGCGTCTCCATTGCTCATCCTTTACCACCTACCATGATATATTAGTTATAATATCGCAAGGAAGGTTTGATACAAAAAGATATCAAAATACGTATGAATAAAAGAATTCATAAACGTACATCTAACAAACCCCCATAACGCAAAACTGTAAGCAGAGAATGAACATGGCTCTCGCTTGTGAAGTATAACCGCGTACGCACGTGTCGTCCCGGACTCGATACACCATGAGAATATCTGAAATAAAAAATATAAAAAGCAATGATAAACAGAATATTCTCCAATCATATAATCTCGGTATGAAGGCGGCATCCTCTGCTCCGAAAAACCACCCTGTACACTGATTTTTTACGCTTTATATTTTTGCTTTTAACGGCAATGAGTTTATGAAGTTGAAAAGGTATTCAAATACTTATAACAACGGTTGTATTTATATTAAAACTTGTATACAACCTTGGATTCAATCGATTTACAGTTTCCTCTCCAGATTCTTCGATATTCCTTTGTAGGTCAGCACGAATCTTCTTCAGGAGCGGTGTGCATATACCCTGACCAATCGTCAATTTCTCTTGGACGGTCAATCCATACTCCTTGAGAATATTATACAGGATATTACGAATTGCACATGTAAATTATCGAAGTCAATTATTCGTAATTTGACATACCTGTGGTATCACAATATCAGCGAGGTATTTGGCGTAGATATACAATTCCTCAGCATGATCAAATTGCAAGGTGTGATTGTTATGCTGCAAGTCGTACTTTATACAATCGTAAATATCTGGAATCTTTGATATATCAAACCGTTTGTCCTTCGTGCAAAAGTCCTTCTCTATTTTTCCCCATCGCCTTCCCATCAGTTCCCAAGTTTCCCCATGATATAGTATAGCATCTAACCAAGATTACAATAAAATATAATACACATTGGAGCAACATTTTAAATACTACAAGACAAACGGACTATACGAAAACAAATGAAAAATTAATGCAAATACCCTTAGTCTTAGGATCATCTTTCTTGATCCTTACAATATCCATGAGCTTCTGTATCAATGCGTGCACATGCTGGCAACACCGTACAGGATTCTTCACAAAATCCATAGCTGCATTTATACTGAGTGCGTTACCCGGATTGATCTGTTCGCGATCCTCACGCGTGAACTCTCTGTTCTGTTGTAGAAGCTCGTGGAGCTTCGTCTTCACCCTAAGAGTTTGAGTACAATAATTATACACGAAATCGTTCAAACTAAGATCCGAAACTTGCAAATAAAGTGCGTCCTAGTGAACTTACATATTCTGATACTTGCTACTGTCACAATCATTGTCTAGAAGACCATTAGTATTGGCACTCTTAACCATCTGCACCAGGATTGGCGTGAGTTCACCCTCCAGAGCCAAGAGACCTTTTGCGAAAGCAGCAGCCGTCATCTGGACGCGACCCTCGTCACTGGCATAGATCTTCAAGTCATGACGGAATGTTGAGTGGAGACGCAAAAGTCCCAGTCCCTGAGCACCAGCATACTCACCTACAAATTGAATCAGATATTAGAAGGATATGGGAGATTCGAGGATGATGCCAAATTTATGAGGTTGTGCCGAACTCGATAGGTACAGAAAGAAACTCTATGTGCCAGAACAGGGTACGGGAACAGATTATGAGAAAGATATCAAGCAATGCAAACACGACTAATTGTAAGTACGATCTAAATTCAGTAACAATGTTCTTCATTATAAACATCATTGAAGCTAAAAATTGTGCAAGCAAAGTGGCAAGACAGTTTTCAAGATAATAAATACAAACGAACTAAAAATAAAATGACTACTGCAAGCACAGACAGTATAAAATTACTACAATGAAGGTCATTGATTTGCAAGGTCCATCGTTGCAACACGGGCATTCAAATAATATAAATAGGTACTCATTGAAGAAGCTTTTTGGAAAATGTGATGGGGGGTTATTTTTCATGGAAAATACCATCGTGGAAAGTCATTGACAAACGGGCCTTTGAACTGTGGTAATACAGTATTATTGTCTACATGTGAATACACATTTATTCAATGCGACCTACGTAAAGGAGCTACTAGTAACAAGCATCGTTTAACGAGAGTGAGTTTACCGTGGCTTGGCAAAATCTCTGAGTCTTCCTCTGAAACGAACATTCAACAATATCACCTGTAGTTCAATTTGACACATCAATTATGACGTCGTCATCGCATGTCGTCGTGTTACTGTGCTTGACGCGATTAACTATGAAAACTAGGAAATGAGGTATCTAAGAATAAAAGTAGGGTACCGTGTCGTGCTAATTATTATAAAAAAACACATAGTGACGAAGTAAAAGTAAGAAAAATATATTTAGTAACCAAGAAAACAAGGAAAATTCAAAAAGCAGCGGGAATAAAAAATTAAAAAATCAATGGCAAAAAAATTATGGATTTTTCAAAGAAAAAGTCAAATCAGGTGCTTGTAAATTTCAGTAAGATTGTAAGTCCAGGTTAATGTCGTGTGTGAGAGAAAAGAAACAATGACGAACATATAAAAGAATAGGGTAGCTTCGTCAAGTGAGGTACTCTGGCTCAAATGAAAAATGTCTACATGGCAAAACAAGCGTAAGAGCATAAGATACGAACCACTAAGGTGTCTACCTTGACCGCCGGGATACATGCATCGAAATATTCGACCAAGTTCTTCAGCTTGAATGCGACCTGCAGGAGTCAATTCACCGCCCCACTTCAGGATCAAAACCAAGGAGGGCTCACCAAGACGATCTGATCAAAAAAAAATTAATAACTTAGTACTGTTCTTAATGCATCGAATAAGCATTAACTTTTTTAAAATACTATATAGATAGGTGCATCCTACCATCATCCGAGGAACTTCCTCTGGGTCTTCCTCGTGGTTGATACTTCATTTGCACTTTACGATTGATACCCGAAAAGTGTCCGTACCTGAAGAAAGTATCACGAACAATAAAGACAAATATTATTTATTTTCCTTTAATGTAAGATTCATGTTTTTAATCATTAACGTGTCGTGTATTTAAAACAAGTTGAAATTCTGCCACCGCTTTTTCGCGATACTGATTGGTCTTTGCTATTGTTGTTAGATGCATAATTATATTTGTCGCGCGACGAGCGCATTCGCGACACGCACAGTCAGTTAGATAGATTGCGGTTAGCTTTTTGGGCCATAACTCAACAACGGGGAGGTGCGCATCAAAATATGCATAGATCAGGAGATTGTCAGTACTTACATTTCTAATACACTTTTGAGTTGTTCCAATTTTCCCTGCTTTTCCTCGAGCTCTGGACCAGCAGCACGATGCTGTATTTCAGCCAATAAGCTTCGAGCAGTGTCTAGAATCTCCTGAAGCTGTTTAGGCCTCTTCAGTTTCACATGACCATGCTTATATCCATCATACTTTGCGAATATCTCAAAGAACCTAATAGGTGCAACAACAACAATAAATTCCTCCAGTAATAAAGAATAAAACAATGACATTAAGTCCCATTTCCGCAATACTAACTTAGGATGGCGGACTTCCACCTTCATCTTTTGCTTTGGTGTTCTATCCCCATGTCTTATGACTGCTACCACACATCGCAACTCCATCCTGAGAATCATTTAATCACTTAACCAGTCCCGTCAATCAATAATCAGTACCCAAAGCTAAAAGATTGTCTTACATCTTTCCAAAGGTCGTAGGCACGATGGGTGGATCATCCAATTGAAATGGTACGCTCCAGGGAATATGTAGTGTAGGTGCAAGTTCACGCAATATCATGTTGCCCAGGATCTTTGCGCAATCGTCATAGTACTTGTTCGAGTTCTTAACGAAACTAAATCCATTCACGTCGCAAACAAATGACTGTCCATTGGCTCTGTGGGAATAACTTTATGAACTGACCTCATTAAACGTAGGAAAACAAAAAAATGTGTATTGTGTAGAAAAAATTCGCGTAGTACTTCAGAGTATGCTGATGAGTAACTATCTAATGTGACCAGACAGTTCTCTACTCTTGAATAAAGAGTCAGTCCTGACTATTCTATATGGTAATATGATATCCATTCTAGAGTAACACTGATAACCGCATTGCTAGTCTATCGAACAAGGACAATCGGACTCTCCTATATGAATATGAAGTACTCTCTTGTTCTTAGTAATAGAAGTTGATGATTTATACAAAGTGAATTACACTTCATGATGTACATCAATCACGAAATAGCATTACCCATTAACGACCATACATCTCTATATAATTTTTAAGTGAAAATATTTCTTCAATATTATAACAAAACGCAAAAAACATCGTAACAGAAAGAGACGTGTCTCACCTGAGTAAATCAAATCCGCATACGGTCTGCTTAAAAGCTAGACAGACCTTCCTGCTGATGAGTTTCTCAGCATTGCTCAGAATGACAGGATACCGAATTTCCTTGCCCTCGGAGTCACGTTCGACTTTCCCATCGAGAGCAGGACTCTTCCGGGCCTCAGCATGGGCGTAATCCGGCCCAACAGTATATACCTTGACATCGGTACCATCGGTGGGCATGAAGTCTTCATAGATGTAGGAACCTGTCTTACGAACACGTGATTCTGGCGAATACACGCTACTACGACTGCCTATCTGTGTAACAATTATAAAGAAAAATTAATGTCATCCAAGAAACAACAGCCAAAGGCGCCGTCATTGACATATCCAAAATCCTACGATGTAATACAGAAGTTCATTGATAAGATTATTGCAATTGTTTCCGGTTGTACCTTTCTGAACAAACGTTGACTCCCACCACCAGCAGAAGTCGGATAATAGATGTATATATTATGATCCTCGGCAGAAACTGGCTTCTCGACGAAGGGCTTATTGAATGTGACGCCATTGACCTCAACGTGATCCTCGGACTCGACGAGCTCGTGATCTGAAATAGAGTCTTTGTTCTTCGCATGTCAAAAATTTGCACATACACAAACGCAGGATCGGAAAGTGCATGAGTGAAATGATAGTTAATTATTCATCATGTTTCTGAACTCGATGCGTGCAAAAACGTGGAAGCCAGTCCAAGGGGAAAAAAAATAAAAAAGAGAAATGAAATAATGCGATGACTAAAGGAACGTAATCAGGTAAGACTGTGCAAAAGGTATAGTGTGATACGTGCAAAATAAAATGACCAACCCAAAAAATCACTTACGTTTCGGATCAGCTGAGTCACGATCAAGCACAGCGTAACGTGGTATCTCAATGCCCTCGCTGTCTAGTATCGCGTATACCCTTCTGCGATCCTGCTTAGCATAATCGTGACAGTCTATTATTGTAAGGGTCGTGTCAGCCAGAAGTACAATGAGGAATTCGCATAATTGATCATCAAGGAATTCTGATAATCACACGATAGAATTGTTTGAGTACCTGAATGTCATATTGCATTGGAAGATTGTTGATGATGAATGGATTGCGTAGATTGGCATAGTGTATTGCCTTGTCCAGCGGGAATCCTTTACTATGAAAACTTATCAGACAATCGACTATCGGCCAATCTTCGACAGGTTCCTAATTGATAAATATAATCAATATATTGAGAGTTAACTGACATGTATACTGCTTGTTGTTAATAAATGATAACGCTAATTGTCGTACCTTCAATATGACTTCTTCAGGAAAAACGACGATCTTAATATATTCAAATTCTTCCAACCGGGTAAGAATCTCCTTCATTGGTTTACTCTGCGACTTCTTGGACATCGCGCAGACCCCAACGAGGACCTGTTTACCCTCGCCCTCGAGATCAGCACCGCCCATGCACCCATCCTCGTTGCTGCACCCGTCCGACAGCTCGCCCTAAGGACATCAAGTGGAATTAAAAATTGAGAATAATATAAATAAACGTTCAATTGATCCTGAGAGGATCGTACACCGATATACAAATGATTGACATGACCTGTCGTTTGGTTAGGATAGAGCGATGATGCACTAGGATATGCAAGAGTGGATAGATCGCGTGGTTATTAGGATGGATAAGCTTTGCTCACCCAATATGATCTCAAGCAGGATAGTAAGCAGGGTTTCTTGTGATCCTTGATTTCCATGTGAGTGTTCTTTATGCGCTCTTGAATTACTGTGCCTTACAGTCTTTTATTTTTAAGAGAGCCAGCCTGCACTGGCTTTTCTTTTGACTCTACAAGAATGTTTTGATGGGTCATATTCATGTTAGATGTGAATGAATTGCATAATGATATGTATACGAATGTTACTAACTGTATTGAGTCTCATTGATATAAAATATTTAAATGATATAGTGTACTTTGTGTATAATTCAATCAATATTCTCATTACCAATTTTCACATATTCTAATAGTCGAAAGTTATAAAAATAACAGTCCTTCGCATTCCTATGTCACCTTGCGTGAATTTCATTGAAATTGCAATTCTCTGTGCAAGACCATACCTATAATTAACTGAGAGTCTTCAGTATCTGAAGAAACGAAAATCCGTAGATGTATCATCATCCACAAGCTCGTCATCGACGTCACCTTATCTTTATAAATAAGATATCATTAAATCTAAAATATCACCAAAGTATAATAAACGTAAATTGGCTTAATGTCCAAGGACTACGAACTGAATGCTATACAAATGCCTTACTGACAGTCAGCCCCGTTTAGAATGACAAACTGGATATTTTCTGATATGACTAAGCCTAAGGAACTCGTCGCCCGTTTAGTTTTCATTCATTAAAATAGTTGGCCCTCCTTTAGCGATGCACTCAAATGCCAGCCAGAATTAAACCGAGCAAGGTCGCACCTGAGCTGTTGCCTCAGATGAAAACTTTCAGTACTAAGACACAGAGAGCAAGTTACTTTGGGAATTTAAAAAAGAGGAAAATAAAATGCTGTTTTTCCACGGTCTCATTGAAATATGGAGAAATGAGTTATCATTGGTTACACTGTGCCTTTTGAACACCAATACTTCTCTACTGTAATAATGCCATGAATGACGTGTACTGGCACAAATTAATATACCACGAAATATTCTGAAGTTTTCAAATTCGCAAGTTATATCACATACAAAACACTCGTCGCAGCAGCAACATTCCTCCAGGTCGCTTAAATCTTCCATTTCAGAAATTGGCGGTGGGTTCTTCCCGTCGTTACGAATTCGCCATTTTTTTAATCTCCACCAGTCCTTCCACCAGGTCCACTCCATCTTTCACAAAGTTCAATTAACAACAAACAACAAGAAGAACATTAAAACACCAAAAACCAACTGATACATCCGACATGTGTTATTTAAGATATTAGACGTTGCAATGATTATTCTCTTCTTGTTATTATTGCTGATTCACAGCCTATATCTTGCATTATTTCACCTTTCAACTGTTCCCAGTGCCCCCTTAGACTCTACTCTGATAAACGGGCAAACGAATTACAGAAGCTAGTGATCCCAGTTCTTCGGTTTCCTCTTCTCGGTCGACATGTTTACCAGAGAGCAGTGAAATCGTGGAGCTGGTTGATGGGCTCATCAAAAATAGAAGTTACTCAGAGTGTGTCAATCATAAGTGCTCTTATATTATTTTATCACAGTCCTTGAACACACAAAGGATGATAGACTAACATAGGTAAGATCCAGGTTAGGCCGAGTACCACATTTCTTCTGGAACGTTACAAATATTATCCACTTCTTCGTTGTATTAGTAAGATGATAATAATTTGTCGAATCGAACTCGTTTCACTTTGATAAAGAATAACTTCACGTTATGGTCTGGCTCTTTCAATGTTAAAACTTCGGCCTCTTCTTCAGCAAGGACCATCCTCTTCGTGGATTTTCAATTGTGTATCATTCCACTGAGACAACTGACACCCCATAATTGTTATGAAGTGTAATGAATTATGCAACACACATTCACATCATAGCTTTGCAATTATTGTTAAGCACAAGAACTCGCGTAAATGGTGCATCACTTCCTGCAATTTCGGAATAACTTAACAATATCATTGTCTCTGTTACAAGTGAGATGGTTGTCCACCAAGAAATAAATTATAAAAAAAATTAGATACCGTAGTAATAAATTGAAAAGCAGCAAGGAGAAGCTTTCAAGTGCTTCACAGTATTTGATAATTGAATAATATTTTCTAATTGAATCGCGCACGTCAAATGGTTCCAGTAAGCTTAAAAAATCTTTATCCATGCACGAAGATTAGATATCAAACAGCATCGATGATTTCATTACAGCACCACGACGTCTGCGTAAATTGACGCTATAAAAGAAAACAAAAAACCCCTTTTTAACCCGGCAAAGTGTCGGAAATATCAGTCACAATTTTTAATAACTGACTCTTCACTGATGGCAACCACTTGCACAGAAAGAAAAAGGTAGCTGTTTAATTACTGGTAATTGAATGACGCACATTCACAGAGTATAGAGTATTGTAAAAGTACACGAATCAATGTCAGTACAATGATTTGTAGATGTATTTCCCAGAAATAATTTGAATTAGATACGATTTATCACAATAATGTCTGTCCTAATCAATTTGTTTGTAGCCACAACGATAAAGCAATACCAGGAGAACATGAGGTAGTCAGCCGAGCACAATAATTGTTCAATTATACAAACCGTCAATGACAAATGAATTGACAATTGTCAATAAGACGATTCACACGAACTGAAACGAAAGACTACATTGAGACTTGAAAAACACAAATGTTACAACTAAAAATTCATTTTGCGTCCCTGCAACAGATACAGAACATGGAAAAGTGCCTCACAGTATCATCACGATGATTAACAACGTTTCTTTAAATGTATTATCATGGTCATCATAGCAATCATCATTAGGAGGTATAACGTTAATAAAACGCAACGTTAGCAGCGCGGCTATCGATGGAAAACTAATCCATGATCCAGTTAATGTTAGAACCCGCCTCTATGTATCCGCGATATAGCATGCTCCCAAGAGACTGTGACTCTCGACAAATGTGCTATGATAAATATAGAACTCATCATAGAGTGAACAAAGGAGAGTCTTCGTTCCGCCTCTTTCGATTCTAATAAGATTAAACGATTAGAACGATTTATACAGTGATTAAATACTTAAATGAAAACGACGACGAAAGTATTGCTCGAAGTAGATCGAGGTAATGATTTTTCTTCGATGCCTACACTTGCCTGAGTAAGTGTAACAATGTCATACGTACCATGGCAAATGGATTTCTATACGAGCCAAAATATCCATTAGAAAATATTTCTTGGCAAACAGGACAGAAATCGTTTTCCTCCACTATGTCGCAGTCGCACATTATTAATCGGTGATCAATAAAATACAGTGATAATTAATGACAGAGTTACAGAAAGAGAAAATGTAAAATATTACTAAACTTTCGAAGCTATCACGATTCAGTTAAGCAACTACTGTTTTAATGAGCACTTTTAATGCGTAAGCACTGTTAAAATCTTATCGGCATAAAACTTTTTTACTGTTTCCTTTTCTGACAATAAACATACACAAGATAATCGAGGCTACGCGGCTGGATTTTATTCATCCGTCCCGTCGAACATTATTCCCAGTGTGCGGAAGTATCAAAAGAAAAAGGACGTTTCCATATCGTTTTTCTTTCTTCCCATAAAACTCCGTTTTAGAGAAATTCCAGAGGGATTTCACATGATACATACGAATAAGCAGAAAAAGCGGTAGTGAGTATTAAGACAATTAATTCCTGGTGACGTTTCTTGTCGTGGAGCCAATGAAAATTGGCAAAGAGTCTTCTATTATGTTTGCACATTGTTCACGCAATTTTTCTTAGTATCTTTTATCTCGCCGCTTACTTATACCGTGTAAAGTAGGCATTTATTCAAAAGCAATAATAACGTTGACACTGGTATTTTCCTTTGTCGCTAACGCAATCTTCTTAGTCTACCATAGGTAGATATATCTGCTGTTAAAATGTTCCACGGGCGGTAGCTAAATTGCGAGCAAATGGTTTGTTATGGTTGTTATTAATTGACGCTCCTTATTCTATAATGAAACAAGATGATAAATTAAATAACACTACCATCATTTGCCAGTAGGGCTCAGCTTGATTGTCGCAATCAACGATATACACCTCTGGAATGCTCGTGGAGGTGGACATCGTCATTGAGAAGTGCTACGGGTTGGATGATCCTTGAGCTAATTGCTAATTGGTAACATGTGACCGTTAATGATTTCGCGGAAAATGCTCCAACGACTCGAACCAATCTTTGCTATAGTGATTAGAATTTTTTGAGCGAACGGAGATTAAAAAGAAAAAGTTATAAAATTCTCGCGGTTGAAATTCTGCGTTTTATGTTCTACGGTCAGGTAGTTGTGTAGTAGTGCTATATCCAGAAACACTATAGGACTATAAATATAGTTAATTAACAACTGTCAAGACTCGCAAAAAATACAAATTTTTAGATGCAAGAAAAAAAAATAGAAAGAAAATATCTATATAGAACGCACTGACTTGGCAAGGAACTATGTTATCGGGCCTATGCTTTATCCGTGAAATTACGTAATATTTTTTTACTTGATAAATTTATCAGTTCCTTAACAATAGAAACGCGCAAAAATTTTGGTGTCCTCTTTATGCGAATCACATTAACGTCCCCGTTTGCCAGTCCTAAGGAAGATACTGATTGTAATATTATTAGACACGACTCTTGCTGGCTACCAGTAACATTCCTAAAGGCACAGCAGAAGGAGATTTGAAATATTGCAACCAGAATTCAAAGACAATGCCATTGCTTTATATTGACGTATTCAAGTAACTTGCACTAAAATTTATTTTCAGGATAAACATGAAACGACAACACTTGAAAATCACTAAAACTTTGGACTCGAGGCACAAGAGTGACAAATATTCAACAGACTTCTACAACTGTGTGTGGAGCACGTCACGAATTTGAATGTTTTGACGTCAGATGCTCAAATTTTTCTTTTTTCTTTTTGTAAACACAGATACTAACATACAGACGGAATCCGTATGCTATATTTAGCAGAGTATATACGGTAACGAATCCTTGCCCAGTATATAACATCAGTAGTCTGACGATGCTCGAGGTAGCATAAAGAAATTGGGATTATGTGCAACAGCAAGAGGGAATAGGATGAGTGTGACTTGTTATTTAAGATTTGAAGGATCAGAAAAGACTGTAAATGGTATCACATAATATTTTATGTGAAAGATATGAATTTAAGTTGATAGAATGTTTGCACTATAGAGCTGAGGCCTTTATGATCAAATAATAAGTAAACTTACTCTTTGGGATGAACGGTAGATGGAAGAAGCAACAGGTCCTACTAAGGTAGGCTGTACAGTATTTATGTCTCCTACATAAAACATTGGTCTACTTGCACTCCGAAGACCCTGTACAAATAATGAAAGTACAATATAGAAAAAAAAGGAAATTATATACATGGTGAAGATATCCTATCAATAACCTTACTTGGTAGCCATGTTCCAGTTCAGTATAAGACATGTCAGGGCGGCTCTCATTGATAACATACCCTAGATCACACAATGATATTCAAAAGAATCCTTTCTCGCTTCCAATTCAATCCTTGGCTCCTATAAAAAACATAGAATTAAACAAATTAGTCTTCCCAAAAAATTAACAAAAAATATTAAAATCAAACTTAAATGAGTGATAATAAATATATTAGGCAATAGAAATCTTATCGCAGTTACACACTGCAGTCTACCAGACTGAAGACACATGAGAATAAACATATTATTATCACTGAGACATTAATAATCAATAATTTAACGATTAGGACTGCACGCAGTAGAGTAAACGGCAATACCCTAGTTATCTACATGCAGATAGCCCGAATCTGGTACATAGAGAATATCTTGCAACAAATTACTTTCTTGTAATTATATACAAGAAAATAAATGACAACACTCCTAAAAGATACGCCTAATAGCATAGAGAAAACTGAATAAGTAATCTAGCGTAATCCTAAAATAACCTGGTGGCGATAACGCAGTCCTATTTAAGATAAAAAGCTCAAGAAGAGGATCTTTTTGTTCCTAGACTCAGTTGATCTTCCTATATATTTTACACCATCTATAATAAATACTGGGACAGGAGGATGCGCATAACTGAAATAAACTCAATAGAAATGTCACGTGAGATTAGTGACCAGTCTGAACAAGAACTTACCGATTTAGGCCGAATAGATCAGCTACAATTATTTGCATTAATGTAGAGTTTGATGTGATGAATTTGCTCAACGGAGAATTTTGAATACCTGTCAATACTTCTCAATTTTCTGCCATCTTGTTCGTTCTCGATGCATTTTGCGATTGATCGATTAGCAGTTTCGTGTTTTGCTTTTCAAATTTTGTAAGTAAACAACAATAAGTAGAAAATATATAAGTGGGACAATAAAACTTTTGGGAATGTCCTGTCGAGTTACGATAATTTTATAGGAACGATAACGGATTAGTCGCGCGCAATTTGCAAAGTGTCCTAGAACAGAGAGAAAGAAAAAAATTTAATTCTGCAATCAGGCACTAACATTGTTGTACTACAAAAGAGGTATTTTGTTTTAGATAATAATAATCAAATTACTCGGATACATCGCTTCTACGAGATCCATAACTCTTCGGTAACTTCATCCAGGTGGATTCCTCTAAAAGTGGATCCTTTATCCAGAACCCTATTTCCTGGGACCGACTTACTGGTATTCTATATATGTCTGTAGGGCCAACAGGTTTTGTAAGTCCCTTTTTTCTTTGCAATCTTAAACGCTCGTGACTTCCATAGGAAAATCCATCACCAGTTCCCAATATAGGATCAATCTCATTGTAGACTTCACTAAAAGTTTTTAAAGGATTTTTTCTTAGACGTATATCTAGAATTTCCTTGTTATTTGGCAGAATTCTTGGCTCTTTGTAGTCTGTAGGCAATGAATATTGTCAATAAATGGTACAATAATATTGCATCAATTGATATTTTAAATTTCCTGTTTTAAAGCACCTTCTTTGATTACTTCTTTGATAAAATTGCTGTAACCTGTAAGGGTTAAACCAAACATCTCCATCATGTAGGGAAAAAAATCTTCAAATGTTATGGAATCCAAAAAATGTTAAAGAATTGTCATTTTCATTTATTACAATTTCTTTTTTTTTTGGTAAGGAATAAAAGAAAGTAAAGAAGAGAAATAGGAGTCATTCACTATTTGTATAAGCAGTCTAAATAACATATCATATATTACAGATTTTGTACGTAAACAAATGGTGTGCTAATAAATTCCTAAAGCTTCATAACAAATTTTCTACTGAAATTTTAATTGAGACACAGATATAAATAAATATACAAATAAAATTACATCGATAAATAAGGATTATCGAACTGTTAAAAAAGGGAATATAGAATAAAAACATCAAAGTGTAAAATGAACTGTACAATATCTAGGGTGATATCTTAATTCGGAGGTGGGTAAAGACCTTTGCCTAGTTAAAAATTTATATACTATAAATAATAGAAATTAGTTTCCCAATAGGGTAAAACTATACAATTTCTGAAACATTTACGCTGAAGAAAAACATACAAGACAAATGAGTATGTTAATTAATAGTTAGCATGATTTAAAAAATAACATTATAGTTACCGATAATTACTCGTAAACTAAAGTAAAATAGGAAAGAACCTCACAAAAAATTTTTTTCACTTATTAGACTTAAAAGAAGACATGCAGCTATCATGTTCATATTCCTTATTAAATCTATCGTCATGACCCCAGGAAGTATTCTTAGAGTTCATTTGTTTAGACCAATTGGCATCGTCACTGGATTTTTCTTTATGCAGTTGGTTATGAGGTGACCTCTTGTCCTTATGCTTTTTATTAGCGACTGCTCCTGAGCCGCGAATCGCCCTAGGTATTGGTGCATTATTTCTAAATGATTCTTTCCCTTGTGTAAAATTTGGCGCGTATCCTTTCTGGTCAAAGGTGTCATACTGAACGCTAGTTTCCGGTTCATTGACCTTCATCAAGATACCTCCACCATCAGGCTTCGATTTTGTATCCAATTCAGCATCATTCTGAATATTTTTCATGCCTGAGAAAAGAAAAATGTTGAATTTATTATAAAATTCAGTACTTTTAGTTATAAAGCTTAAAGCATATGAAATAAAGATGGAGAGCTATGGCGTAGGTTTACGAACATAGGCTATGCAAAAGGTGATATATTAAGATGGTGAAAGCATGATAAAGAGCTTTACCCAAGCTTCTGAAATTGGTTACTATTGTTAGTTCCGCTTGTGGTTCTTGAATTTGTAACATGGTGTCCGCGCCAATGTGCTCCACGTAAAACTTCTGAAGATAACCAGGAAGCGAACTATACTGATGTATATGTAAATCCAGTATGAGTATGAGCATAGATCGTGAATAAGCACTCAGATTACGGTCTATCAAAACGGATTTAACGTCCAAGATAAGTTCCTCTAGCTTCGAGGACTGTTGTGCTAAGATATTGCGGCCATTTATTGAGAGCTATTAAAAAGTATAAAATAATATTATTCTAGTGGTAAATAACAGTTTAAGTTCCCTTGAAAGATTACTCACCATTCGTGCAACCAATAGAATATCTTCTTCAGAGGCTGTTGTCAATAATCCTTTTAAGTAATTCAGCATTGGTTTTGTGAGGACGCTTATTACTGAGCCACTATCAAGTTTCATACGATAATAAAATTCTCCTAGCAGAGACACACCATTGCGAAATTTGACTGGATCCTTTTTTTGAGTCTCATCTCTGTCTAACAGGTATTAAAGATTGTGAAATATAGCATCAATGTATTTTGGTATATATCATTTTTTAGATAAAATATTACTCACTTTCATATTCGATTTGAAGGATGCTCATTAGGATGCGTCTTACAGTTATTTGATCTCCAGATTCATTTATTTTAATAATCAAATTCTGGATACTTTTGTTGCTTACAGCAAATGTTAACTTCCTGCCAAATAGCTGATCATCCAAAGCTTTTGCTACAAGCCACTCTATTGTTGTTCTATAAACAAAGTAAGTATTCTTATCACCAAAGTGTTTAATTTCATTTCACTATAAATATATAATGTAATTGTACATACTGTGACTCACTAGTCTGCAGACCAGCTTTACACAGTTGTAAAAGATCATCTGGCACAGTTTTAGAATTAAGGTCAAGTTCATCTATTCGTTCAATAAGAGTACTGAATTCATCCTGAACTTCTTTGGATAATGATGGTTCTCCAGGTCTGCGTAAAGTATGATCAGCAGCTTCCCACATAGCCCATCCGCCGCGACCACGTCCACGTCCACGTCCAACAGCCGTCATTGTCATTAAATTAAACTGTAAATAAGTTATGTGAAAAGAATCTTCCATGGACAGCCGAAATAATCAGATTTACAAACCTATATTGTAAAGACTAGAATAAAAATGAAGTCAAACAGAAGTAAACATCAATCAGCACATCGCTCCAAATAAATTATGAAATTAATAGTACGAACATTCGAAACAATAAAACTTGTCACGTGCGAATAAAATAATACGAGATCAGTAATAAAAAATAAAAATTAACCAAACAGAAGTACAATAATTACCTGACAAATTCTAATATCCAGTAACAATCTTTTTGAAGCAGCAGGTGCTCCACCTTAGTATATTGTAAGGTGTATTTATATTAATTATTTAATTATGCTGTATAATTAAAACAGTGCACATATTAAAAACTGAGTGCACCTAAATAAATAAGTAAATGCCTGATTTGATCGGTCAAAGTGACAGAGTAAAAAGAAATGGATGCATAAATTATTATTTGATATAGTACACAACAGGAATTGGTAGTTTACATATTTACCGTCGAGTAAGGTAGCGCTTTTGAAACGAGCCACTCACGGACCTGCGTGAAGTTGGCCGACCAACGATAAGTTTATAAAATATTACAATGAGGGGCTAACATAAAGAAAAATTCCCTAGAAAATTAATTTTAATATTATAAATAAATGATGGACTATCAAACGTCGTGGATGCAATATCAAACGCCTACAAACGACCTACAAACGCTTGCAAAAAAAATCATTCAAATCCGTTATAAATGTGGGGCTAAGTACGTGGAGCCTTGATTCGCATATGGTTTTTCTCATTTTTCTTCCAAACGATAGACTATCAAACATTTTTATTAATTAATTCGCAACTATCAAACGATTTTGCATCGATTGAGCCCTGGAAAAGCTATAAGTCCATTCGTAGAAGCTTTTTCATGTGCGCCAGAGCACTATAGGTGTGTTCGAAAATGAGCCGAGAGCGGAGAGCGCATCGTTGTTTCTCTGTTCATTGGATGCATTTGATCGCGACACTGATATCTGAAAGAAACTATTGACTATCAAACGTTTTTACAAGACTATCAAACACTATCGAACGACTATCAAACGATTGGAAGTAGAAAAAATTTTTTATATTTTCTAAGTCACCGATCGAGGAATCGATTGTATCGTATTGATTGAGATCCTTGATACACATATGGTTTTTCTCATTTTTCTTGCAAACTATGGACTATCAAACGTTTTTGTTAATTAATTCGCAACTGTCAAACGATTTTGCATCGATTGAACTCTGGAAAAACAAAATCCGGTTAGAAACAAAAAAGTGCCGGCCAACTTCACACCAGATTTTGATTTTGATTTTCTGAAAAAAGTATTGACTATCAAACGTTTTTGCAAAACTATCAAACACTATCAAACGACTATCAAACGATTGGAATAAAAAAAAGTTTAAAAAATAAAAGTTGGCCGGTCAACTTCACGCAAGTATCTAACCACGGTCTTACATATAGGTCTTGTAACTCCGATGGTGGGGGGTGACTCACTTTCTGAAGTCGCGCCGTAAACGGCGCTGTGGTCGAATGCTCCTCGTGCGACAGAGACAGTAATAAATATTTCTCTCCCTCTCTCTAATGGCGCGAGTCTACTGTATAACCCTGTAATTATCCGAATAACAGAATCGATATCATAAAGAAGAAGAAGCGATACACATGCATACAATGAAACCTGACAAATAACTAGCGCGCCATACGCGGCCTTCCGGCCGCAGTGGAAAGGCACGACCGCTGACGTTCACGCTTTGCGCTCACCAGCCCATCGACGCTCGCGCTTTGTATATTTAAACAATCTACAACTTTTCTATTTAACTTTTTTTTGTAGAATGCTTAGATTTCAAGTTACAGCTTAAAAGTGTTTTTATTGCTGTAAAAACCCGATTTTGGGCTGCTAACTTGAGTAGAAAGCATTTTCATGATTTGATGTCAACAGGAAAAAGTTGTATTTCCGAAAGATCTACAACTTTTCCATTTAACATTTTCTTGTAGAATGCTTAGAATTCGAGATACAGACAAAAAACCGTTTTTAGCGATTTTTGGAGGTGACCGCATTCTGCATATATGTACAGGATCAAGCTCAAAATAGAACCATAAGGTTCTAGTGATGAGAGGAGTCCCCACAAAAAATTTTACCCCGATTGACTGAAGTCTCTCAGAGATAATCGTCTAACATGAAAATTTTTATTAAATAATACACGAAAAAATCGTAAAATCGATCAAATTGTGCTCCCATTTTGAAATGACGTAGAGGATTGGGATAAAAAAAATAGTTTTTTAGTTTGTATGAGAGTAGACCCCCAAAATTTCAGCCCGATCGGTCGAAAATTGCGTGAGATATCGCATCTCACATATTTTTCGCGATAGAAACTATAAGGCACTTGCGTACCGCGGTCGTGCCTAAAAAAGGTGCATGTTAATTATTACCTCTAGCGAACCAAAGTTTTTTATATGCAGGTGGGTGCGCTAAGTATATACGAGTTTTGTAACACATGCACTATGAGTTTAATTTGGCAAATGGAGTTATTCCGTGCTTGGTTTTTTTTAAGCGTATTTTTGTAGCGAATACTAGACACTTTTTAAATAATCCGGAAAGTGAGACTTTTTCACGAATAAAGAATACATTACATGTATAATTTGCTTCACGAAATCTTCTATCGATACACTGAGAAAAAAGTTTATCTGGATGGACTAAATCAGTGTTTGCCAATGATTAACCGAATTTGTATTTAATATAATAAAAGATATTGGTTGACTCAAATATATTTTGGTCAGCCGATGCGAATAATTGTTAAACAAACTAATTCTTTAGTTACAAAAATCAATAATTCTTTCGAACGTCGGCAAACGCAAATTAGTCAATGCAACTATATATTTTTTTCAGTGTAGGAAATAAATAACAGGAAATAAATAACTTCAAAATTGGTTATGTTGATCGAGCGCATTCGATAGTAGCGACACGTAGGCAAGATGCCATACATTACAAAACTGCTTCAATAACTGTGTTACCCCACCACTAAAAATTGGTCTTGTTGCAAGACCTGTATGCAAGACCGTGGTTAGGGCCCAGTCACAGTCGTCAAACACGCGTTCGAACGCGTACGCGTGCGCGGACGCAAAGGTTGGAACACATGTAATGTAATGCGACAAGTCAAGATGACCTCCGTAAAGTTAGCCGGGCAACTTCGACTTATCGAATTTCTGTACTTGCACATCGATTGTTAGTCATTTGTTATTGCTTGTTAGACTAATTAAAACATTTGTTAGATAATAGTTTTTTTGCAATAACGAAAATAAATTTTAGTGTTAAGTTAGCCGAAAAATATTGATTTTTTCACAGTTTTTGTTTCGAAACGGGTGCAATCGATGTGGAATCGTTTGTTAGTCCCGAATAAACTAATAAAAACATTTGTTATATCACGGTTTCACCTAAAATAGCGAAAAACCGTCTGCCGTCTGGCTGGCCCGGAGTGGGGGTAAGGCATGCAATGTGCGATGTGAAGATGGCCGAAAATATAATTAAGAGGTCAAAACTGCAAGCTATTGTTTTTTTTAAAAAAAAAAACTAATACCTTGGGGTGTGACAGCATTGGAATTCTTAGCTAATCTAACCTAACCTAACCTAAAAAATGTTTTTATTAGTTTATTCGGGACTAACAAACGATTCCACATCGATTGCACCCGTTTAGAAACGAAAACTGTGAAGAATAATACCTCAGTGAAGTTAGCCGGGCATCTTTAACTTTTTAACTTTTTATCATACCAAATCGATTGGTGGTCGTTTGGTGGCCATTGGTGGCCTAATAAAAACATTTGGTGGTCAGTCATTCTTTTATAATCAAATAATCAAAATTTGGCCGTGAAGTTAGCCGAAAATTTTTTTTTTCAACGCATTAAGTGTTTCAGCTCGTATTTGTTCCATTCATTTCGAAGAAGAATGCTTCGACAGGACTGGTTTGATAACTCGACTTAAGCCAAATGCATTGCCCAGTGTATAGATAAAAACTAATCTTTTTATTGATTACAGAACTGGTGTTTTATACAATAATGTTCATTTTTTATTTACCCATGGATGTTCTGTTATTTTAGCGATTACTTACAGTAGAGTCATTATCTTTTAATTCGACTGTGGCAGACCAGTTATCCATCAAGGATGAAAGTTCTGAGAAAACTGCATTACAAAAGGTAGACCATTCATTAATTTCAGAAGATTCAATAGAAAATGAAATCGCGGAACCTTTATCGCCAATCGCAAATATTTCTTCATGTAAGAATAATTTTTATTTGATACATTAATATCTATTTTGACAGAAATGAACTGATAATTTTTATATTTTGAATCTAATAGAATAAGTATTACTTACTATTATTTTAGTACTACCTTCAACATCCAGAGTGGATAATTGTACAATGGTGTCTTTGGATGATTTTTCCAAATTATTTGACAAATTTTCAACATCTAAACTGGACAAAGAAACGATGGTATCACCTGCATTCATCTATAATTCTCCAGAAAAATCTAGGTTGTGAAAGAGGATTAAATTCTTGGAAGTAGAACACGCGAAAAAAATACGAATTGTACAACAAAGAATACGTCGATATAATGATCAAATTGTCACACTCAAAAGTGCTTTGGAGATGTTGCAAAATAACCAATTATTAAATGAATCACAAGCCGTAAATGTGAAACGGAATTTCGATGCGCCATTCATTCGAGTCAAACGTTTATAAATCCAAAATTTCATGAACCGTACATATCAACGCAAGTTTTGAAGCAGTTTGTTAGTATCGATTTATTTAAAAGTTTAAATGAACATACATACGACCAATCATTCATGGAAAATCATGTCGTTCATTTAATCCGAGCTATCGTCCAAAAGTACATAAAAATTAGACTACACTATATAGCATTAAATAGTATAGATAAGTCGAAAAGCCAGCGTCAAATATTTAATAAACTTGTACTCTTCAAAGGTCAATAAAAAAAAATATTTCAACTATATTATATGCAAATTTTAATTTTTTAAACAATATAAGAAAAGGAACTATATTAATGTAATTATTTATTTATAAATATTGCACCAACAATTTGTAATCCAGCTATTTGCCTTGTCATTAATAATTTCGAGGTTGATGCCACTTTTAATAAACTATTTAAAATAACTATCGACTATAGTAACTTATTTCTTATGCATTAAAGAAAAATAATGGTGATTATTCTCTTTTATAATTGGCGGTATATAGCATGCGCACAAAGAGAACCAATCATGTTAAGGCATGGTAAGGGAGGGGTCAGTTTGAATTTGATTGGTTATGCAGCGAACTCCTCCCTCCCACCATTTTGCTACAACTATGTTTTTTTTATATCTATGGATAGAACCATTAAGACTAGAGTAAAGAAGGCCGAACGCAATACTATGGATATGGCGCACGAAACCTCAGATAGTTATGTCAAGTTACATATCATGATGGCGCCGTCGTCGCGGTAGTCGGGATGAGAGAGAGAGAGAGAGCTATATTTATGTAAGACGATTGGAACTTTAAACAGAAATAAAGAAATGTATACATAACATTATAAGTTCAGGCTGATTTGGAAACGATGAAGGCTTTTCATAAGTATCAGTGATAAATATAATATATAATCTAATATATTTACATAAATCTGTATCTGTAATATCTATAATAATAATAATAATCTATAATAAGTACACTTATAAATAATGAACTCTGTAAGTCATCGAGTTCAGATTTAAACTAGGAAAAGGAAAAGGACTAGGAAAAGAAAAAGTGTTGTACGATGATAGAGAGATTGCGCGGATCGAAGGAGTTGTGAAGGTGGAGAAGAATTGTTGAAACGTCTATTTATCAATAAAATAAAACCTCTGTTTTTATTAAAAACCTACTATCCACTTAACAACTCCCCACATAAGCGTTCGGCCTCGTTTACTCTAATCTTCTGCTACATGGGCCTGTTTCTTCGTTATCTCTACTTGTATTTGTGACATAAGGTTACCTCGGCGCCACCTGGATATTTGAAGTAGTACGAATAATAAGCTCGAATTCAAATTAGATACAAGTAGATAGATAATGCCGATGATAGATAATTCCGTGAATTAAATGGTTACCCGAGAATAGAGAAAGAAAAGTGGGAATATGCCAACGGCCAAGACCTTGCAGAAAAAATTGTCCTCTATGGATTTCTTGTCATAGACAAATCAAACAAATCAATGATTAAATATAGGGGTGGCTCTATTTTATGAAGATACGTCTAAACTGAATATAAATTGTGATTAAAGGACACTGAATAATATACTCAGACGTTTCGAAGAAGGCAAAATCACTGTCTATGCGTAATTTATCCGTTATTGATCCACAAAATTTATTGAAAATCGAAGAATTTGTCCCTTCGGACTTTGATTAGTAGTAATTGCTATGTAACGCTAAACAATATTGATAAGCTTCTCCATAAATCTGGAACTTGACATTAAATATATAGCAGCCATTTTGAAAAATCAATTCGCATTAATACTATAATATATGTCAAAAAAAGCCAGACAGTTATAGCATTCAAAATCCACACAAGTTTCTTCATTCCCACCACGAACTTGGGAATGAAGCGTACGATTTCTCTCAATCAAGCTAATATAACAATCCAAAAGGTTGTTCGAAGCTTGCGAGACACGAAAGTGTGTAACAATAAACTCCTATTAAAGATTAACTTTTCGGTAAAATACAAATATTTTTTATAATAATAATCTGCCAGATGTTTTATTTTTTATAAATTACGTGATCATATATAGACAATTAAACATTCTTTTTCAACCAAACGGTCAACAATGCCACTGGAAGCAATCCATAAAAGCTTTTTGAAATAAACAAACACATATCTAGGCGTCCAGGTAACGAAGAGCTAATATTAATTAATGCTACAACAATTGAAAGACCAACATAAAAACAATGTCTAACGTAACAATAAATGTAGTGTATATTATTTCCAGAATTCAAAAAGCACCAACTACTTCATGAAGCATAGCAATATATGGCAGTCAAAAACTCAAGAGAAATGGTCGAAAATGAATTTGGAATCTGCAATGCGTCCCCTGCATTATACGTCACGCTTTTTAGGACTAAATATTTCCGGCAAATTGAATCGCGTTTACGCACTCTCGATTCTCTTAATTTTCTGCGCTATTATTTATAGCAGCTCGACAAATCTGTGCAACCTTATCTGCAGTGAGAATGGCGTTAACAATTTTATTCTCTGGATTCAGTACATAGCTAATACACTTTTTGTTTTTGTGGTAATTATCAGCACGTTAATTAAACCACTACAATTTGCATTTCCACACGAAGATCTGCGTATGATTGATCGTAACTTTAGGTGATAAAATATTTTGTCGTATTATTATACAAGAGCGATAATTAATTCAAATTTGTACATATCTCACTGATCTTCGAAAATTACTATTTCCTTTTATTCCAGATACATTGGGGTGAATTTTTCCGACAAACACGTATTTAAGATTCAATTGTTACAAGTGATAATATCCATACTGACACCAATGCTGTTCGGCTGGCGAGACGTGAAAATGTCAATTCATTTGAAGTCAATTAACGCCGTATTATATTATTTACATTATTATTATGCAGTTACGATATCAATGGTGACCGATTTTTTATTCGTCAATTATTTGGGTATCATCAAGATCCGATATAGCCATTTGAATCATTTGATTACGCAACTGGTAGAAGAAAAATTATCTCCCCCTGTGAGCTTTTCCAACTTGTCGCAGAGACAATTATTATGGCGGGACGACAACTCTTACGTATTTTATAAAATCAAAAAAATTCGTCGATTGCATCACGATCTCTTTTCACTCTCTATGAAGGTAAATAAGAACGTCCTGATAACCTTATGAATTTTTATAAGTACAAAAATCCTAAATGAAATACAGTTATGGAAAGATGCGATTAAAAAATTGTCTTTGTCAATTGTTTATACTTTTTCTGTCTTCCAGATTAATAAAAACTTTGGCATATGTATATTAGTTAATTCCACGATCTCTCTTATCATAATTACTGGACAATTGTATGCGAATTATTATTCTTTTAATGGTAGCGTCATAGACATGGATCTCATAGTATACAATCTTTTGTGGACGCTTTATTATACATTTCGATTGGTATTCGTGAGCTACGCTTGTCATCGAACACAAAATGAGGTCAGCGATTATGTATTAATAACAAAGAAAAATGATTTTAATCAAAAATTTTTACATTACAGGCTAACATGGCTTCTTTGATTTTATGCGGAATTTCCTTGCCGAGTAAAGCTATGCAGGACGAAGTAATTATTGTTAATTATTAATTAATAATTTTTTGTTCCATCTTGGTATGGAATCTGATTATGATCATTATTAATTTTTAGGTGCTTCTTTTTTCACTTCAATTGATGCAGGAAAACCTCATATTCACTGCTTGTGATTTTTTCAATATAGATCTCACTATGCTCAGTTCGGTTAGTGCACAATTTTCATTGTTATTCGATAAATTTTGTTTGTTTACTTTTGAACTATTTCACAGGTCGTTAGCACCATCACGACGTACCTTGTCATATTAATTCAATTGGATAGAACCAAGGAAAGCAGCGAGGATACAAATACGCAGAAACACTTTTGACTCGTCGTCAAAATATTTAATTATTTCTTTAATTAAGTAACATAAATACCATGTCACACTGCAGTTAAAAATAAAAAAAATTTCAAAAAGTTATGTATAATAGGGTACAAAAATTATTATATGTTACTGCAACAAGCCATTTGACTGAACTAGGACATGGTTTTAGAAAATTTTTTGGATTCACAGACATTGAAATTTACAAATGCATCGAATAATAATAAGGACCAAGGATGCCTGGTATAACATTATTCAAATGCGAATGCCTGTCACATAATTATTATCTCTTTTGAAAGTACAGTAATAAATAAAATTAAAAACAGTCATCGTGCCTCTAGCCTATTAACAGTGAAACACAAAAAACCGAAGGACACCTTGTATAACGTAATTTACTCACGGCACGAAAAACCTTAAGAATTTCAAAAACGTTGCAAAACACCATAAGACGTAACATTCATTTCTGACAATTTAAATATATCTATCCGATTTTCAAATTCTGCTTATTATTACTCACCAATGTCTTGGGGAGGGGGGGGTGAGGACCGAGTGGGAATTCCCAATTTCGGGTGTGTCTACTGCTCTCCTGCAATATCAATATGAAAACAAAGTGAAAGGACATCTTGTGCATTCTCATGATCCATACAGCATCCAATTGCGTGAGAACGTAATGTGTCTACGTAGTCGGATACATAAATGCATACGCGTGTACCCAGTGACCGGCTTTTAACGTATGGGAAGATGTTGCATGTCAGATACGGCAAGAAATGACAATGGCTAAAGTCACGGCGATTTGATACAGCCAAAAAAGAGACACGCATATAGAAAATCATCTATATAACCAAGGGACATCCTTATGAATTTTATTATTTTTATTTTCTATCCCTGTCATTTCACGGGGAATCATCTTGCAAAATTTTGCAATACTTCACTAACCGGGAACGTAGATATCGATGGCAGATGTATTAACTAGAAAGTATATACCATATAAATTAGAGTAAATTACAGTGGCAGGGATGAATGGCGAAAGGATAAATTTTGAATTTTTTATAACTCTTTTTACCTATTTTACATATTTTTACGTTGGTAAAATGCATCCGAATCTCGGATGATTTTAAAGTGTCAATTACATAGTATAAATTCCTTACGATCCTAATTTCTTTTTTAGTTAGCACTTTTGTCGTAAGTTAATCACACGAGATGATCCGAAGGCATTGGTAAAGCGAGCGGCTGCGAGGACTCTTATTACGCAAGAGGAAAAAGTGGCTGGCCAGTAGTACACTACACGTGAGATAGTAAGAGTATAAGACAGAGACAGAAGGATTAATGCGAGAGAGCTAGATGAATCAGCTCTTGGGTAAAAGAGAGCGAAGAGAAGCGAAGAGGAGGAAAGTGAAGAGAACGTGTTCCGAACTGTGGCAATGTCATCGAACTTACATAATAAAGGATCCCATATACGAATGAAATTATGAATACGTAACTGGATAACTGATTCTCACCTGTGTATCAGATGATTATCATTTAGATTGAATTTTCAAGGCTTTTCATTGCTCTGGTAAAATTAAATTCTACAAGGACAAGTGATTATATATAATACATATATTTGTTGATAATGGATACTTTGGGGACGATTTCATTTACGAAGTTGCTATTTTGAGGACAAGTGGCCGTTTTAGGGTTTTTTCAATGTTAGCCATCCAGTATTTGTGATGGGGCTTAGAAATGTTTCATTAGGCTAGATTAGGTAAGAATTCTAATACTGCGATGTCCCAAGGTAGTAGTTTTTTTTTAACATGAGCTTGCTATTGTTAACGCCTCTTGATTTTTCGTGTTCCCAAAGAATCTATTTGGCAAACGTATATATATATATATATATATATATATATATATATAGAGAGAGAGAGAGAGAGAGAGAGAGAGAGAGAGAGAGAGAGAGGTATTTTAAATGGGAAACATCAAATCCGTGCGCCAGTTAAAATGATCAAATGGATAATGAATGTGCTAATTGATGATTTATCTCGGTAAACTTTATACATATAACGATGGCCTCTTCTTCTTTTTTTTCACTTCTTGCCTCTTTCGCAATTTCTCATCGCTACTATCAGCCAAGGTAGGGAGAACAGGGCTCGATGAGTGGTGGAAGAAAGTCAAAGGGGATAGCAGCCAATCCTCCCATCCCCCCACAGTTCTTCCATACATTTCAATAGACGAGAAGAAGCTACGAAGAAGAGTCACAAAGAGTTGCGAAGTGGCACGCGGCGTCAGTGCACCGGCCACTTTGAAGTGGATAGTTCAAATATCTTATGTGTATTCATGTAAATTGTGCAGCATAATGTGGATTATCCTGCAATACTTTTGTAAGTAATAAACTGGCTGCAAAAATTATTACGCAATTCAAATTACAGATCAGATAATGAGGTTCGGTGATGATAATTATAATAGTAATAGGGAAACGCAGGTCAAATAGGGAATGAACAAAATTTTAAGATTTATGGTTAAAAATTAAATTAATGAAAATATAAAATAACATCGTCAATCCGGCTAAAAATCATTACATTCTACCTTATGAAAATAGAGATTTTGAATTTTGACGTTATTCATTTTTATAGATCAAATATATCTATATGATGGAAATTTACACTTTTAGATTTTTTTTACATCCAAAAAACTATACGGTAAATCATATTCAAATTTTGCACAGACGACGACTTTGTTATTGACTAATTTATACAACGAATACAGAATTTTGTCTCGGATTATGCGTTATCATCGAACCTCCTTAAATGTAATAAGTAAATAATCAATATTCTATCGAAGAGACTCCATCGATCTGGGGACTGTTTCCTGTATCGTGATAAGTGGATCGTCTTCCGGTATTACATCATGGACTTTCACGTTTGCGCTAAAGACGATCAAATTATTCGCCGAACACAATTACAAGAAATAAAAGCTTGTTTTACATACACCATAAAAAGAACAGTCTTATATATTGAACTGAAGGAGTTGATGGGCACTAAAAATTCCATTGCTTCCGGAAGTCAAAGAAACGAGAAACACACATGGTGTTCTCAATTTAAAAAAATTGTCAACTTTACATTTGTATCTTACTGGAACGACAATAGGACTTTCTTAAAGTGCAATAAGATAGTGCAGCATCCAGATGCAGCTGAGAAGGAAAGAAAGGAATTGTTCAAAAAAATCACTTTCTATTTACTTCTCTCATTTATGTCTCGCGGTTTTCGCGTCTCACGACGTTAACGTCTATAACACAGAATTGGGCGGCACTTTTTCCAGACTGCAAAAATCCACTGCGATTCTTCGCAGTTAACGAGCAGTTACCACTAATCGTGAACGTAGAAGGCGAAAGTTCGAACGCCCGTCAGATGCTAATTCTAGAGTACATATATATGTATATATAATTCAATTCATTCTCTTCGTTTCTCTTGTCTCGTCTCATGAAAATCGTATGATTTTGATTGACGTATGATTTCATGGTTCAACTCGTTCAATGAATATGCTGGTCTTATGCAAAGAATAGTACGAATCTCTAGTTACTATTATATGTAGTTATTGATCATTCTTATTGTTGTGCTTCACTGAATTCTTGTCCCGGTTGAAGGAAGAATCACAAAATGGCACTTTACGTGAACAAAATTTCATTACTGCTGTGACTTTCTTCGTTTTTACCTTCACTCGATAACAATGATGAACAATGAATCTCTAAGAGATGAACAGAACTTATTGTTTAGTGAAAATAAATTTTGGTGAGATTGTTTATCATTTTTATCTTATCTTTCGTTTTAATTTGCAGGTTTCGTCACGGTGGTTCTTGGCGACATCGACGTTGATAATATCTATGGGAATCTAGGCGAAAGAAATTTCTTGACACGTCGCGCCGCCGACGGCAGCAGAGGAAGGTAATATTTTAAAATTAATTTTCCAATATATAAAATCCACACAATAAAATTATGCACTCGTATGCTTCCCAGCAAGCACTTTAATCCCGAAGATGATGGGTTCTACGAAAATTACAATCAAAACGAGGATGATCCTTATCAGAATGGTACAAATAATGAATCTGATAATAAGAGGGTAATACAAATATTTATAAAAAGAATTAATCTGTTGCTACTTCTTAGCTTTCTCAGACATACGATTGAACGTTCCTGGTGAGCCTGGGGTAGATTATCCAGCTTACACTAGATTGCCGCTTACAAGATTCTCCTGCGTGGGACGTGCCAGAGGTAAAATAGACATTACCTGCATAAGATAGACATTATTTATCCAAAATAGACACAAAACATTTATGATAATTTACACAAAGTACCCGGACCTATGATAAGTGAACGTCAGACGCTAAACAAAATAATTAATAAGAATCAGCAGAAAGTTTAGGCGAAATTTCAATCTTGCGTAATCCTAAGCGTGAACTCATACAGTTAACATCCATCCTGAGTATCACTTTTGTTACTGGTTACTTTTATCACCTTTATACATGGATGTCAAGGATGAGTCGTGCAGGTGTACCAACTGTGGAAACCACGATTAACATTTCCTTTGAAATATCGCAATAGGTCAACGCGTGTAAGTATCTGCCCAGATTCCAAAGTCTGGCGTTCGATTTTTAAAAAGTTATAATACTATGAATACCTGTCATTTGACGTAATTCGTTTACTTGAAAAAATAGTATCTAATTAATACTGTATAAAGAATTTTCCGTTCAACCTATTAACACTCATGTCGAATTTTTTTTTATTGTTGCAAAATTTGTACATAAGCTTGATAAAGTTACGTCAGAATAACTGCGAAAAATAGTAAACAAAATTTTTAACGAATAAATTACTTGAAAAGATGTGATCTATAATAGTAATTTTTATGTCCATTCATTTGACGCATATAAATAAACAAATTGATGCATAAAACGGATTTTTTTGTTTTTCAAATTATACGAAAAAAGTATTTCTAATTTGAAAATATATAATATTATTATTACTCACCATTAATAAACACATAGAATAATATACTTTATTTTAATAAGACAATAAACATTTTTTTCGTTTTTTTTATCACAGTTTCTAAGCGGCGATTTATTAAGAGTCCCTGGACGGTAATGGGTTAAAAAATGTAGGAAATCTTATAGAAAATATTTAACTGTCGGCAAGTATGTAGATATCACTTCTTTACCCACTGGACTAGTTTACAAAAAGCCAGGCAGGTATCTTCTTCGAGCCATTTTGATATTTTGCGAAATGGTCTGCTCGTGGCAGTTGGGCCCAATGGTGTAAGCAAGAATTGCGCAAGGACAAGAGCAGAAACCGGTATCACGTTTATCACAAGGATGATTTCTAGATAGTTCGACGAAGAGTGAATTCAGGGCGGGACTATGATCGTTAACAAGTCTATGGTATTTTGTTTTTCACATTAGATCCAGTATACGGCTGACATATAATAGTGTGTTTCGCAATTGATTTTTATGATCCTCTCTACTCGTTAAGACGCTCTTCCTATACCGAGAATGCCGAGACGAATCGGTCACCGTATTACATTGTATGTACGGTATACACTCTATTGCTGATATATATGTTGATACTATGTGATTGGATGCATCAGATATATCGCGCAATACTTGTTTTACATTCTAGAATGCGTAATCCTTTGATAGGTGGAGTGGAATCTCTTGGTCATTAAAAAGTTTGGGCTAATTAGATTAATAGAGAAATATGAGTAATCTGACTATGACAGAAATTCAGGAATATATTCGATCAGAAACAGATCAATTTTTTTTAATTATTATAATTAAGTAGATTGCTAGACAGACTTATTCATACTTCTTTCTTTTTGTATTCAGGATACTATGCTGATCCGGATGTTGGCTGCCAAGTTTTTCATGTGTGTCATGACGTTCTTGTTTCATCATTTTTGTGTCCGGTTGGTTCGATATTCAATCAGCAACTACTGACTTGCGACTGGTGGAATAAAGTCGACTGTTCAACAGCTGGCAAATTTTATCATGTCAATGATAATATTTATGGCCAGGATGACGACGAGATGATGCGCAAGGCTCACGCTATGATCAATTTACAACTGGACAATGAAGTGTTGAAGGATCCTAATAGAAAATCCAAAGTTGTGAATGGTTCCAATAAGAACGAAGTGAACGATGGTGTTTCGGAAAATTTGCAAAATTCACAAAGACAAAATCAAGCGGATCGAAATCCCTTTAACTCGAATTATTATCACACTCAAGAATCCATTACTGATTCTCCTATCATTCGTATACAGCAAATTCATAATGGAAAGCTACTTGATTATCCACATAATGCAGGACAGAATCAGAATTCCCATGAGCAAAGGATACATATTTTTCAAACGGATTTTGAAAATGAATTTCAACCATCTTATGCACCCACTGTACCTACTGTCACTACTACTACAAAAAGGTTATACTCTCCTACCGTTCCCACTACATATAGACCATTTACGGAATCTTATGGGAAATTCGATCAGGATGTACAAAGTTCGGAACATCTTTATACACACGGTAAAGATATCCGGATTTATACAACAATCCCAACGGTTATTTATAACAAGGGTAATATTAATAAGGACAATCCTGAAGATGGTTTGAAAAAAAATCTCCAAGAACTGAAAGAGGATAGTGCAGTCGCTATAAAGAGTATTGGTTTGGCTCATGCTGGAAGTAAAAAAATTGCTCAGAATAGGAATAGAATTACTAAGAATTTTCAAAATCTTGGAGGAACGACTCATGATGAATTATCAACAGTTCCTCTGGATGTCACTGTGTCCTATAAGAGTAATGATTTTGGTACTACTGTACCTTCGTTTGATTATAAAAATGTCGACAGCACCACAAAAGCTGAAAATATAACGATTCTTAAAGAAGGATCTCATTTTTCTGGCAACCATCCCATTACGACAGAATTTCCAAAATATGTTAGTCAGAGTACTACTAACGATATAGTGGAAACCGGTTCTACGAGAATTCCAAAATTTTCAATGAAAAATACAACACCTACCGATACTACAAGATTTCACAGTGAAAGTATAACATATTCTAACGAGACACCAGGATTACTTTATGAAAGTGGAAACGATTCCTCCACGGCTGAAGAAGCTACAACAGTTGGCGGAATTGATTTTTCCGGAAATCATCGATTCATTACACAGCAACCTGGTGAATTTTCACGTAAAAAATTCACCACGGTGTCCGACAAAAATTTTTCTACGATTAAGATATTAAATTACACAGAAACTCCAGATATTTCAATTCAATCAACTACGCCTTATAATGTATTTCAAGAAAATACAAGTTCCGATGAAAATGACGGAAGTACCGAAGGACCGGAAACTGTTATAAAATCTATTGAAAGCCTAACAACTCGTAACTTGCCAAGACAGGATAAACATTTCCTAGCTATTTCTAATTCAAGGGACAATACGAGAACACCAAAACGTGAATTTAACATTTCCCCTACGACTGAAAAATTAAATATTTATAATACTGATATAGAATATGGCTCCAGAATTGGTCGTGAATCTGGGGGCAGAGAACCTGCAGATTTTTTAGAACCACCTGAATTGTTGGGAAAGAACTTTAGGATAAATGTACCGGATGAGACGTCGACACAGAGATCCAAACTTTTGGCTGCATTCACTACAATTGAGTACAGACCCTACAGTATGCCGTCACCTTTGAAGAATTTAATAGGCAGTCGTGTAAGTATTTTTTTTTATACATTTTTGCATTTGTCAGTGAATATCTTCAACCTTTACTCAATTTTAGGAATGATGGATTACTTACTTTTGATATTTGACTTCCAGATAACTCAAGATGATAGCAATAAGAAGACTGTTAAGTTTTCAAGTTTACTCAATAACAATGAAGATTCCAAAATCTCATTCGGTTTGTCTTCGTCTGAAGAATATATAGAAGTACCTGCAACTACATTGATTCCGCCATTTGACGTATCTAAATATGACAATGACAAAATTGAAAATTCTGCATATTTAACCACTGAAGATCCTTCTACATCAGAAACCGAAGATTCTCTAAATCATAATACTGAAACCCTTCCTGATTTAAAAATTGAAGATAATGCAAGTTTCACTATAGCTTATACGCCAAGTACAGAAAAGCCTTCAGTCAATTCTAATTTAAAAACCTTGGAAAAGACTCCTTCGACCACTGAGGAGAATGATTTTAAAACTGAAATACCAAAAATTACTTTTGGAAAGAATATTTTGGAATCTACCGTACAATTCGCTGAAAATATTCCAGCAACGGGAACGCCAATAATTGTGCAGGATAATTTTGGTAAAGATTTTTCATTGAATCTACGTGAAATTGAAGATTCCATCGTCAAGAATGATTCTCCTTATCAGGTGTCATTCAGAGTGAATAAAGATGAAGAAATTGATCCTACGAAGGATCAGAGTTTTATTAAAAGTTTGATTGCGCAACATGAAAGCTCAAATACTGGTATCTTTGGAGATTTAGGAAATTTTGAAATAATAAGATCTGACTCACCAGATTCAATAAGTCCGAAACAAGAAAAGCCTTTCAAAGTACCGGAGGCACCTCAAGAAAGTTTGCGAGAAGCGAAAAAGGTGGATTTTGAAAAAGGAAATCTAGACGCAGAGACTGCTGATTCAAAAACATTAATTCAAGAAAAAACCAAAGGGGAACTATTAAAATCTAACAAATTTCCACAACCCTTTTCATCCAGTATAAAACCAGATCAACAATCTCAAACAAAGATCCTACCAGCAATAAGTACATCTCAACAAGTGTCAGAAAATCCTATACTAAAATCATCGGACATTAAAAACCCGGAACAAAATGAAAAAAATCAAGTTCTTCTAAGAGAACGTATTCTGGCTGAATTAAATAAAAATTTCGGTCAACCGGCTTATAAACAGGAAGGACTCATCTTTGCACTTCCTGACAAGGAGCGCTATTTAGACTTCAAAACTGGATTACCATTAATAGAATTGAATTCAGACAAAATCAAGACAGAGACTAATCTACCCAGAGAAACAATAGTGGCGACTACGCCAACGTCAATATTAACGCCAACATTAACAAAGGCAATAAGAACTACCAGTGCCCCAAAAACTGTCAAACCAAAGACAGTAGAAACAGTTGTAGAAACAGAATTCATACCATCGTTAGGTTTTTCCTTCGATTCCGACGAAGGGCGCAAAGAGTACGTAGAAGCTGTACTACAAGGATTACTCACAAACAACAAATCCTTTGATCCTTGGAGCGACAACCAAAATTCACCAACCGATAAAGAAAAGAAGAAAGCAGAAGTATCGTGAACTGAAAAAAAAAATAGTAATTTTCACTTATGTATATTGTACAACAGTGCTCTAGAAAAGTGGAAACAAATGAATAACGATATTATTTTTTCAATTAAATAGTCTATTGTCGAAATAAACTACATGTTCGTTTTATTTTTATAACAATTTCATTGACTCATTCCTTTTTTCTTGCACACAAGTATTTCCACTTCCTTATCAGCCAATGGAGACAACACTGTTATCTCCGTGAGAATGAAATCTAGTACAGTATCGAATAGTCAAATTAAAAATAAAATAGTCTGCCGCAAGACAATCATACAGTTTAATGAGACAAAATAATCGGGAGTATGTATCCAAATTCAATTCTATTAAGAAGGTACGACTTCATAAGCTCTCGCATTTTCGCTATCAGGTATTACTGCGTGCTGATAAAATAGACTGTATCATATTCTTGATAAAAAAATAGGTTTATAAAACGATTGTCCCTCCCGCGGTTTTTGCGTTCTACTTGTAAAAACGTTAGTGCTATTATTATTCGTATCTTAATTATCGCGGGTCACGTATCTCAGAGTTTGTCTGTGTACTTTCTCGATCTGTATTTTAATTGTGCATATAACTCCCGTTTGCCAAGTCTAAGTATGCATAGTCACTGAAACCATACAAATAGTTAATATAAATCGATATCACTGTACATAAATGCGACCGCACCTTAATCGTCAACGACTTAAATAATTTAAAATCACAAGGGTTCTACGCCGCTGTCCTTCAAACGCTCGTTCATTATTTCTTTTATTTTTCTCTTTTCATTTTTGTTTCTCTCTTTTTTTTATCAGAAACAGCAGTCTTTCTATCACTTCACTCTTCACAATAAATTGTAAAATTCATTAGACTTCATTGCGTTATGTCATTTAAACGCTCGACAGGAGCAGCTCGCCCTCAGAATGCCTTACCTAATTGAACATCATAATAACTAATCTAAGAAATTAATTAATTACTGACTAATTATCGGCAACCTTTGAATTCTCCATTACGAGAAGAACATGGTGTTTCGCCAATTTGAGCATCCGGTCGCTGGTGCTGCCCGGCTTCCGAGGTATATTTCTATTTTCAAGATCAGGCATGAACTTCTTGACGGTACGTGCCAAGGTTGAGGCATATTGTTTGAATCTGGGATGTCTCATATCTATGCCTTTACTTTTCAGAGCCTGGGCGACGGCCCACAGAAGCTTCTACAAGGTGATTTTGCGTAAGGATATTTATTTATATTGGGATTTTTGATTAACAAGACTTACCTTCTTGTGAGCGTCGCTGAGCTCGCAGATAGCTTGACGAGAAGCGGAATCACTCTTGGTGCGAATACTTCCTGTAGAGTGTCTCTCATTGTCTAAGAACGTTATCGATTCGTTCTCTATGTCGTGGGGACAATCGAAGGATAGACTCTTAGCCCACTTTAATCTAGGACCTTCTAGATCGTCCTCGTTTTTCCTCTTGCGCGTTTCCTCGAAGGTCAGTCTTTTGAAGACGTCTGTATTCTCTTCTTCCTTCTTCTTTGGGGTAGGGAAAAGCGCCCTCTTAATCTTCTGGGGATTGCTGTTCGATGTGGTGCATAATCTGCTAGGACCTGCGCGATCCGTTGAAGGACTCTGGAATAGAGCACGTTTCGAAGTTTCTAATTTAGACCTTCTTGGACTGGGACCATCTGTGGATACTCTTCTGGATGCTGCTCGATTCTTTACAGATCCTCGTGGACTTTTACCTCGAGGACTTTTACCACGGGGACTCTTGCCTTTTCGTAAAGTAGACCTTCTGAAAGTTTTGAATGAGTACGTCATAGTTTTATTTTTAATGTAAGACGGTCAGGTATCGAATATTGATATAAAGGGCGTACTTTACGTTAAGGACCAATTGTTTCTTGTCTGCATGCATCATACCCTGTAAATTTGCACTAGAAAATGTTCTGCGACGTCTGGCTAAGTGGCTCAAACGCTTTCCTGGACTCTGACCGATGTTTCGTTTTCCCAGGAGACGCTTTCTCGCACTTCCTGGTGCCTGTTTCGTAAACCATATGTTGCAGGTTGACTGCGTCTCTGCCCCTACGTATCTCTCGCATAGTTTTGCAGTGAGAGTTTCGAATTCCTCTACTGACTTGCTCCTGTTGTAGCTGCAATTTAATTCGGACTGGGTTACCATTTAAACATAACTAGAATTCTCCTTAAGGACTTACTGTATCCCATGATACTTGTGATGGAAAGCTTCGTCCCATGAAAGATTCACCACATCCTGCTCGTTGACAGTGTTATACAGTAATAAAGAACGTTCATCCAAAATGTTACAGCTCGTTGCCTTCTTTACCTCATTTTCAGGTATCTCGGGCTCCGTCCGGATTAACGTCGAAATCGTGGAGCTACTCGATACACCACAGTCACTCCCTCCTAGATCATCCAGACCAAAACTGTCTTTGACAAGGCTTTTACTTTTTACAATTGTTTCACCACTGTCCACTGGTGTACTAATACTACTGACATCTGTACCATCTTGTATACAAGATTCTTTAGTAGTTATTACTGGCTCCGTAGATATGTCGCAGGCATCGAAGGCAGTTGACAAGTTCCTAGATGTACTTTTTGCTTGTCGTTGATAAATTGTCTCTATATGATTGACTCTACTCTCCTCTGGAGACTTATTGATTGGAGCATACACAACATGTGTATTTTTGTCTGCCAATGGTGTATATGTCCAGAAGAAGCTACGATTCTGCTTGATATAGTTTAGAAAATCGTTGCAGTCTTTCTGGCATATCGTATGTTTAGGGGGTGGAGGAACACCACTGAGATGTTTATTAATTCTGGCCAACAGACAGTAATCAGATTTTGCCAAGACTTCGGCTTGCGTCGGCTGAATAACGGATGTGGACATTTCATCATTCAATGTTCTCCCAGTTTCTGTTGTTTCTGTTTCTTTTGGACTTTCCTCAGTGTCACTATTAAACAGCTCAGGACTGCAAGGCTCCTCCACAACTCTTGACATACCAGTGGTCTCCCCATAATTACAATCCATTGCATCCTCATTCACATAAATTATTCTATTTGCTTCCCTTGCAGCAAGTCTAGCTGCCATACCCTCGGTAGGACTTTTATCACTATTACCTATCACAAGCCGAAAGAGATTATCCTCCGAACAAGATAACAAATATTATTTAATACTTACATATAGTTGATGAGCTCAAGGCAAGATCTTCTTCAAGAATGGATGATCTATTTGTAGCAGAAGTGACCGAAGTCTCTGGATCACCTTCTGCCTTTCCTTCAAGATCATTCTCAGTATGCATTATACAGAACAAATTCCAAAAACTATATAACCCTTGAACAATCTACACTATTGACACATTTGGGGGACTCATGTTATGCTTCGACACCTTATAAAACGTCATATTATCACAACCCCCAAGCAACTGCCAGGTCACAATATTCAATTCAATGTAATCAGCATATAAATGAGCTCCAAGGGTCATATCCAGAAATCTAAATTTGTTATCTGTTCGTCAAATAACAATACTTCATGACGTTGTAACATATTTTCCCAGGAGGTAACGTTAAGGTTAACGGCAGCTGCTAATCTATAAAATAATACCAGGCATTGCTCCATAAGGATATAACAATAAAAACAGAACTAAAATAACTGTAACAATTATTCTGTCATTCATATCATTCGTATTATAATACTCACGTGATTTCATCGGAGGTTCGACACTTTGAATTTTCTTGTCACCACACACATTCGACCCAAAGTCAAATTCTTAGTCAATTCTAACTGATTTTAACTCTCTCTTCAATGAGTCATGTCAGTCTCTTCCATGTTTCTTCACGAGCACCAGTCACATCTCAGCATTCAACTAAATTGTATATTATGTATATTGTGTACCAAATATCTAATAGACACAACTAATGTACATACATACACTTCAATATGCTGCGCAGATGCGAATGAAAGGAAATCTTTCGATAATATCGAGCTTGATCTCACTGAAGTTGTTTATAGAAATTTCCCATACAAAAAAAAAAGGAAACTACTGGCATGAATTATTATTATTGTAAAGAACAATCTACAGACTCTGTAAGTGGAACACCAATGATCTCAAGATTCCAACGCTTATGGAACATGTGGAAGAACACATATGACTGGAGTATAGATGGATGCATCTAATTAAAAATATGTACTCTTGTTTAATATGAATATAACTTTTTACTCATTCTGTTGGAAATGTATTTCTTAATTTAAATAGCAATACGATAATTAGGGGCAATATTTACTGTATCCTTTATCATTTAATAACATTTTTTAAATTTGCAATTATTCAATGTAGATATGATTCTAGAGGAAGGGGAGAAGGAATGGATTATTGAAGATAAAGGAAATTAATGAATATATAATAAATGTATCAATATCATTTATGTCATTCTCAGAATTTATTATATGTACACAGACACTCTTACGAGTAACACAGCTTAGTCTAATCTTAAATATTCAACTTTGTTTACCGACATACTTGCAAATTTGTTCGTAAGGAATTCTTTTGACGAGTTTCTTGTCTCCTTCGAGCTCTACATCGACACTAAATTCTTCGATGCGAACTTTCTGCACGATGGCTTTCTCTCCCTCGTATTTACCCCAGAGAATCAAAACTATGCGTCCTATTGTAGGAATCACTGTCTCCATGTGAGCCTGATCTAGTTTTACTATATGACCTTCGACTTCACTAGGGCTGGTAAGTTTAATTTTGCCAACAAAGCCTTGTTTGTCTATCAACTCTTGAATAATACCTTTGGCTTTGTAATACTTATCACCAAGGCTTTTTGTTGTCAGTTTCACAGCAAGACCTTCTCGGAGCCAACCCTTTGACTCTTTATCACGTTTCTCTTTCTTAATGTCGGAATGTTCACTTTTTAACCTTTTTGAAGAAGTATCACCACTGTCATGTCTGTCTCGCTTTCTGGTGCTTGTGTCAGATCGTCCAACAGAAAATTCACTGATTGTATCATCCTCAGGTTCTTTTTTGATAACCATTGTGTTATTTGATTCTTCTTCAATGCTTGAAGATGCCCGACTTTTTGCTTTAGTTAGATCTGTCTTCAGTCCGGTAATAGGTGTTACCTTAGGTTTAAGTTTCAGTTCTAATACAAGAGGCTTATCATCCTCTGGACGAACTAGTGGTACTTTGAATGCATCATTAGAATCTCCATCCTGACGACCTCGTTCTACCTGCTTCTCAATGAAATCCATCATTCGTTCCTCATCGTCCTTGTCCATTTTCTGTTTCTTAGCTTTTTTCTCTTGAGCAGCTAATGTCTCGGGATCTCGGTCAATGTATGTGACAAACCAACCTAATATAATAAAAGTATTAATAATATAATTTCCTTTTACATAGTTTATAAGACTTTCTTACCTTTCTCAGTCTCATCAACAACACATTTTCCAGTACGGCCTAGCCACTTGACAAAACCTGTCAAGCTTAGCCAGATAGTAGCATTCATATGTACATGACCTCTATCAGCAATGTAATCCTGATAAACTCTATTGGCTGGTACTCTTTTAGTACCAAATTGTCTCTTCAAAAGGTGTAAGTAACCCTGTGAAAATTCTCTTGAGAACTGGTCCATATATCGACTGGCATTATCAGCAAAGAGTAACAATTGACGATGATGTGATTCTGACATTGTGTGGCACTTAAATCCATTTTCATCCCGGCATTGTTTCTCACACATTTGACAGTACCATCGCAACTTCTGCAACCCCTTGGCTTTGATTTTGTTTGCGATATACTTTGGAGTACCCACTTCATGTTTTCCCATTTTAATAGTGACTAATACTTTCTTCTGCAATCATAAATCTGTATGCTATAAACAATTTATTAAATTAGTATAGAGAATACTATTGAATACTGAACTGAATTAACCAATTGTTGCTATTAAAACATCACATTTTCCAAATATAAGATTACGCGGCTGTAACAACAATTAATATACGTACGTATTTGGATTTTTATGTTGTTCGCTACGAGTAGAACAAGAAAATAATATTAAAATCTATTTAAATTAGATGACAATCAATTGCAATCAAAACAAGTCTGTCAGTTACTCCACGAAAAACAGTATTTATAAACTGCATATCTAGGATCATAGATGGCAGTTAAAGGATACGACGGGACTCTAACGACGTTGATTCCAGTTTACGACGCAGGTGGTCAATATGGCGCTGTGATCAATACAAGAAGCTCATTTGCCGGTCATATCCAGTCATATCCAATTCGCATTCAGCGAAAAGGTTATGTTTTAGTTGTAGGTGTAACTTTTGTATTGAATATTTAAAAAGTTATTAAGATTAAGGATAATCTAAGATGAGTAATTTCCATTCATCAATGCGATGCATTTCTCCAAATGCTAGGTAAAAAAAATAGTAACAAAAAGCTACATCAACACCAGACCACAGTATTTGTACACATTATACAAATTTGTTAATGCTATTCAGCAGAGATTGTAATACTTTTTTTTTTTAGAATATTAACTCCAAAGCCACAAGTACAACAAACACTGGACCTCAGACAAACACAAACCAAGGCAAAAAATAGTATCACATGGTTTTTTATCAATAGCACTTTACTTGCAATCATTATTTTTGATATGTGAGTACATATATATATAATTTTTATTTAATCATTGTCATTTTTTATCTCTGTGTTCATATATATCTACTCTCCATAGTCATAATGGTTCTTTTAGATTATACGGTGGTGTAGCATACAAGCCATTCAGTTGGATAGAATGGTGCTTGGCATCTATATTTGCCTTAAATGCATTATACCACTTAATTCGCTATTTCTTAGCAATATTAAGTCTGCAACCTGTAACCATAAGCCCAAGACAAAGGAGATTATTAGGCATCACAGATGACGATCCATTATTTAAGAATGAACCAGTTTCACCCCCAAAAGTATCAGAACCAAGTTCACCATTAAATTTTTCCTGTATGAACTTAAGCAGACCATCAAGCACGCTTGGTTCACCAAGTTTAAATGAAACAAGTATGTAATTTACTTCTCTTTACAAATACATTAATCACTATAATTATATTATTATCTAGAGATGAGATATAAAAGAGTTATGCTTATAAACTTCATATGCAATTAATCATGACATTACGTATATCAGTCTGGATAAAAGACAAATTAATTTTCTTTTTAAGAGGATTATCTATCGTCAAGTTCGTTTGGCAAATATGGCCACTCACCATCTCCACGCAAACTGACTCTGAGTCCAAATAGTTCACTGAATAAGTCTTTGAATGCATCAGCAAATGGAAGCCTGACAAGTGAAAATTTAATACAAGATGAAACGCAGCTGCAGAGCTATTTGAAGGAAATTGCTCGACAGGAAAGAAAATCAGCATGCTCAATGAGCATAGACCAGCCGTCAAATCTTTTAAGCTCCTTCTGGTCGCATCCTGCTGTTAGAAGTCCTAGTGAAGTCTCACCAATGCTCAGAAGATGTGCATACCAATTGGCACCTACAGTTGGTAAGCTTCAAGAGCCGATAAGTTTAACCACAACAATAGAATTGTATTGTGTGTTAATTGATTTCGTTTGATTCAGACAATTCTAAATCAGCGAGCCCCGGTGCTGAAGAAGGGAGCTCGCCACGTGGAGCATTCGGTGTACCAGATGTTTGGAAAAAGCGTCGCATCAGTCCAAATACAGTTAATGAATGGACAGCAAATCTTCGTATGGTAATTATCAAGTCAAGAATGAACTCTTAATTTTACGCAGCTGAGATATTCTGTATCGAATCATCAACGTTTATATCTGTTTCAGTGGATCAGTAAAACTGTAGTGGAACGCGTCGCAACGGAGATAGAAGCAGTATGCACCGCTCTAACCCGACATGGACTTAGTGATTCCCAACCTGGACAAGTAGGACTTGATAGACTCCGTAAACTTGCCCAATCCCCAGTTCTTGTTTCTGGCGTACCTACTCTTCCTACCTTGGTGCCTTTCCTGGAGCTGTCAAACAATCAAGATTACCTAGTCAAGAGAATCAAAGTATTAGCGAAGGGTGGTTCAATGAGTGAATTTAAATGGAACGGTGGTGGATCATACAATGGAAAGGAATGGGACAGCAGTTTACCAACAGACACTGCTGTAAGTATTATAAAAAACCAATACACTAATACAATTAATTATGTGTTACATTATAGTATTCGTTCCCTCAGATTGTAATGCATTTAGTATCTTCATACATGGATACCCAACTGGAAGCTCCACTAGACCAGCCGGATGCGCGACCTTTCACATCGAGATACATAGCTAAAGCTGGTACTGATCTGCCAAAACATAAAGGTCCAATAATCGTATGTCAATCTGTCAATCCACCTCATTATAGTTTGGCATTGACAGGAGATTCAACTAGCGATTCACAGCAGACAGAGGAAATACCAAGGGTAAGTCTTCTAACCAATATCTAGTTGTTCATTTTTGTCATTCATATATTTGGAAGATTTTTTACACCTTTTCAGGGCCGAAATAACATGTTTCACACGTTGTTGTTGTTCTTGTATATTGTTAAAACACGTGATCATGGAATGCTGGGACGTGTCAATTTGGGAATGTCTGGTGTCAACATTCTTTGGGTCATTGATGGATGAATAGGAAGTGTACAATAATCATTTTAAACTTGGTTTGTGTACTATCGCCAATGAACTTAATAGTAGTAGGACCATGCAGTGATTGTGTTCTACAACAATGAATTTATTGACAACATTCTTAATCATGACTTTATTCTCATGAACGATTGAGTACTACTGCAGAGAGGCTTGGATTATTTCACTTGTCAATTAAAATATTTTTGCTTAACACGCGACTAACCATTTTTCGCCTCACAATAATTTACGACAGACTAATGTCAACGTGTATGAATTTAAATTGCGAGATGAACTCTTTTTGAATTTTCAATCTTAATTTAATTTAATACTATACAGGCTGTTCTTTCTCCAGTTTTGCAGAAACGTCTTCTTAAATTTGAAATAACTGTTGCTCTCCACGGGTCTACTGAATGAAAAGACTGCGGGCAGCAGAGTATTCTTGATGATGGATAGTGTAAGTGGGTATCCTTGTACATTCCTTTATCCTGCAAAAATCCTGTTCATTGCAGATGATTCCCAAATCCAAATTCAACAAAGAGAAAGAGGAAAGTATCTTGCTAGTTTTATCTACATAGGAAGGAAGAAGGAATAGAAATCGGTATTATTCCTCAAAACCTATATACGTATTATCAAATCTGACAAGATAGAGTAGAAGCGTAGAGTGTAGAGGTAAGTATAATTTATAATAGGACAATTAAGGTGTTGTTTAGGTTTAACACCTAGCATTCTGGACGAAAATGCTATGTGCCGGAATTCAAAGTCAACATTAGTTCGCGGTGCGAGTACAAAGTAGCTGCGGCGCATGCGCAGCTCCGCCACTCCATGTCGCTCCGGCTTGTCGGAACGCGGTCAGCGCTCCAGCTCATTATCGCTCACAATCACTCACAATGCGACAGACTTTGGATCGATCACAGCATATTCAGCAGGTCTGACAAGGAAGGAGTCCCAAACTGTTGCTCTCCAATTTTGATGAGCCTGAAAAACTGAGCGATACGTATTGTTTTATCGGCGAAAAAATAGTTTTAAAGAAAGAACTAAAAAAAGGAGACACATGTCTTTGCGTTCATCAAAAAAACTTCGTTTGAGGAGTGAACCACTCCTATGCAGGTGCAACCAATTTCTCATTGAAACAGCATTATGTTGCTTGAATTTGTCTTTCCAATTATTACAAAAATTTCTGTGTCAATTAAAAAGCTTAATCGTTTGAATAACGTTCGGTTGTATATCTTACAAAAAAACCACCCCTTCATCTCCTGATCCCCTTCTAGCGGGATTCCTCGATACTCGCAAAAAGTTTTGCGAACTCTTGTATCCCAAGGGTGGTTCTGAAGGTCGCTGAAGTCGATTGTGGACTTAAAATTTTCACCGTCATTCCAATGACATTGAATTCGTTCATTGCATTCCATAGATCACAAGGAAATTGAATTAAAAGAGCACATGGAAGCTATTTTATTAAATGCAACGAACGAGTGTTCAATGGTATTGATATGACAATTGAGAAATCTAGATTTTGTGGTACCATACAAAAGATAGTGATGCACAAATAGTAGAAGATGACATTTCTAAATTACCTACTAATGAGTGCACATTGGAATATTTTAAATAAGAATTTCCTTCTGATTTATAGAAGTCTCTCTTCTATTTTTAGCAATTGAAATGTGGCAAACAAAATGTCGGGGAATGTTTATAGGATTTACTTGCATTTTCAGTGCTTTTGCAAAGACTTAAAGTTACTCACATTCAAGAATTATTGAAAATACAACACTCTCGCGTTCGACTATTCCTATCTGGTACTGCTCGAATTTTTGTATACGTCAACTGTTACGCAGTTTCTCGTTTTGTTTGCCCGATAACGTATAATCGTATAAACATATTCATACGCTTCCCGTAATTCTGTTCTCACGATGACTAATGAGATGCAAATATCGCATTTGTCAACGATAAGTTACATTTAATTAATTTCGTTCGCAAAAGTTACATATATCTATATAAACGTGATAGAATGCATTTAAGTTACCCCCTGAAATCAAAATTTCAAATTTGCATTTTTACAGTATCTGAGATTGTGAATTTCTAAATTTTAAGTCTAAAATCGGCTTCAGCGACCTCCACAACCACTCTATTTAGTTGATATATAAAAAGGGTTCTGTAATAATTGGAGAAGCAAATTCAAGCAGCATAATGCCGTTTTAACGAGAAATAGATTGCACCTGCATAGAAGTGGTTCACCCATTAAGCGATGTTTTTTTGATAAGCACAAAGACACGTGTCTCCTTCTTTCTTCAGTTCTTTTAAACGCAATTGGGTTCATTGAAATCCGATCGATAGTTTTTTTGTTATAAAAATTTTGCAACTTCGAACCCCTTTATCAGCATCAGCATTAACCTCTAATTAGTTTCTTTTAAATATCTCGACTGAAAATATGCGAAATTGCGAAAATTGCATTGCGAGTACCTAACTTTAGAAGTTAATTTTAATTAAAACAAGATTGTCCCTCCTTCAGAACCTTTAAGTCCGACAAGTAAACTAAACCAAAGCTATACCGAGTTGCATTAAACGTCGCAAGTACACTAGGCAGTATGAACGAATTCAGTTACCTATGACGTAAAATCACAATGCACAATCGAAACCAGTTCCAATGCAACCCTGACCGCACCACTGCGCCACTCAGCTTGAGCGTAAGTACTCACCGAGGCGCTCATGGCGCCACGAGCGACACGCACTGTGCCGTGTCTAGAGCAGCAATTAACCAAAGTACCGTCATCACACCTCAACTGTGCAGAGTGGGGAATTAAAGCGGTGCGTCCAAGTTCCACTGAACATTTTATTGCAGAGAAAGTAAAGAACCCACAATTCAATTATAACAGCTTCATTCATATATTCAGTGTAAAATTGTATTAACGCACTTGGAAGTAAACAAGTTTATTGTATTGACTTTAAAAAATATATATATAAAATGCTATGAAAGACAACTAGACAGTGTACAAGAAATCACACATTCCATACAGCAAATTTAAAAAATCAAAATTCACAATATTAACATTTATTTTATAAAGACGCAGCTATATTTACACGTCACACATATTGCTATAACACTTCAACAAGTCTCAATTAACGTATTGGCTGCTAATTAATCGTACTCAAATCGAATCTTGAATCTCAGTAAATTAACGGTTATAATTAGTCGTCTTTTTCTATATCGAATTTTAAATGTACATAGAACAAGGACGAATTGGTACACTTTGACAGATAGCCTGACTGACATTTATTCAAAATATTTTTAGTATTGTTTTTTAAACTTCTACTAAGCATAACTCTCTATGTAGCACAGTGGTCTTTTTCGATCGCTTTATTGAACATGAACAAATAAGGCCTTAAATTTTGCTCCAATGTGAAACTGAGGCCTCGAAGTCTTCTGCGCTTGGTAGGCGATGGCAGTAATATCTCTGCATATAACTTTCGTGCATCATTGACGAGGAGAGCCTCTTTCCTCGCGATAGCAATAATAAGCTAAATTCAGCAATCCGAGTTTAGCTTCCTGCTACATGCTACTGCTATCGAGCTGAAGTTCTTGTTGTATCTCACTTATACCGGTTGAGGTTCTTGCTTCAGCAGAGTAGTACTAGCTTCAGATTCCGGTTGCATGCCACTTGTGGTACTGAATTTAGGTTCCGGTTCCAACATACTAATACCAGGTTCGATCTCGGTCCACTGATAACACTTTTGCAAACTATTTGCATAACACTAGCATTAACTTGAAAATATCATTGTATACAATCCGTACTAGATTTTAAATCAGCTTCGATTTCACAGTCAAACTCAGTAGCGATTTGAGACTCTTCAGTGGCCATCTCGTTCTTTGACCTTAAGGGGACAGTACACCATGCAAGTTTTTAAAAAACAAATTTTTTATTTCTGGCTTTAATGATGTATTATTATCGTAAGAATGATGTCCAGGTGTTGATTTAGTGGAGCAAATTTTTTTTCGAAAGCTATGAGCCATTTTCCGAGAGTACCTCGAAGCGCTCCAACTGCGTATTTCGGCGCTTTTCGAGGGTGCGAGCGCACCAGGTATAAATGATCCTTTACCATTATATATTTATGGTAGGTAAATTTGGCAGATGGTAAGTGACCTATTTCGTGTTTTTAGTACTATTTAATACCAGTAGAGGTCACTTTAAGGACGCCACCCTCTGTAGAAAACCGTTACACGCCAGACAACAGTTGCAAAAAAAATTTAAACGCGTTTTTCTCGAAACCACGTTTTTAAAACGGTGGAAAATCCCACGGCCCAATTTTTAACCAATCTGCCTAAAACCGGTTTCATTATATTCTTAATATCATTATCTAGTCTTTCTCATAGGATTTTTTTGATATCTTTTCTCAAAAATTTTTTACGCTTGTTTAAAGACGATTTTTTTGGCCGAAAAAAAAATTTTGACTTTGAAAGCTTATAACTCGAAAAAAAATTAAAATTTCGAAAAACCCCTATGAGAAAGACTAGAAAAACTGATTTTAAACCAAATTACATAAATAGTTTTGTTCTAGGTCAAACGGCACTATTGGGAGATTTTCCACCGAGTTTTACCTATTTTTTAAAGCGCTTTGGGAAATCAGCTGTCACGCCGCCATTTTGTTTTCAAATGTCATAAAAAAAAGTATAAAATGTTATTCAAAACTTGTATAATAAAGAACTGAAAACAGATTTACTCTATGTTTATTCGTTTTCTCTAAAAAAATTCGTAAAAATAGGCTTAATTTTTATGCTTGCATGGTGTACTGTCCCCTTAAACTAAACAGAAGCAGTTCATACCAACATGCTTCCAGAACTGTGTCAAATATCTTACAACCGCCTGCACAAATTACTGACAATAAGATCAAAGCCTTAAGGCATTGGTTAACGGCGAATGGAACACACTATTTGTTTGGGTGAGTTATAATACGTATGAGGCTAAAATCGGGGAAACTTCGCAACAAAAAAATGTTCCACAGAAACCACTGTCAATTAATTTATTATACAAAATCGAAGCCTTCCGATAAAATGTCTTTCCCTGCGAAGTCGAATTTTTAATTATTTCTTAGAAAATATGTAAAAAATAACTGAACCTCGAAAATGACAGTCTACGTATCTGTCATGGAGACCCGACAAACCGTCGTTCCCTATTCAAAACATTTCGCACTGTTGCACAGAACTACCGATGAAAATAAAAAAGAGGGAAACGCAGATAAAGTTTTATATCCGCCAACTTTACACCAATTCACGGAGAATCGCTCTCATATAACCAATTACGAGATTTTTTAGTGCGAAGTTTCCGCGCTTCCGCCCTGGTCAGCGTGACAACTCACAGAATACATAAAATAATGTATACAGTACATTATACTCACAGTACCGAAGCCACGGGAAATTAATATTTCAAACTATTCTAATTAATTTGACGTTACAAAACGGAATGTTATATAGTCAGAGAAGGACTTTTCAGTATATTATTCTTAAAGAAACCGAATTAAACTACTCTAAAAGATAGTATATAATATTGACCATCTCACCTTCTCCCCTCTGCTACAAAGTAACCCCCTCACCCTAGAACTACACACCACTCCTACTTCTTCTTCTTCTTGATCCCTGCTGGCTTTATTCCCCTGTTAGTGGGCCAACTGCCAGTCATTCTTACTGAACTTTAAAGGGTCCAAGATGGTTCTAGGACCCTTAAGGTATAAACCCAAGTTACAATTACCCTTAGCTTGTAACGAGTTGAATAACGATTTCAAGTCCAGATATTTCAAATGTACAGATAAAGTCTTAAATTATATTTTAAGTTCCGTTGGCAGGGATAAACGGGAACAAAGAAAATCCAGCAGTTTCTGCCCTTTAATTTGACAAGTATGACAACAGAACTAACGTTACTTATCTTTACATACAATTTGCACGCTCGCATGATATTCGGACATGTTTTCTTAATCTAAAATGAAACAGCTTAGGTAGTCGTTTGTACTAACGTTTTATTCGACAAATAAAAATGATCCGTTACAAAGAATTGTAAACTGTATATTCTTATGGCGCTACGCTCAAAGCGCACCCGATTATTCGTACTTCGCAAATTAGAGAATGAGGTGCGCATGCGCACTACTGGTTCAAATGATTCAAATATGGTGGCACGAATATGGGAACATATTTCTTGGAGGGGGGAATCAACTTTGAGCGAAGCTTGTATGTATAATAGGTACACATTTTTATCGTGTTTACAAACGAGTGTCTCTGTGGTCTCTGTCTCTCATTTATTTTTTATTCGTGTCCCTCCCTTGTTTATGCTGTGCTATCTGTTAAATTTTTTTTTTATTACTCTCATCCTCGTGTATTCATCCCTCTCTTTATAATAGTTTCACGCATTCTCGCATTCTCACATTCACAATTAATACAAATTATTATATTAACGCAATTATCATCATTCATTGCCGGTTCTCATACGGAGTGCATATCCAGTGTACATAGCCAGCACTGAACACGCTCGTTAACACTGTTAATCATTATTTTATATTAATTTCAGTTTTGAAGACGTTTCCAATTTTACTAGGAATAAAACCAGAGTACATAAATTCAAACTAACAATGTTTATAACTAAGAAACAGAGTTCTGCCAATAACAATGTGTGTACCAATTAGTAAGTATCAATAAAAAAGAGAATACGAATGATGCTTGGGATTAAAAAGGAAAAAAAAACAAACAAATGCTTCGCATATCAAAACTACTATAAAACTTTTACTACTTGTATGATCTCTTGATACATAAGAAGGGAGGAACGAGATTAAATCGACAACAGAAAAAAAAGGATTAAGTAGAAAGAAAGTAAAAGACGTATGCAATAATAAGAGACTCGAGAGAATGGACGATAATAAATTGAAAAAAAAAAATATACAAGGATGCTGATTGGCTGTTGGTATAAACGAGAGGAAAGAGGATCGCGACGATGATCGTTCGTTCTTTCTCTTTTCTTTGTTCATATTTTACTTTCCATTGTTACATGGAAAATGTTATCTCTTTCTCTTTCCGTCTGTGACACTTCCGGTATATATCTCCTATCGTTCTGGCGTTCTTCATATGTTTCTCAAATTTTTCGCAAAAAAATTGAGGACGCTAATACAACGGGCGCTAGACTGATTTCTCTTTTTCTTTTATTGTAATTTCGTCTGCTTTAAAAACGTACACACGTTATCCTCTCACGGCTCGTAATAGCAGGCAAATGTGAAACATTGAAACTTGGCTCGACCGTTAGAAGCGACCTTTGACTTGCGACCGCGTTAAATCACCATGAATCCTCGTTTGTATATCCTCTTTTCTCTTCTTAATTATCCGTCGTTATCGTTATCATTAATAATCTTTATTCGTTATTCTGTACCTTCTTAATAATGACGCATGGCGTTCGCTACGAGTAAAGGGGTTTTTCTTCTTCATTTAATCATTAGTATATATTTATATATATAATATATACTGGGATGGATTATATAATAGTGCATATTTATTCTTATTATTAATAGTAATAATAATAATAATGCAAGTAGAGAAACAGTGTACATGGGGGCGGGAGGCTAGGGAGGGAATATGACGGGAAGGTATTTTTTCTTTATATGTACAATTCTGCCCCATGGGCATTTACTTCCCTGCGATTGGCCAATTTTTGTATCTATAATCTCGAGCCGTCTTATCCCCACCACTCTATGCGCAGACAGGTATGCGCGGTAGACTGATATTTGGCGTTAATAAAGAGACTGTTTATAGTATTGTGAGTCATTTGAAAATCGACAGCGTTAAGATAAGAGGCTCGAGAAGCGTAGAAACAAAAATAAAAATTGCTACGGAATTTTCGAAGGGAAGATGACGTATTCAACGCGGCTTTATGATTCGTGGGGGCGGTTTTCGTTCGGAACATTTTCCAAGGCATTGCCATGTCGCACTTTTCAAAATGATACTCAAAAAATATATTTGTCACTGGATTCTTCACGTTACTCGGGAACGCTTCTTGTGTCTTCTCAGTACATCCTGTATAGTAATAACTTTGAAGGAATGACTGGATCGATAGGACAATCAATCGAAGTTTGTATTTACAGTGTGACGCGAATGAAATCACGTATAAAATGCGTAAACGTAAGTGAAACGATATTTGATTCTAAAGGTGAGCTTGCGATTTGAAACATGGCGCTATCGTGGAAAGCCTCCCGTTAACATAAGTGCGTAGGTCAAAAAAGGTGATAAGAATGATACGTGGAAACTACCTCTAGACGGATCGAAAATAAAAAAAAAGGGCGTAGTCAAATAATAGCCCGAGCGATCCTAGAATAAGTATAAGCAATAATATTCTACAAACTGTTGGGGCTACTGAATGTTATCTGAAAAAATAATTTTTCCCGGTGAGCGGGATTCCCGCAGCGCAAAGTGTTCAAGCTACTCTTTCTCTTCGATACTTTGATCCAACCTCTCTCCGTAATCAGCATTTCCCTTACAATTTTTCCATTAAATCTTGACACTTCCTTACTTGCGAAAATCCTAACCGGAAGACGAAGATCTCGCACGCGTTGGCGTGCGCAAAATTGTTCCACCCTTGTGTAAACGGCTTGTTCTCCACGCGTAGCACAAAATTGCGCACGCCCATGTACAACCGTGCGGATCCCTCTTTTTGTGTTTTCTATTTTTTATCAGTAATCGTGTTTCTGTTTTCCCATGAAATATTCTTAGAAAAAAAAAAAAAAAAAAAAAAAAAAAAAAAAAAAAAAAAAAAAAAAAAAAAAAAAAAAAAAAAAAAAAACAGTCACAAACGCATCTTTGGCTCCCTCATGCTCTCGGTTACATCGCCGCCAATTTTTTTAGTAGTGGTCCGCGTTCTCGTGCACGCTAAAACGAAAAAAGGACAAGAATTACTTGAAGCTGTCACGTTTAAGAATAAAATAGAAAAATCGTACAAAATCAATTATTGCCCAGTCGTGATAATAATTATTTAAAAAAAAAAAAACAAGCGTTAGACAACAACAGAATCATCCTTCTCGTTTAATATTGCATTTGTTCCCGTGCGGTGGTTAGTAGAGTGTTTTTTCCCCAAGTAGAAAAGGACATAGGCTGCCATCTCTCGGATTATTTCGACGAAGGATTGAGCGCCTTTGTAGGATGATTAGTGATTCCTTGTTACATCGACAGTAGAACAACAAAATCACTAGTCTTCCATACAACGGGGCCCCAATTTTTTTTTCATCTCCCAATTCCATTGGGTGTTAATATAAATCCACCATCTTGCGATCCGTATCCGACTTCGGCTTCCTGGTCGCCCCGAGTTAACTCTGGTACTCGTTGCGTCACGAATTAGTAGTCCTCGTAACTCCGTCACCATATCTCGGAGTAGCGCCCTCAGTTAGGCCGGTTAATTGGAATTCTTGTTAGTCACCGCTGATCCGACGTTTTGATCAAAATGATCCAGGAAGATTTTCAGACAAAAAAGGATATTCTTACGCCTTCACAATAATGGAAATGATTATATCATATTAGAATAATTGAATATATATATATATATATATATACACACACACATATATACATGTTCAACCATAACCTGTTTTAAGATGAAGGTGGGCCTAATGGGTTCACCATGTATTTATGTACTGTCCATTAGTATGAAAGCATAACGGGACTAAGTATGAATTAAAAAAGCTGATAACACTATCATATCAATTATATACAATTAAAATGGTTACAATTAAAAGTATTCTGATTTCATTTTGTCATCGATAATCCCATATCCATACAGAGTATTATTTTGCAAAACGCAAAAAAATATTTACTATACCGATTTTTGCTCACCTTTGCTGCAACAGGTACTGCGCCATCTGTATCTGATTAGGCAGTCCACTGATAGTAATGATGCGATCATTGCTTCCTGGCAGGGGTTCGTCTATGGTAATGCCCGCACCACTGTCAGATCTGATCTTTCTGATCCTGGCGCCACCTTTGCCAATAATAGCTCCCGCGAGCTGTGGACAGAAGGAAAGAAACGTTATTTTCCATGCTGCTCTTGCTATCTGAGATTTGCTATCTGAGATTAAGCAAAGTCACTTTTGTCGGTGGTAACTGATATTTATAACTCGTGCCATGAGTCAGGACGAAGGTGACAGGTCAAGGAGAGTCTATTAGGAAATATTAATTTTCGTTCACGTGACTACTCACATCTTTGGGAATGGTGACTTGAGTACTGGTCTTGCCACCGCCCATGCTTCCTTGATTACCCTGGTTACTTCCAAGGGGTGGTCCACTCATCCCGGAATTACCACCGCCTCCGAGACCATTGGGTGCACCACCTTGCATCCCCCATCCATTGTCTGCAATAGTACGTAAAATACAAATAAATAGACGCTCTAAGCAACAATGTATTTAATTTACAAGTAAATTTCCATAACGATAAAAATCCGAGGGGTTAGGAAACGAAACGAAGAAAAAAAAAACAATTCTCAACTATTTCTTGTACAAGAAAAAAAAAAATCCAAATTGATTTATACCACTCACTATTGTAATTTCCGCCGCCATAAGGTGGCGGTCCACCTCTATTTCCAGCATATCCGCCACCCCTGCCACCATCGTACCCGCCGCCACCAGCGCCTCCACGCGAGTTTCCCCCGTAACCACGATCAGGAGGCCCTGACATGCCACCTCCGCCACCACCGCGAGGTCCACCCCTGGGAGATGGTGCAGCAAATCCACGATTCATATCAGGAGGTCCTCCGCCACGAGCGTCGCGACGCGGTGGCATACCACCGACACCGCCGCCACCACCGCCGCCACCGCCGCCACCTCCACCACCGCCGCCGCCTCCACCGCGACCTCCCGAACCGCCGAAGCCAGGCTTACCCTGACCTTCTCCACCCCCGTAGCCGCCATACTCGTCGGCGTAGAAGTCGTCATAATTGTGTGGATCATAAGGGTTGTTCACACCCTTCAGAGGCGACTGTAACGAGTTATGCCAATTTATTTATCATTTTCCAAACTCTTTTTTTATTCTTTTTATTCTTTTAACTCAATCACTCTCCTCGACCAATAGTAACTATACTCACAGTTTTAATAGTTGCTACCAGCTCGCGAATACTCTCCACGCAAGTAGCAGGCTTGCCACAGATGCTAACCAAACGGTCCGTGCTGTGTGGACAACAATTGGAATATATCTTAATCCTGGCTCCAGTTTTCTGCAAGCAAAAATACAAGATGCATTAATGAAAGCGAATTGTAAACAAATACTGGCTTCCTCTCTCACTTCAGCAACAGGACGACGTACCGTTCTTTTCAACTGGAACAATATACTTTTTAGCGAGCCTTAACCAATTACAGCTAACCTTTGAAAGTTCATCAAAAATGACGTTTATCAATCGACTGAATTCAATGTTCACGATAAGCTTGCGGCGTCAGCTTGCTCGCGTCTATTTGACACAAGACTGGTGCTGCTCTCTGCACGAAAACCGCAGAGGCGCCGCGGCAATTTTAGAGCGAATATTGCGACATCGCGTGTCCTACGGCAATTATCGCTACCTTGAAAACCACCCACTTCCATTCCGACCGTCTAACTAAAAGGGGCTCTTTTTCTCCACCAAGTAGTCCACCACCCACCACGAGTATACAGTAATTCTTGGAACTAAAGTATGAATAATTCCTCGAACCAGAGAATCGTTACCCAGAAGCAACGAGTATTGACGAAATAATAAGTATGTACAGTGGGGAGAAAAAATGATTTTCCAAAATACTGTGCTCAATTATTGCCAGTACACCATACGCAGGAAGGCTATTATGGCTCGCTAATGTACAGTCCATCAATCAGTAAAATGTCATTTTTTTTAGATTAAAAAAAAAGTACTACCCTTAGATAATGCTAAGTGAAAGTTTATAAAGTCACTGAAATACATGTTAAAGTAGACAAATACAATATATTTTAGCGCAAAGTTATGCGCTATGTAAATTACGTAATAAAAATTGTATACAAAGTCACGTGTAACGCTATAAATACTTTATTGTTTTACATCTGTCCAAAAAAAAAAAGTTACTCACGAACGGACTATAATTATCATCTGTCCAGTAAAAAATAAGTGACTATCGGACACAGTGAAGTCAATGATACTACTCAATGATGACGTAACTCCCAGAAATACTAATACTAACTATGATAGTAATAATATAAATATATACACGCACAACATTGGATACATAAATAAAAAATATTACGAGAAATAAAAAAAAAATTAATCGTCACACATTATTATCTAGATGTTATCAATAATTTTTTTAAATCGTCATTCCTCACACATGTCCAAGTCATCATTAAGCGTCGTAACGAATGACTTGCATATTTGGAGGTTAGGTTAGATTAGGTTGATTTCTCACATAGTTAACATCACACGATTCTTGCTGACCCTATCGTGACTGTTGTATTTTAATGGCTGTAACTATCGGCAACAAAAAGTGAAGATGATTGGCCGAAAGTAACTGAATAAAAATACGAGTATGCCTTGAAGTATGTCAAATACTACATGCTAAAACATCGATATACATTTCGTGACGCTTAGTTGACGTCACAGTATCGACGATTCAACATAAAACACCAGGAATAACTTATAATCGAGATGGACGCGTAGCAATCGATTTTATAAATTTGAATCGATCTGGAAGCAAAATCGATACCCATGACGTTCATAAAAGTGTCTTCCATTCTGTGTAAATTAGCGACCCTCATTATGAATTTCCATTGAAGTCAAAGTGGTCAGTCGTTACAGACAAAGCAAAACGTCCACACCTCACTGAGGAAGCATTAGCTGACGAGAAAGGAACGAGTGAAGTACGGTAGGACGAAGTTCGTGCAATTAGTAGAACTATCGAAGGATAAAATAAAAAGAAAAAAATTTCCAAAGGAATTTTCAAAAGCAACAGCAATAGATTGCGCCGAACAGGTCATAGGTCAGTAAATCCTGGCAATTTTATCATAATTGTGAAATCCGAATATTGATATAATTTTCTGTATCGTTTTTTTTTTATTTATTTTTTTTTTAAGTGTAAAATAAAATGGCTCAGATCTTCACGCACGACGAGGTCACGAGGCACAACAAGGAAAAGGATCTGTGGATGATCATCCACGAAGGCGTCTACGATCTGACCAAGTTCCTAAAGGAGCATCCAGGTGGCGAGGAAGTCCTGATAAATCTAGCCGGCAAGGATGGGACTACGTGCTTCGACGAAATCGGCCACACGACAGAGGCGGTGCAGTTACGTGAAACATTGAAAATAGGCAAGGTCACCGGGGGTTCCGGAGGTGAAGCACCCAGTGGAGGAGGACCTTTGAGTCGCGATGACCTGATGAAGGAGCTCGACGATGACTGGGAATACGAGGAGAAAAAGGCTGAGTCATCGCCGTGGATTCCAGTATTCGTTGGTATCGGCGTTTTGGTTTATGCCGTTATTTTCTACACTTTCTGGCGCTGACCCAATTCCGGATGACCGACGTAATAATTGTAATAACGATATTAATAAAGAAAAAAAGAAGAAAAGATCTGACCAGGCAAAAGACAAACACGTAAGTAACGCATTTAAATGCAAGAGTCAAAGGTACAGTGAGCAGTTAACGAAGTACGTGAGACCGGACCCCGTCCGGTTCTCCTTGAAACAGCTTGTACAATAATAACGATATAGGTTAAGCTCCATAAGTGTAGAAAACTGCAGGTACGTGCTGGTTCGAATACATCTTTGCCTTGTTCCCACGAAAATCTCGTTTCGTACCGCATCACTACTTGTTCGCGTGTAAACTGAATGTCAAGTTTGAAAAAAAAAAAAATTCAAAATTATCGAATTGTTAGCTTTTTTTTGGTTGAGGATAAACAAATGAAAAAAAGGTGAATAATCTTTTCAAAGAAAATTTAAGAGAAATTAAGTCAACATTAAGAAAAGTCGCCGCGACGCAATGAATGGTAGATTAGTGTTGACGTTCTTCATCGCCACCATTGATTACATGTTGATTTGTCTAGCTACAAGTCTAACCAGTCGAGGATATTACGCAACGAAATGTATTATCAGTCCCGGGAGATTAGCACGATTCTTTGAAGATGCCCCAAAATTCCTTCAACCTTCATTACGAAGCAGCTCCCCTTCGGGAAGAAAGAAAAAACCTATGTCAATCTCAAGAATTCAATACAAAAGAGACGAGGATCGGTAACGTTTATAAAAGAGATATAACGATCTTTCCTTTCTTTCCTTATCGCTACCACGTCCAATAAGGAGATGTATCAGAAATACAACGGTAATTTTTAATGTGAGAATAACCGTCACCGATAACCTAGCTCATAGCAAACAATCGGAGCAGCGCGCTCTGTAGTATCTTTCCTGAAACTAACTCGTCGCCACCTTAGACCATAGACTATTGGACCGCGCATTCCTTATCTTTCCCGTGTTGCCGACTTATGGAAAAGGGATAGACAGTGCTTCGCGATGTGTACAAGGAAACCTCCATTCAGCGTTGCTACATTTGACCTATACCCTGTTCGAACTAAATTCGGCGCAATTTATCTACTGAAAATAACCCTTCCAACACGAGTTTTATGATTTAATTTTGAATATGATATTCTTTTCGAAATTCCACACAACACGTCAAACCACAATCAATTGCTCCGATCCAAGATCGGTAACCGACCTTCCGACTCTATAACCTAGCTTTAAGCGTTAGCACAAACGAAGTATAGATTACTATATATACATCACTGATCTGCTATCCTTGTCCCTCGACTCGGCAACAGCCCCCATCCTAAATGCGCAGTCCAGTAGTACATGGTCTAAGGCCGCCACAAATCGGCACGTCTGTACAGTCGGTAAGGAGAGTGGGGATAAGAGTTATGAGGAGGAACTAGTGTTCGCAAGGGCACATAGTG